GCCGTCGCACCTGGCGCAATTCTTTCGTCGGCAGACTGGTTTTGGTGCAGGAGGGGTTGCGAAGTGAGATTCCATCGATGAAGGCATTTTCGCGCAATCATGCGTCACTTTCCAATTGCATTAACGCTTTTTTGGCACGAGTTAGGAAGTTTCGTGCTCATTTTTGATCGTTTTTCGCTCAGAGATTCAAGAAATAATACTTTCAGCTGATATATTGTACACCGAAGTAAAAATATTTCTGTCGCTATTCTCGCAATAATAAAGGCTTCTGACTTTAGCTTTAAATCGAAAAAGTAAACGTCTCATCAATATTTTGAGTGACTTTATGGTTTTAACTAAGCTTCAATGATATTTCTGCCCAAGATGACAGGCGTCTTTAGTAAAATCTAAAAAAAGTAGTATCTTGAATGTTATTTAGAGCTTGTTATTCGCTAACATTACAGAGGATGATCGTATGGTTATTTTTCTTCTTTTTCGTATTGTTTAAGTTGTGGTATTGATTTCAAGATTACTCTGGTCTCGAATGGCAAGTGTGATGAGTGTTTATCATACAACAAGTGGAAATTCCTTTTTGAAAAAAAAAACAAAAAAAAAAAAACAAAAGAAATCCAGAAATTATTCAAATATAAAATTTACTTGAAAAATGTGGTGACTATCTTGAAAGCCATAAATAAATGGCCATTCGCTTCGAATCGCTTAAATATCAACGAAGATCCGTCAAATCGCACGTTTGAACGTGCCAAGCAAAGCTCGCTCGCGTGCGCACAGCCGAAATTCCCGAAATTCCACGAGGATGGCAATTAAAAATTGGCGCGTTATCTCGAGCGCTCTCGTTACACGCGTGCACGAGACGACGATAAGCCCCGTCTACGCGAAGTGCAACGTTGATTGTGCACGGCGAGAGACGGGATCTCCCGTACGAGCGCTCGTTTCGTAACGTTCGAGCGCACGCGCGAAAATTCTCGCGCGTTATCTCGGCGGCGCTTCCGAGCAACTGCCCGACCGAGCTCTTCGCTTTGCAAATCGAGGAACGTTGACGCGCGCGAGAGAAAGGTAAAAAGAAATACGGAGATTTCTCTATGGGCGTCTCGGTTACACCTACGCGCCTCGTGCGCGTGTGCGTTTTCTTTTTTTGTGATCTCTGTGAGGCCGAGCTCTCGTTGCCTTTTTCGTCGATTCGCGGTGACTTGGCAAACCGGCGTTTAACGAAGCTGTTAGTTGACGTTAATAAGCTCTCGCGTGGTATATTGAGAAAGCGGTTTGAAAAAGAACTTTAATTTCGTTCTTATTGCTTGCACTCAAAAAATCGCTGAGTTTTCTTCGCTACTGGCTTGGATATTTGCTTGGTCTTAAGATTGAAACGAGCACGAAATTCGTCGATCAATTTGGCTTTTTTAAGCTCTAAGCTTGCCCTGCGATTGGTTTCTCCATCGCGAGCGCCACCTCGAGTACTTTGTACCAGACGAGCCGAAATATCAATCAAACGTTCCTCTCCTACGATCAATCGGAATTGAAACTCGAAGCACAATACGCAGAACAGCGGTTCTCTCTGGTTCGAGTGAGCTCGTATAAGACGGAAATACACACACGCACACGCGAAAAAGTAGATCCAGTTTGGTTGTGAGCGAAAAATCGCTCGGTGGAGAGAGGCGTTGGCTTCTCGTCGGCGCGTCGGCGTCATTGAAAACTATTCGAACGCCACGCTATTTCCGGCTGCGCCGTGCTGTGAATTTCCAGACGAGCGCGATCGCTCGGAACCCGATGTACAGCTTCGAATTTCGCGTGCGCCAGCGATGCTTTTTTTCCTTTGCTTTGCAATGGGAATTGTTGTCCGAGCGTCAGTGCGCGACAACTTTGTCGTGAGCGTCCCGCTGATTTCAACAATTTTGTCGTGCGTTACGACGGCCGATCGAGCGATAATGCAAAATATACGCTATTCGCTCGTTTTCACAGCCAACGAAGGAAACCTCTGCCGAATAGCGCCAACGGTGTCTCTTTCCCTCCACTGAATAAAAAAGAAAAGTGAAAAATCATCTTGACCGTGAAAGGTGCAAAAGGAAATGCTTGGCACGCGTAAAGCGCCCTCGATTATTATTGGCATTACCATGGCGGTGGCTGCGGCCCCCGATAAGAGTGGAGTCATCGCTTAACTCTCGCGTACATGACATTGGCTCCACAAAAAGTCGCGTTTCTCTTCCATTTTCCAATTGCTTCGGTATTGGAACAATGCCTCGTCGCGCAATAATCCGCGACGACAATAGCACCGCGAGCACCGTATAACGACGTCTCGCGGCCGTCAACTGTGTCTGCCTCGTGCGTTGGAAAATGCAAAATTGCCAACGACGCGACGTCGCGGGAGAAAACCGCTCTCTCGAAGTGTCAAGCAGCTCGCGCGCAAACGAGGAATCCCCGCGCGGCTCGGCCGGCGAAATCCGACGTGAAGAGACGCCCGCAGCGAGAGAAGAAGCGAGCGCGGAAAAGCGGAAGGGAAGGGAGTCGTCGCGCGTGCATATCTGGCCTGGAACGGGGAATGCCTGCAGCGGCGCCGAGAGACTGCGCGCCACGCCCGGAGCGTGCGCGCGCAAGTCCATCACCTGGTACTTCGATCGCCGCCACTTGCCCCCAAAAGTCGAGCGCACACTCGCCAAGACTGGCAACGTGCGCCCGAAAGTAACATCGATAATCGCGCGAAACACACGTGCGCCGAGATATCATTACGCAACGTTTGTTTACAATCTTCTGTTTGATCGCAAACGGCGGCAATTGACTCTCTCTCTCTCTCTCTCTCTCTCTCTCTCTCTCTCTCTCTCTCTCTCTCTCTCTCTCTCTCTCTCTCTCTCTCTCTCTCTCTCGCGGTGAAATTCGTCACGACGAAGAGGATAAAAAATAGAGAGTCACGTGCGCGAGCGAGGAGAGCGATAAGATAAGGCGCGGGAAGACCGAGGAACTCGGTCGCATGGCTTTTTCGCGTTAATAAGTCACTTATGCTAATCCTTTTTCTTGCCTCGTTTAGCGGTCGTCGCTTTCTTCGCGTGCGGCCCCGTCGACGCGTTTTTCGCCGAGGGTCAGCGGCGATAGACAAGCGGAGCCCGCGGATAAATAATGTCGTCGTGCGAGACTTAATTGAGATGGATTATTCGAGAGTCGCAGCGCTTTGCCAAATCAGTAAGAAGCAACGAAGGAGCTCGGCTGTGGCGCGCTCACGCGAGATTTATCGGCGAGCCATTGTGATTTTTGACGTCGGCTGATCGCGTCGCACCGGCGATAGCGCCCTACGTCCGAATACGGCGCCCTCGCGCAAAGATATACCGTTCGATTGCTCGCTGCCGACTTGCCTACCTTTTACGGGTGGCTTGCGCCGCGCGCGCCACAACGACCGCCGGGGCAGATGGAGGAGAGCGATCGGCAAAGGAGCGACCACGAGGCTCGGCCGCTCGCGCATTATTTTCGGAAGGGCCGAATATCCGTGGATTTGTCGGAGGCGCGCGGACGCGGACGACCATAACCGGCGCCTGTCGCTGTAAAATTGAGTCATCGCCGCGCGCATGACTCACGAGCGAAGCATCGAGAGCCATTCTGCCAAAGTGGTCTTTGCCAATGGCAGAACGAGCGACGTGGAGCGCGATATGTACCGTCGCGGCGATCCTTCTGTAACGGCGGGGAGGGGGAGGGGGAAGTAACGCCGATCGGCGGTATTCAAGGACTAGAAGCAGCAGCATTGCGTCAACTCGCGCGGCGAGCGCGCGATACACCCATAATCGGCGATTTCCCCGAGCCGCTTTTCTCCTGCCTCGTACAATGCTGATCTAAGCGCTCGCGATTGCGACTCGCGCGAATAGGATCGATCTCGAGACGAAGGGAGAATCGGTCGCGTTTCGCACGCGGGAGCCGCAGCGGCACTCGAGGTTGCGCAACGCTCCTTCGAGAAGACGCTTTTCCAGGCGAAAAGCAACGTTGTCGGCGTAATTTTCCATTGGATTTTCTCCGTACGAGCGGCAGTGCTATGTGGATCTTACGCAAGCAGACTAGATTATAATTATCTTTACGGGTATTACGACGGGTTTTGCTCCTCCAACTTACTCATATTGGTTTATTGGTTAATCAATGACGTAACTCGGCTTCGATTTTAATTGCACCGACTTGAATGATGTTTGAACAGAGCCAGCTGGCAGAGTGCGAGGGTCAACTGGAATACAACTTGTCGCGACAAAATCAGAGGGATCTCCGTGTGGACGGGCGAGAATTGATCTCGCGCGCGCGCGGCCAATCGCAGACACGATCGCTAGAGTCGAAAGGGGACGGCCGAGCGTTTGAACGAACAATTAACGGAGAACTGACGTCGACGTTGCCGTCGCAGCGCGCGCGCGACCGATCGCCACGATGAATCCGATTGTTGCATTGACCGGGCGCGCCCCGCTGATAATGACGCCCCGTGCGTGACCGCACCTGCCCTGGCCGCGGCCCAAGAATCGACGAGCGCACGCGCCGTTATCGCGCCGAGTAGCTTCTTACTCGGCGCGCGGGAGGACTCGTTCGGGGGGCGAAAGAAATGCGTCGTGAGGCCTGGTCGAAAAGCGGTATCGATTCGCCAGTAATCCGCCGATCAAAATAAAAAAATCCGAGCATTCCACATTCGTCGTCAGCTTCGGAAAACACACCCACAACAGCGCCTCGAACGTCTGCGAATTAATCGCCGCTGTGGCGTCGCTAGAATTGTTTTTCTGTTTTTAAAGGCGCGGTTCTGCGACGGCGGCGGTGGCGGCGTTGTAATCGTCGCACTGTGTCAAGGACGGCATTGCTCACGTTAGCGTCTCACATAGGCAGCAACTTTATGGGCGTCGTCGTCGTCGTCGTCGTCGTCGTCGTCGCGGGGGTGTAGCGGGTGGGAGGAGCGTTGCCGTCGCATCGCGCAAGTTTATCCGCGCGGATGGATGAGGCGAAGAATCGTCCGCGTTCCGAAAGTCAAATCGACTCACAAACGCTTTTACCTTCTTTTGCAGAAATAGCCAAAGTGAGGGCGAGCCTCTTCCAAATCAGCGGCGTGAAGAAGGATCCACTGGTGTTGCCCGACGCGGAAGGCGAGGTGACAACGCTCACGGAAAAAGTCTACGTACCTGTCAAAGAGCATCCAGACGTAAGTAACGGCACTGCTTTTCCTTTCTCGCGACGGCGATTTTGAGAATCGGGATCTATCGCCGCCATCGGCGCAATTCAATCGGAGAGCCGGAAAGAAAGAAAGAAAGAAAGAAAGAAGGAAAATGTCAATGCGCAGAGCGTTGAATCTTTCTTACGCGCGTTAAACGCCGTAAAGCAGCAACCGCCGCATCGGCGCTCTTTCTCTCAGCTGTTATTTCTGTCGCTGGCCGGGAATAGAATATGCGATGCTTCTCCTCGCGGGAGTTTCAGCTCCACGGCCCTGTTGCCGACTTAACGCTTCTCTTCCATCGCCGAGAGAGAGAGAGAGAGAGAGAGAAAGCTATTTTTAAGGGCCTCGCGCTTTTACGAGCTACAACGACGCGGATTATACATATAAAAATCTCTCCGGAGGGTTATTAATTCTCTCGTATTTTTTCCGTATTGGCGTTCGAACTAGTTCGAGCCGTATCGCGTTTCGCCACGAACTCTTCGCGGGCGACAATGCTCCTACGGCGCGTGGACGACGGTGCATGAAAGTCACGCGACTTGGCCCTCGGAGCGCCGTGTTTACGCCGCCGAGTCACGAGTTTCCGTGAGCGCGCGCAACGTTAATTGCCTCAGAGGCCCGCCGACGCAGCACCGAATGCAACGTCTGCGTCCGGATTTTCGGTAATTTCGGATCGCCGACGAGCAAATATTGATTCGTCTTTGGAGAGACGAAATAAATCCATAATCCGCGCCAATCTCTTTCGCGGCATGTGGCGTGCATCACCCGTTTAAGTCGATCAGAGCTGGAGAAAGCGTGAGAGAGTTGCGGAGCGGCTTTCGTGGACTTTTGCCACTGCTTCCGTTCGCAGATATGTTCGTGCACATGGCGACGTCAAACTGGAAAATTGTCTGCATTTTTTTTCTTTTTTTTTATGTAGAAACTACAAGTAAGGATAGTACATAAGGTGTGGGTTGGGTTTATCGAACCAAAAACGAATCGGTAGTTCTGATTGCGCTGTGGCTGCTATAAAATTAAACGCGAATTTCAGAAAATTGCATGAAACAAGAACAGACAACTAGTGAGCGATCAAAGCAGCAAGGAAATTTGACAAGTCAGTCGCTTACGAGCAACGTTTGTCGCGTACACGTTGATTTTTCAGCGAGTCACACAAAAGAAAACAGTCTCGGCGTAAAATCTAGAACTGCAGGGAAAAAAGAGAAGCTGGAACGAGGTGCATTGAAAGACAGGGAGAGAGAGAGGCGATGATAATAAAGCCGTAATAAAATGCAACGAGCATGTGCATGACTCATGCGCACGGCAAACATCATTCAGAAGCCGCTACGTAATGCCGAACGCAATGGCAGAATATTAACGTCGCCGCCGCCGCCGCCGCCGCGGCTCCGGTCAACTCGGTCCGTTTACACCTGGATAACCCATTGGCCGCGTGTGCTTTCGTTCTGCTACGCTTCAATTGAAAATAGCCGAGTCGACAGGCGCTCGATCGGACGCGGCTGCGCCACGGCAATCCACTGTAGGTGTGTTTTTCGGGAATGTAAGGCGATACGGAGACCCCGTCGACCGAGCGTCGCGCGATCGTCAAAATACACCCGTAACGCACGCCAAAACTCTTGGGCGTTTTATTTTCGGTCATGGCTGAGAGAAGCGAGAAAGAAACGTGGTGTAGAACAGCGACTAATTCGATTAGGCTAGCTCCGCTAATTGACGATCGTTTAGGTCATTTGAAGCAAACGATCCGCTGCCCATTGTTTTCGTGGCGCGGGCAAGGGAGGGCGATTTGCGATTCTGAATTACGCGCGCGTATATATATAACGACCGATTTTCAATGTTACGGTAGGAGCGTCCACCACGAATTGGAGCCGGACACTCGAGCGAATTAGAAGACTCGCAAGAAAGCGTGTGCTCGCCTGCGCCGCATTAGGTGAGCTTATGCGGGCGAGGTTAATCGAACTTTTACCGCTGCTACGGGTTGCTCTCCCGCGCTCGATCGATCATGATACGTCGCGCAGTCGGGAGGGGAAGACAATGCCCGTCGTCAGCGAACGGCATTCCTCAATGACACGCTGACAATTATCGACCGGAGCAATTTCGCCTGCGTCGGTAATCACGTCCGAGGGATTTGCGCTGGGTGTCAGCTGGAATGACAAAACGGTTGCAATATCGTCCGGTTCACAACAATCGACGCCTGCGTCTCTCGCAATCATAGCAACGAGGTTACTTAGCTAGTTGGAGCTCTCGGGCCTGACAAAAGGCTCGTCGTTGTCGTTCGTTTCCGCGTCACGGACTCTCTTCGCTCGCTGCAGTCATTATCATAATGACTCGAGGGCGCGGCCTCTTCTTGACGATCCCAAAGCGAAAGAGCGAGTGAAGAAGAAATCGAGAGAGAGAGATATATATGAGCGCATGCGAAAGGACAGCATGACACGCTCGGCAGGTGCAATGCCTCGACGGCACGTCGTGAGCCAAAATTGATTTATCGTTGACTTCGATACTCTTTGCCTGTTCGCAGTTCAATTTTGTGGGAAGGATTCTAGGACCACGCGGTATGACAGCCAAGCAGCTTGAGCAGGAGACTGGATGCAAAATCATGGTCCGAGGCAAAGGATCGATGAGAGACAAAAAGAAGGTGAGCACGCGCGCGCGCTCTTTTTGGCTATCGCGCTAAGAAGCAATTAAGGTTTTCGTGGCCCACATGCTTTTTGTTTTGTCACTCCCCCTCTCCCTCCCCCACCCCTCGACACACACACACACACACACACACACACACACACTTGACGATGAGTCGTCGCCAGAATCTATTCTGCATCGCGCGCCGCGACGCTGACCCTCTTTCTGCTCGCCCGTTAAATTGCCCGTGAAATCGGTACATGTAAGCCGGATAAGGCGAAGTTTTTTATGCGCGCGCGCGTAATAGGAAATGTTCGTTTGCTTACAAGGAAAAGTGACTCTTTCCTCTCGAGCGAAATCGAATTATAATGCACATCCGCGCGCGATGAAGTTTTCAAAAGCGCCGCGCTATTTCGAGAAAAGAGCGAGATTGAGTAATCTCATTATCGCAATCCGCTGCGTTCGAATTAGCCGAGTCATAATATTACGAGCATGTCGTACAATTAGACCCAACGAATTCCGAGTCGTCGTTGGACGTTAATCATTCTCGCTCGCTTAGATCATGCGCGCTTTGGCGATTATACTCGTCAAAATTTCGTCGACCGAAGGACGAAAAGGAAATGATCCACGCGGCACGACGATCGCGAATGTGGGTCTAAGTCGGCTGCTAAAGCTTAGTGGGTGCATTTCTCGCAACTCGGGATATGTATATATATTCCGGCGCGCAGCTATTGCAAAAGCTTCTTAATGACATATATACATGTTGTGGTGCAACTTAGCGTGGTTTTAAAAGCTGCAATTGCCTTCTTCTTTTTTTTTTCTTTTTTTTTGGTCAACAATGGGAGTAAATTTGGTTTTATATCGTTCGCATTGTTAGTTTCGAAGTGATGACGACTTTGATTGATTGTACTCGACAGCTGATAAAATCTCCCATCCGTATAACTCGATAAATTGTTATCGCATTAAAATCATTATCGATTAGATAAATAAATAGGCATTGATGATTATGCTAATTAAATCATCATCGAGTTGACGACGCGCATACGACGTCTATAATTATTGCAGTCTACCGACGTTGCAGCTGAAAAAGAAAATAATAAGTCGCTCGCAATCGAGCCAGCATGTGTTCGCCTCTCGAGCTTTTGCAAAGTCGAAATCAGCGCGATCCTCGAAGATTTTCATTCCGCGTAATTGTTTCGTTACGCAAGCCATTCCTCGCGCGTTGCTTCGCACAATGCATCTCATTGTCGGGAAGATCATGGACATCGCGATGCGATATCGCCTCTTCTTTTTTTTCTGTTTCGTCGAGCAAATGTTCGCAATGGCCGAGAACGAGCGACCGTTGTTATTTATAAAACTTTGCCCCGACGACCTTCCAAGAAGACATGCAAAATTTAAAAACTCTGTCGTCTTTTTTCCAAGCTGCACTTGGCCGCCGTGTCTCGAACGTAAGTACACGCAAAGAGAAAATGCGCTAATTTCATGTCGTCTTGTAAACATACGATTTTCTTGACTGCACGTTGCGCAACGCGTCATGTCCATTCGAGTGCGTAAACACTTGGCACCTAGTTTTAGTGTACACGGACGTGCATCGTTGCGCGTAGCAAATAATCAACAAACTGCATTGACGCATTTCTTTCATTTACCAGGAGGAGATGAATCGAGGTAAGCCAAACTGGGAGCACCTGACAGACGAACTGCACGTTCTGCTGACGGTCGAAGACACGGAGAATCGCGCCAAATTGAAGCTTGCGCGCGCCGTCGAGGAAGTCAAGAAACTTCTTGTGCCCGTGGTGAGAAAGTTCCAATCGTAAAAAAAAGAATCACAAACTTGGAATGTTTGCAAAGCGTTCGTATTTCGAAGTCCCAAAATATTCGCGCGGGTCTGGACTACATTATTATTAAACGCCGAGTGAGAGAGAAAGAGAGAGAGAGAGAATATACAGGTCTCGCGTTGGAATCGAGGTCGCTATTAAGGGTATATATCATCTCTCTCTCTCTCTCTCGCTCGCTCTCGTCGGTTGAGTTATATTTTCAACAACGAAGCGGCGTCGTGAAAAGTCAGCCGGGGATCGGGAACGCGAGCAGAGTTTAAATGCAGCGACGCCGAAACGCCCCCGCGTTCGCTGCAGCGCGCGCGAATCCCGGTGATCACGGGCGCGTCGTTTTCTTTTACCACCGATCGGCGTCCGACGAGCTTTCCAGAACGCCGACGGCGCAACGCGTAACTGCAGAGGCCTTGGGTGTGCTTTTGCTAAGCGCGCCGAGACGCGGTATACCAGCGGGAGAGCGATACCCTACGTCGCGCCTCGACGTGGCCAAACGAGTGCGTCGGTGGTGCAGCGAGTCGTTCGATCGCTGTTCGGCACACCCAAGACGCGCGTCGGGCGCTCGCGCGGAAGCACAGTGGCCATTAGAATCGCCGGGAGAGCGAAACGAGGTCGCGCGTACGTCGGTTGCCCTCTCGACTGCGGAGCGGCACGACGCGCGAGTTTCGGTGACGTTTCTCGCGGCAAGCTTTGCACGCGCTCCAAGTTTTTGGACGATGACCGGTCCAAGCCGACCGTCGACGATCGAACGACGAGTAGAAGCGAGCGTGACTGACCGCGTTGTAACGCGATACCATTTCAGCAAGCCGACGGCGAGGACGAGTTGAAGAAGAGGCAGCTAATGGAGCTCGCAATCATCAACGGAACTTACAGAGACTCCAACACCAAAGTCGCCGCAGTTGCAGGTATCCGTAGTGACCTAACTAGCGCCTACTTTGTCAGTTTGTGTCTAATACTTTACTAATTTAATGTGATGCTTTCGAACATGTCCACGATAATGTCTCTCCTTAACAAAACTCAATACGGCTTTTCTGCGTTGAGGAAATCACGTGTCAGAGTTGATCCACATTGAAACGAATGTACTCGTTGTTTCTAATGTTTTAATGTTTGCTGTGTACAAAACAATTCTCACTATTGGCATAAACGATTAACCGAAATTTAAAAAGTTTTTCTACAAGAATATCATTGACATTATTAAAATTAAACGAGTACTAATTTATATGGTTTACATTTGCGGTGTCACGTGGAGCAGAATTCATCGGCCAATATGTGTTTGTTCAACGTCACCATAGGTTTGTTTATTTTTCATTGTGTTGTTCATATATTCATGCTCAAGTCGCGAAATTTAGTTTGATTTTGTCATTGATTACACTTAGACAGTTTTGCCGTAAGAGCCACTCGATCATTCGAGTGTGATTGTTTGGTAGACAAAACGATTAACCAGTCTGAAAGCAAATCGATCCTCGTCTCTAGAGTAGCGATGATTTCTTAAAGTCAAAAGTCAGACGCAAGCTAACAAGTTCTTCAAGGGAATCCCCAATGGCGTGAAGCCCGATCGACTTATCGAACATGTCATAACGATTCACCACAGCGTTCGAGATTGCAGCTTGCGACGAAGAGTGGAGGCGCGTTGCCGCTGCCGCTGCTGAGAGCCAGCGTCTTCTGCCAGGCTTGGCAACGCAAATGCGCACGACGAACGCGCCGCTGGGCGCGCCACTGATCCTGTCACCAAGGATATCGGTGCCGACCACCGCCGCATCGCTGCTCAATGGTTCCGGCCCACCAGGAGCATCACTCTTGTCGGCCGGCGATCCACACGCTCTGATCTACGCGCCGTATCCCGATTACGCCAATTATGCTGCATTGGCAAGCCCATCATTACTCACCGAGTACGCCACGGCTGACCATTCTGGTGGGTTGTTCGCTCGCTGACTATGAGCGCCGCAGTTCGATTATCAATTTTTTTTCTCGTACACGTGAAAACGCGCGCGCGCGCACGCGAGGGACCGGCGATCCGGCACTTTTTTCTCCCAACACTTCTCCAAATTACTTGTTTTTTTTTTTTTTTTTTTTTTTTTTTTTCTCTCTCTCAAATTTTTTCATGACAGCCGAGTACTCCCAAACGTGAACGTCGCGCATTTTTGTGTTCAACAAAGCTGAATCAGTCAATTACTAGTCGCTGTCCACGAGATTTTTTTTTTATTTAGTAAACACACTTCATACTCACACACACGCAAGCACATCACACGCACGCAACATTACGACATGAACACACGAGCGTGCAGCTAGGAAAAACGTCGAACTGCGGAGATATATGTTTTTTTTTCTATTATTAATATTATTTATGCGTATACTAGTCTAAAAGAAGTTTTTTTTTTATTTTTTCGACGATCGGCGATCGGTAGAGCCACATCACGATCAAAATTTTCAATTAATCATTTAAAAGCGTCAGAGTCATTTTTTGATATGTATATAAATGAGAATGTTTCTTTTTCGGAATTCTATGTCGATTACCGATCGCAAGTAGTGAAAACGGCCATCTTTTCGAGTACATACATATAGTTATATTTTGTTCTGTTTTGCGAAGAGTATAATATATAATGATATATGCGAAGACGTACGTAGTTTTTAAAAGTGTGCAATATCGCATAGCGTGCAACTTATATTACATACGTGGCAGTATTCATGAAAAAAGCAAAAGACAGCGCAGCTCTTATCTAACGAAAATCTTGGTGTACGCGCTAGTTTTTAGAACTTTATTAGTCACACACGCGCGCGCGCGAGAGAAAAGAGAGTCAGGTCGACTTGTTTTAATTTTAGACGCGAGCGCAAGTCGCAACGAGGCGCTTTTTTTACGCGACTATTTTTACCTTCGTCTTCGCCGCCGGCGGTAGAGCAACGATTTTCGGAAAGCTTTGTGAAAGCTCGATCGTTTGTGTTGTTTGATAGGGGAGAAAAATTAATAATTTGACAATCGTTCGTTCACGACAAATCGCGTTGCTCTCGAATGTAGAATTGGCGAATCGAATCCGGATCTCGCATTGCGAAACAGCCGACTGCGGGTTCGCGCGCGCGCGAGCGAGCGAGCGAGCGAGCGAAGATATCCAGTTACCGTCGAGGCGACAAATTCGCCCCCTCCGTTTTTATCTTCGACGAACGATGCTCTGCTTTCTGCGCGATGCTTCCAAAAATACGTGCCGCCTGAAAATAGCTTTTCGCGCAATTTCTCTCGCGGCTGGAGAAAGAATCATCATTATATGGCGAGAAGGCGAAACGCGCGAGCGCGCGACACAATCGAGTGTGTTTTCTAGTTGTGCAATCGACGATCTTTTTCAGGGCGGAACGACCTGCATCACACTCTCTCACTCACAATGCAATCGACTTCAAAGGCCATTCATTATTTTGTTCGTATAGCAGCATAATATATCGCAAGAAGATTATATCTATACAATATATTTACGTAGTAGAGGTATATATATACGTATGTATATTTAATCGAAAGCGATTATACTCGTAAATAGCTTTTCTCTTTGCGTCGAATTACTCGATCGATATTTCGTTTAGGCATGAAACGCGGTTTTATACTTTTAACATGTCGGACGATCTTAAACAGAAAAAGGGATTATTTTATTTTTCAATGCGGTGACGGCTATATCTTTGATATTATTTCGTTTAGTCTCCTACATTATCTTTGTTTCATGCCCCACAAACTGTATTTAATTCTTCCGCGTATATTTTACTTGATAATCTTTAATATACAGTAGTGCGAAAATAAATGAACGAAAAGATTTCACTAACAATTGCGAAATGAAATTGTCTGGAAGTAACGACTAACTGGAAAGACGGTGTAGTAGTTAGCAAGTATACCACTAGAATCTCGAGTTTAACAAAAGAATATATATATATACACATACATACGAGAAAAACGAATCCCTAGGGTTGACAGTATATGGAATAATACATAACACGCGACTAAAAAAAAACGAACAACGACTACTAACTTTCGTCGGTCCGCAATTCATTGAGATCCTCTTCATTTGTCCCTGTGAAAAAATTGCGCTTACTTAGACAGGTTATGGTTTGATATATCTCTCACTCTAATCACAGTGTTTTTATTTTTTACTTTTCGTTTCTTGATTTGGCCATACACTCAACCATTCCGCTACATCCTGAAAGATTCTGCTTTGGTTAAACCTGTCATAACAACAAAGATAATCCTACATGTTTTTCGTGTTCTTCTTTTGTTTATCTCGCCTAAGATTAATCCATGTTTAACGTTGACAAATTGATCGCGATTGAAAAAAAAAAACGTAGCTATAAATATTATTATCGTTTTTACACCTAGAATCGCAAATGGGTATGCGGCCAAATTATCCCAAACTGATCGTCGTTATTCCTGTACAAGATATACGAATGGCTGGTGATTAGATAGTATTATAAAAAAATCAGACACCGAGATGCGCGCAGGGGTTGATTTACTGGCGCAAACACGACTTTGAACAATTGTAAGACTATAATGAAAAAAATCCAGAGAAAGAAACGATAAAAAAAAGAATGATATACGCACGCCTAGGGACCAAAACTCAAATCGTTTTCAGGACTGATGGTTCTAGCGTTTACTCGCCTCCATGACGAGATCTCGTTCGAAAATTATCTGTGTACCAAAAAGAGAATATCTGTTTCGGATTGAATAATTAATAATACTCATTGCAATACTCTGTCAAAACGTTGATCATTATTTCTTCGTAAAATTTTCGAATTAAGACGAAGCCATGGAGTTTGAAAATGCGCATGTTACGAGGAGAACGATTATATTGTGTATACAATTTATTTTTTACGATTATACTTTCTTTCTTTATTTTTTTAGTCGTCGTACGTATTTTAACGAAAGAGAAACGGAAAACGAAAAAAGAGAATATTTTAGTCCACGTTTTTCGCGTGTCGCTGAGCGCGCGAATGAGTTTCATTCTAATCGACGTAATCACGCGATTTTTCGAGTAAATGTCCAAGCAACATTATACATGACTCCCTCTCTCTCGATAAATTATTTAAAATATTACGTATTTATATGCGATAAGTTTAATTTAGGAAACACGCACACACGAGAAACATAAATGCACGTACCCACACGCACGCACACACACACACACATGTACAGTCACACACACGCGCTTTGAAGGTTCAGCAATGAAATCTCGATCATTACTTATTGATAGCGGTATACAAATAATATTTTTTTTAAGAGACAGGAATAACATTAGGAAATCAAAGCACACCCATAACGAGTGAGATTCACTAGTAGTATATAGTTTATACTTATTAACTATTGATCGCAACGTTTTTTAACTTAATTTTTATCACTCGAGAATAAAAACGAAAAAAAAAAACAGCAATACAAGCAAGTGTTTATGCGTTAAGTATTCTAGCATTTAAGCTCGTAAACGCCATACTCTTTTATTTTTGTACGTCTGCGTAAGTAAATGGACGAACCTCTCGGCAAAGCTCAATCATCACGAATTTCGTTGCTTTATTTTCTGAACAAAAAAAATCGACAACGACGGCCTATCCGACAGAAAGAATTGAGCTTCGCCTGAGATGTTCAGAAGTCCCCACAACAGTGAGCGTCTACTCAAAAGCACATGCACACAGAATGAATCCAAAACACGAATGAATAGCGTTATCGAAGTTCACTTAAATGCCATAATTTACATGTTTTCCGTGAATCCTTTGAATAACTGTTGGATTCGACGTCAAAGTTTCCTTTTTTCGAAGCGATCGTTGAGCGCTCCGTTTGGAAACTTGACGTCGAACCGGCACTATCGAACCAGGATAATCGAAGCAACAGTCCTCGAGGAGAGCAGAAGCCGGAAGCGGCCCTTCACGATCTACTCCAAAAAAAAACCTAAAGAAAACGTAAAAACACAAAAGCAAAACTAATGAGAGCATCTATGTATATGTAAAACAGGTGCAGCGGGCGCTGTGAAGCAGCGTAGGCACTTGAGCCAGATACGAGAGCACCCCTATCAGAGGGCGGGCGCGCTCTCGTGAGAAGGTTAGTTTATATCATCAACAAAAATTACTATAACACATCAATAGCGAGAAAAAAAATGCATATATATGTGTATGTATATATATATATATATATGTGTGTGTATATGTCTATATATATATATACACATGTTATTGCCTAACTTGTAAGTCGCAAAATTTCTGTTGAGATGAATGCACCCTCGAATGTTTATACGTCGTTGGAAAAGCGATCGGCTGTCAGCGGGTCGCTTATCCAACCGCTCGCATACTTTCTCTTTATTTTTTGCACAGACGCGTATGCATTACCCATACGTAGCATGGATATTGCGTTTGAGAGAACGTTGTTGTGTGCGTATGTACCTGACGCCCCGAAGGCACAGTTGCCCCCTCATACTTGTGAATTTCGTACATTCTTTCTTCTTTTTTTTCTTTTTTTTTTTTGGTTTTTTTTTTGTTCTTCGTTGTTCTTCTTTGTCAAAATTCACGCCGCGTACGCGCGATTTCGAGATACGAAGCCGCGATCATGTGCGTCATGATTGGGTGCGCACCTCCCCATTTTTATGAATGATATACCTCACGTATGTTTCGTCCATGTTCCTTTTGAATACACTTCTTGGGTAGATTGACAAATTTTTTCATGTTCCTTTGGCGAAAAATCTGTTCTTATCAGGAGAGAATCCAAGGTGAGTCAGGGGCAGTGTGTTGTCTGTGCTCGCGTTAAAAAATTTGTCCGGGTATTGACAAAAAAAGCAAAAAAAGGAATCACTAAAGAATAAAGAGAAAATGACATCATAGACAATATGAGATTTGTAAGAGTTTAGCGAACGACGCTCATGGTGCTTACGTGTCAGTATAAGGAATATATTATTACGATGTTACATGTGAGAAAATTACGATTGTTATCCATGTATTATCACTTCTCTCTCTTCTCTCCTTCCAGGACTTTATGTTACATTTTTGCATTTCAATCGAAAAATACAATTCGGTATTATCACATAGTAGGCTCTCTCTATTTTTTCTTAGTCTGTACACTTCTTATATGATCGCCCCTTCGCAAAAAGAAAACGAACGAATTTATTTTCCTTCTCTTGGCAACTTGTGCCTGTGGAACACTTATATTTTATTTCTATTTATACACGATGATTATTATTTATATATACGTAAACGTTATGTTATACATATATATTATACATATATGGAAAGAAAAAGGAAAAATTACGTCGACGTTGAATTTGCATTCGAATTTATTTGTATATAGATTATGCGCCTTTATCAGTTATATACGTATCAAGTAGAAAATACGAAAACAAATAAACGATTTATATGAAAAAAAGTACAAGAAATTCGCAAAAAAGTTGGTCTTTCTTCATTGAGCGCCCAAAAGAATAAAAAAGAATTAAGAAAGTATGGGTGGCTATGTGCGCGCCGCGCTGTTTCCTCAATTTTCGAGTTATTGTCGCGACGAACGTGCTTTCAGCTTTTTAATCAGAAATGTTGCTCGTCCATTCCTTTTATGCATATTACTAAATGTTTATCAAGTTCATTCAGACATGGTTATTAGGCCTGACTTTCCTAATTCAAAATGATTTCGTTCTATCAGTGGTAACGTTGAAATAAGTGTGGTAACTTAGTTACTTATCAAGTAGCAAACTTTTTGTCTAGTATGTAATATTGAATGCTATTAACTAATTTCAAAACATAGGTTGTAAGTAGTAATTTATAAGTATTAATTGACATCTACGTCGTTGGATATATACATCTGTATAAACTAATCAGCTCTCAATGTTAACCACCTTACAAACATTTATTTTAACAGCAAGATTAAAGTAACGTTTCTAGAACTTTTAGCTACGCAAATAAAAGACGAAATTATTTTGACACTGAAAAAAAAAGGCATTGAAACCTGCTCGATTTTACTAACACATATATATTGCAAATATAATTCTCACGGACTATTTACGCAAAAGTACTGACACTTTAATAATTTGTATACGAAAATTGATCCAATTGACAAAGAATTACTTTTCACCCTTTTTTATTGAAAATTAATCAATGAGCGCAATATTCATATCCATTTTCATTTATAGTCCGCACAGCAGCACCATTTTTTTTCTTGTTAAAACAAAAAAAATGAACTAACAAAATGCTCCACATGGCCAAGTTGACGCTAACTTTTTCTCTCTCTCTCTCTCTCTCTCACTCACTCGCGAGACGAGATTCAAGTACTGTCGCGCGCATGCATACATTTGAGAATTGTCAGTTCTCAAATTAACCACACTGTGCCACTGTATATAAATAAATATGCGTGCGTGTGACTACTTTTTTTCACACTCTCTTACTCAATGAAAAATTAAATAATTAAATAAATAAAATGAAAACATTTTCTTCTCAATATCTGTAAAATAATACTGACAAAAACAAGCCCAATAATTTTAATTGTACGTAACATTGCTTCTGACATTACCTGGAACAAAAGAAATACTTTCATTGTTTTTCTTCGTTGAATCGGCTGACAACATCCGATTTACATTTTACGACTAAAAACAACTCATGGGCCTCTTTGACGCACTCACTTGCTGGGACATTATTATCGTTAATTTTTTATCGGTATTACCAAATGACGAATTAATAACTATTAATTGATATTACACGCAACGATACAGAATATTTTCTTAACCGAAAAAATCAATTACTGGCACCGTACATATAATTGTGTATATGAAGTCTTCTGGTGGCTGGTGTGCACCCAAGCTGCGTCGATTTTGTTTGTTGACGCGATGGCAATTTCCTACTCTTGTTTATTGTATGTTTGTTCATTCAACAAATTTTTAATTGCAATCCGATTGCTACGTTTACGTCTCCTGCTCACATTCACAGTAAAAGAATAATTTATTTAAGCTAATATAAAAAGATGCAGTGAGTATGAAACGATAGCACTAACTTCGATGCCATGATCGTTTTATTTTATTTTCGTTTTTATAAATTGGGTATTTCTATGCACTTTGTTTTGAATTACTCGCATAAATATTTTCTTCTTAAACATTTTTCATTGTTACTCTTATTGTTATTGTAGCGTAATGTTTGTCAAACAATTTCACAACCGAAATACCAATGGTTTCGATTGTTTTCAAATGATAATCCAACTGAGTTCGTAAGCCTATAATCATGTTATTGTGCGGGGAGGGTACACAAGCCACACCTTGTCACAGAAAACATAACGTGAATGAAAAATGTAGTTTTAAAAACCAATCATAATAATTCATAGAACTTTTTTGACTGAAGGCGTGGGTGTTCATAGTGTTTTTAACGTTATCAAAGACTATGATGACGAAACGTTCACAAGTCAATAACAATATCGTTTTACGTATGTGATGATTCGAACGCTTCAAACTAATCAATTGTTATACTTACATTCAACATTTCTCTCTCAATGATGAAAAAATCAATAATTGAATGATAGAATGAAAGAGAATAATAATTTTTAATAATAGAATGCAAAGCGATACTCATTTCTTGCACAATTAGCATTTGTACATTGAAAAGAATAACATGAATAACATGATATGTAGATATAACTAACATTGACAAATTGTTCACTAGTCCACTCTTTGTAAAGCAGAAATCGATATACCTACATCTGTTATTAATCGTTACTATTACGCTTCTATTAGATTGATATAACTTCTCGATCTCGTTTTTAACGAACTATAGAGCATCGCTTTGCACTGTCTAACATACATTTACAAATGCAATACATCAGTTACAAAATCTTGTTATCTTCTATGCAATACAATTTGGAAATTGATTGTAAGAAAAACGCACATTCAAAGTCACTTCATAATCCATTTGCATCGAGGATAAAAAGACATTCATGAAAATTGTATCAACTTCTTGATTATCCGATTCATCGAACAGTGGACACTTGTGTCTTTTCCACTAACCGCTTTTCTTTCCTAGTAAGAAGTTGATTCAATAAACAATGAAAAAGAAAAGCAAGAAACAATAATCACTAACCAAACTGTTTTTATCTTTTTTTCTTGTTAACCCCGGTTGCCCAGGCTTGCGGAGTGCTAACAATGGAGTTATCCACACTCGTCTCGTACTCTAACACCTGTAAGGACCGACAAAAATCTAATGGACACAAAAAACAAAAAAAAACAAAAAAAAACAAAAGAAAAAAAACACGCAGAGCGTTCGATCGCGACCAATCTCGCTCTCTCACATTTTTTCTCTCTCTATCTCTCTCACTCGCCGCCTCATGATATTGGAGATACACGCGGAGAAGAACAAGTCACCTCTTCTTTCTTGATTTTTTTGTTAATCCTTTCATCCTTTCCGGAAAACAATAATTTTTGATTAATTTATTTTGCAAAGCAATTTTACAAAAAGTTTTGGTAGTTTTTTCTTTATTATTTTTTTTTAACGGTATAGATTCTTTTTTGAAACGCTTAGTTTTTAAAGAAAACGAACGTTGCTTTTTTGAAACCTTTTTTATTTAGCTTTCGATGCGATGCAGTGAATTTTAGTAGAAAACAAAAGGCAATATGTTTTTTTTCTCCTTCCTACTTTGTCGAATAACGAGATTGAGAGAGTACCGAGTTTTTAAACGGGAGGACGATGGAAGAACAAATAGAGCTAGTACGACGGAGGATGGCAACCCCACAAGAGGAGGAATCTCAAGTGTACTTACGAACCGAAGAGAGAGAAAAAAATAATGACGGAGAGTAGGAGGCGACGATACTCATTAATTATTAGCTTCCCGAAGAAGAAGTCGAGCACAGGTGAAGATTTAACAAGAAAGAAAAATTATATGTACGAGAGGCGCCCAATCTCTTCTTCTTGGCAATATTTTTATAAAAATACGAGCAATCGAATTTTTATTAGTCTTTAAGCCGACACGCAAATGATAACATGTAGTGTAGAAAGGTCGATAATCTATCTATTGTTATGAACAATTTTTTTCGCCGTTTCGCGCGAAATTAAACAAAGAGTATAAATATATATATATATATACATATATATATATATATATAGATAGTTATATGTGTTTAAAAAATTTAAGAAAAAAATACAAATTATATAAGAGATGCATATATACGTATTTAAATACAACACATCAGCGTTGTTTGAAGCCGAGGCAAGAGACGCTCGAAGAGATTGTTCGATTTACTTAATAAAACAACAACAAGAATATGTAGAGTGTGCGAAAGAAAAGCTACGGAGAAACGTGAGGAAAGTAAAGCTATGTCAATTTAAGTCGCGGAGTAGCAAGCGAAAAAGTTTAAACAAAAGAATGGGCTTCGCGTTGTCGACGATGCGTGCGCGCACACGCGAATATATTTTTTGTTAATTCAGTTTTTGGGGCCTGCCATACGATTTAATTGTAAGGACAAACGTATATATGTAGTTGAAATACGTCTCAACGACTGTCCCCCTTCAAACAGCAGACAGGCATACAATTTACAAAAAGATAACTGTGTGTAAGAATTTTTATTTTATCACTCGTAATATAGTTTTATGTTAGGGTTTATTTCTCTTCTCATTATTGTAGATCACCTTTACATACGCATTTTCTTTTTGTTTTCTCACTGTCCGTGCGACCCAAAGGAGATTTTCACTGAACAAAACATTTCTAGAGTAACTAATCGTTAAGGCAGTTCTTACAATCATTAACTTGAGGGTTGTTTTCTTTTTCTTTGACAGAGTGTAATTTTTCGAATTTCATTTCGAAGTGTAACTTGTTGACCATATATCAAGAACTAAATATCAAATTTGCTTGTTGAATTTTAGAAATTTCTCCGCCGGGGTCATAAGTGCTTTAAAAGCTATGCCTTTGTACATAATTAATCACTAAGTGATTTTCAATCTACTTAAGTTTCGATATCATTTGCAATATGACATTTTGTCCGTTTAATTAAATCAATATACTGATTCAGTTTATAATTATTTTACAGTATATCGTACACTACGTAAATTTACCATAATCAGTTTAAGATTGTTAAATAACGCAATGACTGTTTTCGTTTTTTCTCTATACAATGTTACTGGATGTTAATCCTGTCAGAATCAGCACTCGATTTTAAATATGAAGATAATAATACATATGTTTTATCGCACAACCAACCAAATCAAAGGTTCTAAAAATTGCCGCAACTCTTAAATGTAAAGAAAATGAAAATGTTATGTTGCATTATTTAAATGTTCAAAAACCAGTTGCAATAATAATGTACACATTAGTTGTGTAGTCTTACAAAAATTCTATCTTGAATATTGCATAGCTCTTTTTTGTATTTTATAGCGACTTCGGCATGTGCCTTAGATCTAGTGCAAAATAACGTGGCAATAAATAATTACTACCCATTGCTATTAATATTATTTTTATTAGGTTAAATATTTATGTCGTAAACATTACGGGCAGCGTTGCAAATTCATTAATAATTTTTATAAATATATTTAAAGAAATCTCTAGAAGATCTGATTATATAATCATTATTATAATTTGTAGATTCTATTGAAAAACTGAAAGAAACGTTAGATGAATTACCGTATTTCGTGTTTTTTTGACTTCGAAAAAGTTTATATATATGTGTGTATGTATACGTATGTATATATATGTGTATATATATATATATATGTATATATACATAATGTGTGTGTGTAGATTTTTTTGCGATAAGACTATATCAAGAAGAAAGGTATATATAGAAAAAATATATGTATATGTTACATGTACTACAGAAAAAGTTGTATGAAAGATAAGTAGGAAATGAATGAGGGAATCGACTCGTCTGGAGAAAATCCTTTTGACAAAAAGCAATAATCAGTTTTATTCCTTTTAAGAGATATAGAAACTATATAAGTCGTCATTATCTGACAATAGAAATATATATATTCGTGAATCATTTTCTTTCTTCGTGTCAACTTAAGTAATAATATGTAATGTGCGGTTTTACATTTGAACAAGCGGAATCTCACGTTCGCGCTTTTTCTTCTTCCTTTTCTGTTTCGCTTTTTGCACTCGGAATGCCATCGATCGCAACGATCGATGTACTTCTACGAATAACGTGCCTTATATATTTCATGTTTTTCTTGATTGTTTGTTTGTAACTGATTTGGTTTGAGAAGTTCTACAAATTATTGATATGTGTTAACGAGAAGAAAAGAAAATAGGCAAGTTTAAAGTTTCACAAACATGCCGGTAGAGTTTTCTTTTTGTTTTTTTTTTCTTTTCTATTCAAAGATCTGCGTGTAGTAAGAGAGAAATTAACGAAACTTTATCGCACAAAGTTCAGTGACAGAGGCATATTTTTATTACTTATATTCAACTGTTATAAAATGCGATAAACAGTTATAGCAGCACTGGAATAAAATAAATGTCACAAAACGTATCATTTTTTATTCTCTCGACCTTTAACAAATCCTTCATCTCCTTGTCAACTCATGATCACTGAGTGAAAATACAAATTGTACATGTATCTTGATTAGTGTCATTTTAACTTCTTAGCTTTTCGAACTATCGAAGCATAGTCTTAGAGTATATTTGCATAAACTGGTTGGTTAAACACTTATGAAATTCTCATTATAATACCAGACAAATAACTGATATTTTTAAGGTACAAAAGTTTGAACAATTTTCACAGTCATGTTTTATATAATAATTTGAAGTATTTTTATTATGTAAAATTACTAAAATACAAACCAAATTTGTTTGGTTCAATCACTGATCAAATTGTGATAGATCGAAAATAGTTACTTGTAAATCAGATTTTTACTTTCGTTACACTTAAAAATTAATTATCGTGTATTAAATCTAAAGCGTTTTACCAATTCCATTCATCGAAATGAAGAGCATGGTCAACTCAGCTACAGTGAGTATATTTACATAGTCTAATTTTGAAAATAAATAAAGTCTGCAGTTTATTATCAGTACTAAATTTAATAAAGAGGACGAAAGTTGCTTCTGCATATCTATATATATTTTTAGTTGAATGAAAAAATATTTTTAAAATACTACGATGCTGTTAAACAATATCCTTTTATTCTTTTTAGAATCAATGCTGATAATTAGATACAATTTGATTACTTTACTAAAGAAATGTCATGAAAATTCGGATTATTTTGTGACAATGATGCTTATTGTTTGTAGACAAGCACAAAACTTTTTGTCGGAAAATCCAATAACGATGCTTTTATATTTATTCGATATTATAGTAAAATAAGTGACATAACGAAGTACTTTTCCTCCAAGCTGCAATATGTATGAACATTACGTTCGATCCCTGGTTTGCAAAAGATTACGAATGAATTTTGTTCCTCATCGATACATAATAACAATTATTTTGAACTAGATTAGCTGAATTCGAAAGTTCAATGTTGAAATGATGTATCTTTGTATACGGTAATGAAAAATGCAGCGAAATATGGAGTGTACCGTCGTCGCTCGAACTCCAGCGTGCGCGCGCGCAGACGAGTTTTCGAGCCTCTCTTTTTCGACCAATGACTGGGGCGCAGGATCACGCCGAATCCATCCGCGATCAATAGTGCCGCCAGAATTTCCACGGGGCGAAGCCGCGCGCCTTGTCCGGCAGACGCTCGTCGCGTTCATTTGGTCGGGATCGTCGATCGCGCATCGTCACTTGCGGATTGCATCATGAGAGCGGCGACCGCAGAGAGTGAGTATACAGACCTTGGTGCCGCGTTGCCCGCGGCCGATCTGCAACAATTGTTACGTCATACGGAGCGGTTACGCGCGCGCCGATGACAATGGGATCTATATTTCGTTGTGGTTCTCAGGCGAAGCGAACGACACTGCCATACAGCCTCGGAAATATGGCACTCGCCGTAATCGGTGCGCCACCGACCAACGTTGGATCATCTATTTCGTGGTGTTTTTCATTCTCTGGCTGGCGTGCTGGCTCCGTGAGAAATCTATTTTTACAGACCCGTAGCGCGAATTTGCCGTCTGCCGATCACATTTAACGATCAATTGTTTTGCTACTCAACAGTCGTCCACGACAGAAAGGATCGCCATATCCAGTCCGACAACGCGTTGCAGGAACTTCCAGAACTCGGCTACGTTCTACCAGATGAATCCGAGTTTAGCGTATCTTACTGGGGCAAATCTTGGATTTTCGATGCCGTTACGTTTAACGTCGGCTACTTGAAGGCGCATTACAACAGGAGGTATAACGATTAGGCGTTCGACTGCACGGAGGCAATCGATAATTTTAATGCATCCGATACGATGTCATGTTTAGCGGGTCGATCGTACTATTCATCAACCTATTGCTCTCCGCCGGCTTGATCCTTTACGGATTTACTTCGATCCTCTCGGCTCGCATGTCCAGCAAGCAAATGCGCTACTTCGCCAGACCTCTAGTGTGCTTTCTCTTCTATTACCGCTTCCTCATGTACTTTCCAAGCCGCTTGCAGCTGATGAACTTGATCTTCTTCGACACAAAGATCAATTATTGGCTGATACCAGAACTGATAGTTATTGTAGTTTTGCTAATAAAGCCGTCGCTCGAGAGAAATTCCAGAGGCAGGGATGCCCACGTCAATGAGAAAATAAAGTATGACGACGTTATGTCGAGAGCGAGTGCAATATTTTTGATAAGAATCGAAACCGTAAAACTTTTATGACAGTTTTCAGATGTTCATGGGATACGTCAGTGTGGTTGGCGTTACCCTCTTCGTGTCTCTGGAAGTCTTGATGTTGCTGACAGCAGCGCGCGGCTACGCGTTAGGCTGGGACAACCCAGCCTTTTACATGATCGCCGGACTGAGCTGCTACGTAGGCCTTACCTTCTACCACTTCGGACTGATGGTGATATCTTGCGCGACCAGCATCTCGTTCGAGAGTCGGAAAGCCAGCCTGAAAGATCTGGCACGAGCGATTGGCGTTGTCGGCCGGTGCGTATTTCATCGAGAGCGAGCCAACCAACGCGACGCGCTCGTCAGCGATTGCTGAGCTTTCAGGTATCATTTCGGAACGGCCTGTTACCACGCGACCCTCGTATTCCCCAGAGTGCGTACCACCGTGCTGACGATGAACGCGCCTGCATTCGGCAAGCTGCCGGTGTCCATGGCAGCTCACAGACTTTGCGTGTCGCACTTCAACGTTCACGGCATATCGGCGGTTTCGACCGCTGTGCACGGGCGCAATCATTCGTCGTCGATCAGGGAGCTGCTGCGGCTTTTCAGTGACGATGCGCCGATAGCGAGACGTTGCCAAGTGAGTGCCGAGGATCGCCATTCGCTTCGCGAAACCTAAGCGATCTGACCGTTTCGACGCTTTTCAGCATTTCGGGGCAATCTGCGCAAGTTTTCTGGCGCTCATGATAGGCATGAACAATCTGTCGTTTACGCTGCTGTGCATCCACGGCGTCGTATTCGGGCCTCTCTTCGCGATGGGCACGTGGATGATGTACCTCACGGTGATGTTTTTCAACTACATATTCATGAGAGCTCACGACGCGGCTGCGGACACGATTTGGCTGCTCGTCAATAAAGAGGAGGAAGTCGAGTTCTAGTTGCGACTTTTACAAGCGGAACTGACGAGATTACTTGCGATTCGCTCGACCTACGTATTATTGTCGTCGAGTCTCGATAAGCAGTTGCGCTCTTTTTCTGGACAATCTTTTATTGACTTGCTCGCGTCATCGACGGGGATTTCACGGGAAAGGCGAATTTTTCATTTACGAATTAGTTGTGTCCTCGTCATGTCGTCTGCCCATTTTATATTAAAAACTTGTATTTTTTTTGACAATAAAGAAACAGCGTGCATACGTATTACTGTGCTATCTTCATTTATTCGCTATCCTGGATGAACTGGAAATGTTTACTCGCCGTTACACATAGCGTGTACGTGCATGCATATCTTTTGCAAATTATTGCGAGTATTTTTGGGGCTCTTAATTTTTCAAAGGCCTTTTCATTGACATATTGTTGTACGTATTAGCAATTTGATATACCGATAAAACGTTCGGTAGAATAATCAAATGTTTGGCCGAATATACGATGTCAAATATCAGCAAAGTCCGACGTATTCCCGGCTGCGCGCTGCGTTGCGCGCGTGAAATCCCATGATAATTTTCCCGAGAGAAAACCCTCGGTAATTGCACATAGCGTGCTGCTCAGCCTGCGTCATCGATCACTGACGCGCGCACACGCGCGTGCTTCGGAAAACTATGTCCTAGGACGGAAAAAAAGGGGAGCTGTGCCCTAGCCGATCAATAGCGGACGCTGAAATTTCACAGAAACGCAGCTGCCTGCTCTCTCCCCATAGTCGCGCATATGCGATATCTGCCGTTGTTCGTGCGTGTCCAACAGTACAGTGCGTTTCGTACAGTCCAACGCTGACCATGGCTACGGTAACCGTGAGGAGTGAGTATATACATCTTCTTTCGTTACATCCATCGAGGATGTGCAGCTGACTGCTTTTGCTAATTCGTAAGGAAGTCACAATTGACAATAACATTATTCGCAGGTACTGAGAGAAGTACCACCGATAGATATTGGAGCATTTTAATCGTCGTCGCTGTCGTCATTTGGATAGTGGCCGGACCTCGAGGTAAGCCATCAATGAGCTTAAACACTATACTATACTAATCGTCCAATAATCATTTAACGCGCTGTCTGTATACGCGATAGTGAGCTATCGCGAATCTGACTGCAAAATTATTCCTGATGACGGCAGAGCGGCGAATGGAACGTCTAGATTTGTTCGAAATGAAACCGACTGCAATACCGTACCTGTCACACAATCAGTCAGGCAGCGTCTTTTGATATACATCAATGGTGTCTGGACCGACTGGCACGACTATCAGATTATATGTGGCCGTGATCTTTGGAATGGCAACCATGGCAGAAGGTGATTCAAGCACAACTGCGTAAAGCTAACCAATTAATTTGAAAGCACGTCTAACTTTCGCGTATAATTTCCAGCGTTTTGATCGCGATATGGGCGAACGTACTGGTTTGCGCTTGTATAATCGTTTACGCTGTCGCTTCGATGCAGGCGAATAGTGAAATAGTATTCGAAATAGCAATGTCCATCTACGTCCTGTTTTCGATGATTTTCCTCAGCCGCTTTATGATATTGGTGAATTACATGACGCTACATCCTAACTCAAGAGTAACCTTCAAAGATCAACTGTTGCTCTGGATAATGCCTGAAATCGTATTATTAACAATTTTGTGTACGAGGGTATCAGTATCGTGGCCTGGACGAGCCAGGGACGACCGGGGCCGCGCGGTCGACACGCCCGAACGAGCCAGGGACAACCAGAGCCGTGCGGTCGACATGCCCAAACGAGCCAGGGACGACCAGAGCCGCGCGGTCGACACGTTCGAACGTCCAAAGTACGATACTTTTAATGCCCGAGACTCGCAAAGCTTCCGATGTCATTTGACAAATTTCATTTCAGAGTGCAATTTCTGAATTTCATCTATCCCTTAATTTGGCTGGTTATAACGCTTATTTTATACGAAACGATTTTCGAGTCAGCTTACAAATTAGAGTGGGTCAACCGATGGTCTTGCGTAGTCGCCACGTCGCTAGTCTGTTACGGCTTGCTCGCGATTTACCATTTCCTTAAGATGGTGTTGTCTTGCTTAGTTGACCTCACGCTCACGGGAAACACGCTAGGCAGAAATGCTTTTAAAGCGCTGTACCTCGTCTGCCGGTAAGCTGCACTTTGTCGCGCTCGTATCGCGCTCGTGTCACGCCCGGTAAAGATGCAAATCGGCATTGATTTTGCAGGTACCACTTGGGAACCGCGTGCTACCGCGCGACTCTAATATTTCCCCGAATACACGCGACGATCGTGGTGAACGAGCAGGCATCCATAGAACGCTTGCAGCTCTCGGCGGCTCGCAGATTTTACTTGACGCACTGGCACATCTACAACCTTTCTACGACTGTGAGCGGCGCGCGTGGATACAATCACTCCGAGTCGATCCGAGAGACTTGGCGATTTTTCGTCAAACACCCCGATAAATTGCACAACTTCCAAGTGAGCTGCACACACGCTTCGGCTTGATGTCTTCGTCTTCACGACTGATCTTGAATTCTTTTTTTTTCAGATATTCAAGCACTTACACAAGTATTTCTTCATAATCCTGATGATGACTAATAATTTAATGTTTATTTTTTTATGGATTCACGGAGCTATCATTGATCCTCGTTTTCCTACGGGAACGTGGGTTGCGTATATTATAGGCTATTTTTTATCTTTAATACTCTTGAATTGGCTCGACACTGTTTTTGATGTAATTCGATTTCAGGAAGCTAATAAGACTATTTTCACCGAATTACTTTAACCGAAAATTTGTACGATCTAACCGACAGAATCATTGTATCGCAGCAAAATGATTAAAAATGTTTATACATGCTAGTATAGCGTTAACGAATATTCGAGATATATTTGCGATCATAGAAGTATGCGGAATGATGAATTATTTTAAACTGTCACAAGTGAATGTCAGTGTTTTTATATCTTACAACATTATCGAGTTATGATATGTGGAAAGAATAAATAGAATAGCATATGTAATTATCATAGCAAAGCTATTTCTTCATCATTGTTTTAAACATTGAATTCGGCAATACGAAGGAGAAATTTGCTATTATTAATACTACTGGGCAAAAACGTAAATTACTACTTTGTAACAGCAGAAATAGCAGCGCACCAGAATAGATGAAGAGAACCAGCGTAAACAAATATGAATTAAAGGGTACCACAATAGTTTGTCGAAACAAAAGATTTAATTAGTTCCAATTGTAAGAATCACGCGTGGATTGTACAAGCTCGTGAAACTCCAGCACAGGGAAATCTATAATTTTCAATCAATGATTGCGATTCGCTAATGACTTCGTGCGATTTCCGTTCGTTTGGCACTGCGTGTCAATGTAATCAACTATACATATAATCTATACTCGTATAGATGCCAATCAAGATACTGCTTTCGTGCACGCGATTGGTTGACACAGGTACGGTAAAACTCAACCTAGTACTGATGTTTATACACAGTGGTAAAGCGAATATCATAGTATAGGCGTGTTGACAGTTAGTCAGACAGGGTTGGGCGATTCTGTCAAAAAGCTTCCAGCAATTGACTTCAGACCTCACAATTTTCATAAAGCGGGAACGAATTTTGTAAAACTGCTGGAAGTTTTGTGACAGAATCGCCTAACCCCGTAGTGAGACTGCAGTGAAGCGCCCGAGAAGCTGTTTTCTCTGATCTGTTACAATCGATACCTGTTGTACAGTCTTCATGAAAGATAATAAATAGAATATACACAATTATGAAATAAATATGATCGCTAGTTAAATGTGCAATATAGATCCTTAAATGTATACTTCTCATAGCGATTTAGATTGTTCAATTATCAGCGGACGGCAAACGTCCGCGCGAAGGTCAAAATCAGTATAGAAATGTCAAGCACGCCTGGAGCGCATCTGTCGGTTCTTATTTTATTAAACTCTACATTCGAAATTACGGGATCCGAATTCGATATGACATCGCGATTGGGCATTTATGAATTTCTTTAAGATCTCTTAACAATGCATTGGCTACATCTTCCAGAAAATCTTTCAGCTAACTTATAATTGTGTCCATTAAAATCGGTACAACCATCAAAAACTGAAAACATCGATCTTAAATCGAATTAATCAATGACGTACTGCGCAGGCGTCGCTAATATCTTTTGATCAGTTATTTTTATATTATAACAACAATAATATTTTCTAGTCGCGGTGTATATATTTATTATTTCAATAGGTCATAAATAGTACTAACAAATAATTGTTTTATATGAACACCAACCTCGAGTGGGTTTTGAAATCTCAAAATCGGTAGTGATTATCTTCTGCTTATAATTTTCTGTTTTCATTCTGCGTATGATTTAAAAATCAATGAGTGTAGTCGTTAAAGTCCTATAGCAGGTTAAAATCAAACATTAAATTGTGTAACTGCATAATAATGTAATAAATCAATCTTTCGTTTATGCAGAGTCGGACTTTCGTAAAAGTGCATATTGAATACTATAGACATTTCTTTTCTAAAATTGACAGTTATTATTTACCAAACAAAACGTTTTTACTCAAATAAGCAGTCACATGTAAAGTAATACAAATCTTTATTATATATATTACGCAGTATAACCATGGGTGATAGTGATTCTTATGATTCTGCAGCATCAGATATATCTAATTCAGACTTTTATTGTTTGTACAATAATGACAGTTATTATAAATATTCCCGTGTGAAGATTGGAAATGTATTGTATACCAAAAAAGAATTGAAAGAAATTATTTGTAGTGATAGGCCAGATGACAAAGAAAAAGTGAAGTCAATGATTATTGACATAATAAAAGAAAACAACCGTGCTGCATTAATATCTTTCCCATGGGGAAGGACATTGTCTATAGATGAAGTATTGATAGAAGAAAAAGAACAGACAGCTATTCACTTGGCTTATTATTATAATGCCAGAGATATTGTGGAATTGATTGTATATAGCATATATACTGGTCATATAAATTCCACTGATTGCTATGGATTAACTCATTTACATGTGGGATGTTGGGCAGGGAATGAATATCTAATACAAAAATGTATAAGAGATGGTGCTAATGTTAATGCATATTTTGTAGAAACTGATACAAAAAATAATACAATATATGGAATAACACCTTTGCACATGGTGTCTGCACGTGGCTTTACAGCTCCTTCAGCAAGTGCAAAGTTGTTGTTGGAAAATGGGGCAGATATAACTGCAACAGATTCTCTAGGTAGAACATCCCTTCATATAGCATGTTCTACCTCTGCTTTTCCTTATGATCGAAATAATCCCGACCAAATTTATAAAAATGTTGAACTTATGAAAGTTCTTCTGGATGCCGGACTTGATGTTAATCAAAGAGACAAACATGGAAATACACCTCTTCTTTCTATTTTTCCAGAATCTTTTACTGTTGTTAATCAACTTTGGCCACGATATGTACCATTTGCCGAAGAAGTAGAAAAATTAAAGTTAATTATAGAAAGAGGTGCTGATGTTACAATCAACAACAGTGATGGTGATACAGTTTTACATCGTTTTATTAAAATGTTAATGTGTTCAAAATACCTAGAACCTGATGACTACATGAGTTACACTTCTGATCCAATGTTACTTGTAAAAATACTTGAAATTATTTTTAGTACCAAGAAACCAGTAAACATCAATGCCAAAAATGTATTTGGTGAAACTGCATTGCAATTAGCAGTGTCTTTGATGAATGCTAATATTGTAAAATTTCTCTTAGATCATGGTGCAAACTTGAGCTGTTTGAATTTCATAGAAAATGATGAATACTGCTTTTGTTATCCATATGAAATGCTAAAACTTGAACAAGTCTATAATGTGGTAAATATTATGGAGATGCTTTTGGTTAAAGAATTTAAATTATCTTTGAAGGACAATTTGACAATTATGAAATTCCTTATACATGATGTAGAAAATTGTGAATGTGGAAATTTCTCTTTTTCTGACAGTTATTTTAGAAATGATAGTTTTGAAAACAAGTTTAGAAAACTGGTGGCTTATGGCTCTTCAAAGCATTTTGAGTATGTGTTTAATAGAGATATTATGCCTCTAAAATCTGGATGGATTATCAATGAAACAAGAAGAGCAAGGGAATATGTTAAAGAATTATTTGAGTATAATGTCATCGCAGGTTTTTATATTGAGAAAGAAACTGTAAAATTGTTTAAACAAATACGAAGGAGAACAAAATCAATTCATAGTATTTCTGATAGTTACCTAAAAAAACTAGAAAAAGAAATAGATTGCATGAAAACCACAAAATTAGTAGGAGAAACAACTCTTTATGATATAATGATAAAAAATCCTCGTGATATTTATCAATATACAAGAAATATTAATATTCACAACCTTAGATTATCAAGCAAGTTTGATATCTACAAATATATGATAGAAGGGCATATAGCTAAATCACTAATTAGGCATTATATTGAAAAGTCAGCTTATGATTATTTATCAGAATTATCACTTGTATTACTTCCCAGTCTTTGTATTCGAAGACTTTTGCATTACCTGAGCAACGAAGATATTTTAAATTTATGTTTATACACCGTTTGTAGAAATTAAACTTGAATAGATCATGATAGAGAGTAAACAAATTTATTAAATATAAGTGTAAGGTTTTAAGACAGATATCTGTATAATAATATATTATAAGCGAAATATTATTTGTGTATATAGATTTTAATTTACGATTAAATACAAGAGGAAATATGAAACCCTCATTCATGATAGCGTAACAAATACGATAGGCATCACACGTGTTAGTTTGAAAACAAAGTTTATTTTTATTCATTATTTAACCATAAACAGTGTACATATATTTTCGATCATAGTAAGCCTGCGGTAAGCCACAATTGTACTTTATTACATAATACTACTACTTAAAGAAACAAAATGGTAGTATAACAATGAAAATTAAAGTTTTTTTAATTTCCATGCAAAAATCATCTTAATAAATAAGATTTCTTCTTAAAGTAAAGCTTTAATTTTCTTTGTTATCCGTCCCACAAAATTACCGTGTGCATTACATAATTTTTATTGAAAAATTTAACTTTTTCAATAAAATAAGATTTAACACTTTAATTATTGAATGTTAAATTATTAAGATTTAACATACAATAATAAAAAGATTTAACACATTTTTATGACGTCTATAGTTCGTGCGAGTGTGTATGTGTATTCCGACGTGTGATCAAGTCAACGAAGCAATTTAGATTTTAACCCTTATGTGCGTACCCAACTTTAGCCACGTTATTGCGCACCCGGGTACCCAGGTACCCACTTTTACTTTTTAACGGAAGAAGTTGAAATGAAGTTTTTATTTGATGTATCTTTTTTAATAAGAAATCTATTTGTAACAATTAATGTGAAATGACAATGAAATAAATATTATTGTTTTATTTTGAAAAAATTTGCAACTTTTTTTTACAAAAATGTTGAAATTTGTATATAACTATACAACAAAATTAACACTTTATAACTATTAGATCATAAATATTTAATAAGTTTATGTACAATTTTTTAATAAATATTTCTTATAAATATTTCTGATTTTTAAAATATCTAATTATTGAAATAGCTACCATTGTATTGCGTCGAAATGATAATTAATATTACTGAAAATATATGATATAAAATTTTATACGCTCACGACATTTTAATTTTTTAAAAGTAAGAGTTGAACGCATATTGTTTATGTATACATATAATTAATATATTTTTACAAACTTTTGTAGGTATAAATCAGTATTCATTTGTTTAAAATGAAAATCTAGAAAAACTTTTTTCTGCTCAGTCGGTAACATTTCGCCATTCCAAATTACCCCTCTTATCCTAGCTTGCAAAGTGTAATGGACAGTGAAAAAAAATACCATTCGAAATATCTCTAATTGAAACTTTTAAAATGCTCATTATTTTAATTGAACCCCTTCAGTTTTCCCGAAAAAAATTAAAAACTATGATAATTTTTTCGTTTTTTAGAACTGCGATATCTTTAGTAATACTTAATATTTTTGCAAAGAAACAAGGCACAAAAATTGAAGCCTTGCTCGTTTTAATTGCACTCCTCTTACTTTTTCAAAATTATTAATTGTTAAAAACAACAATCTAATTTTATTGTATGTTCTTTCCAAATAGATGGGTTATTGGGTTATTTGGAAAGAACATACAATAAAATTAGATTGTTGTTTTTAACAAATATATTAATAATTTTGAAAAAGTAAGAGGGGTGCAATTAAAACGAGCAAGGGTTCAATTTTTGTGCCTTGTTTCTTTGCAAAAATATTAAGTATTACTAAAGATATCGCAGTTTTAAAAAACGAAAAAATTATTATAGTTTTTAATTTTTTTTGGGAAAACTGAAGGGGTCAATTAAAATAATGAGCATTTTTGGAGGGTTCAATTAGAGATATTTCGAATGGTATTTTTTTTTTCACTGTCTATTACACTTTGACGGCTGGAGTAAGGGGGGTTTCCAAATTTGCCGCAAACTTTAACCTGCAACGGTAAGATGGCATCAGCTCCGCATTGTTTTTGTTTGATTTCAAATTATCCGTTGTCTCCTGAAATTCCCTCCGAAACGGTATCCTAGTAGATAGGTTAGTAATAAATTAGACGATCGTCAAAGTTTTTGTATAAATAAATGGTAGCAAACTAGTTTTTGAAAAAAATGGCTCAGAGAAGAAGCAGAAATCGACGGCTGTCTGCTAGGAAAAGCAATGTCTCGGGTTTTCTCAACGAGGACACAAATATTTACGATAACGGTATGTATTATAGTTGACAATTAAAATTCATTATCATTACTTGTAATTTGATGTGCTAATATTCAGTAAGTAATAAATTTAAAGCTTTCTATTATTTGAACATTGATTGTAATTAATTTCATCAAAAGCATGATACAAATGAAATTTTATTGATGGAAATTATGTATTACATCATGGATATTTATTTTAATTTAACAGATGATCCTCTATGGTATGATAGAACAGCTGTTCGACCTTCAACATCTCTATATATGTCAAAAAATACAAAAGCTGTATTAGATCCAGATTCAACTATCCATACATCCCAACTGCCTGAGAACTGGTTTGAAAATTTGACACAGTCAGAGAGTTCTAAACTGCTGGAGGAAGCTGTCAAAAAGAAAAAGAGTCAGCAATATGAAGGTAATTTAATATATTAATTAAGATTTTTTTAATTCATTTATAATTTATATCTAATTTATTAACATGGCTATTAGATAGTAATCACAGATCATCAGTAACAGAATCAGAGAGCGAACATGAATTCCAAAAGAAAAGAGCAAATCTCAGATATATTAGGAAACAAAGCAACAAAAGTAACAAAAGTAATGCTTTTATGAAAGCTCTGGAAAAAACAACAGACTCTCATACAAAAAATTTGACATATAATCAAATAATGGAAGGAAACGAGAGTGAGTTAACCCGTGATGACTCAAGGACCATCAGAAAGTTAAGACCAAAATTTACTAGACATATAAAAAATAACACTAACAATTTTGATAAAGCTTTGGAAAGTGACAGTGCTTCAGAAAGAATCGAAACAAACATGGAAAGTTTCAGATCTATTCCTATGTCTGAAATCAATGAAGAATTTGCTTCACCTGAAAAGCAAAAGAGAATAACAAGAAGTATGATGGAAAAAACTGTTAATGTATCTCATGAAAAAAAATCAGTTGAAAAACTCCAAGATCAATCTGTTAATAAAAGTAAAGATAAAACAAATTCTCAGTTATCTTTAAGAGGATTGAAAAACAAAAATTTTGTGACACCTCCAATCAATTCTGCAACACCTGTTAAATCAACTAAGAAATCCAGTGCCAAGAAGAAAAAGCATAGTGAAGATCAATTAACAGATTCTAGTTCTAGCAGTCCTGAAGTTAAAAAATATAAACGTCATTTGTTTTCTCAAGAAAACAAAAGTGCCATAGATAAAAGTAAAGAAAATAAGAGTGCCTTTGATGCTGCGTTGGATTCTATGAATGATAGTCACGTAAGTGTGTGGACTCAATGAAATTAATTATTATTAATGGATTGAAATTAGTGATTAATAATTATTTATAGAAAAGTAAAACTGTAATGACAGAAGCAGTTAATACTTCCAAAGCAAATGGACAAAGTAAGATGAGGGACAATGATGATGACAGCGACAGCTCATCAATACCGCAAAACATCAGGAGGACAACATCACGATTTTTATTTGACGAGATAAATTCCAATCAGACTGAAGGTGTAAATTCCAGTAAAAATAAATCAAGAACACTAGGAAGAAATTTATCCAAAAATGCATCACAGTCTTTAAAGAACAGATCGTTGGCTAATGAGAGTACCAATTCGAATAAACAAAATAGTACCAACAAAAAAAAATCAAAAATACATGAAAATGACTCGGTTAAAAATTTATCACAGTTTTCAAAAGACAAATTGATGGCTAATGAGATACATGAGTCGGATAAACAAAAGGATGCTTTTAAAAATCAAACATTATCGGAATCGTCAAATATTGATGAAGATATGTACAAAGTTTCGTTAACTAGAAGCAAAACAGTAGAGGTATAATTCAATGGGATCTAATCTGATAAAAAAAATAATAAAATGTATACTTATTTTTAATTATTAGGCCAAAAGCAACAAGAGCAAGAGTGCTGAAATACAGGTTTCAAACATTGAGACTGATAGTGAGGATATGGTCAATGAAACGCTTTCCAAAAATAAACAATCTGAGGTAATGGTTTTATATTGATAATAAAAATACTCAATTCTATATCTTTATTCTTGTGTTATTTTAAACAAACTAATAAAAATGATGAACTACAGGTATCCAGTGTTGAAACTTCGGAAGATGGAGACATGATTAACATGTCATATGGCCAAACTAAGGAAAAAAATGTATTATTTATTCACTATTAATTAACATAGAGTGAATAATCGATACTAACAAAAATTAAATGTTTTAGGTTGATACAAGTAAAAAATTCAACGAATCAAGTGTAAAAGTTAATAAATCAAGAGTATCCAAATCTATTTCGACTGGCGACAAATACGAGGAAGATCTGTCCAATGCAGAATTATCCAAACGTAAATCGAGATCGCGTTTGTTTCCAAAGAAAAATATATCCAAAGATGAAAATGCTTTCGATCAAATTTTTGTTAATAAAAGTTTATCAGTGAAAGAAAAATCAAAAGTATGACATTTTAAAGTTTTTGCAGAAAAGTCGTTATAAGTTACTTATAAAATATATTTTCCCAGGAAAAAGAGATAGAAGAAACTCCAAGATTATCACAACGATCGCCAAAAATCATAGATAAGTTTCAGAACGACCAATCCGCCAATGTCTCGAAAAATAAATCTTCCTCGCTAGAGAATACTAAAAATAACAGTAGGGCGGATGAGAGCGAGGATGAAACTTCAACTATTCCTCAACACATTAGGCGGACGAGATCTCGACTGTTTCAAAAATCTAAAGCTAACGACGATGATAATGTATTCGAAAATGCCTTGGACGCTCCTGAAAATCAAATTGAATTGGTATATCATATTTATAATTTATTTAATATAAACATCCTACAGTTAATTCAAATTAATTTACCCTTTACAGAGTCAAACATCAAGAACATTAAACACATTAAACAAGTCGATCATACGCGACGCTGTGGCAAATAAATCAGTTTCAGAAACTGTCAAGAAAAAACCCAAGATAATATACGATAAGATTATACAATCTACTAATTCTGGATACTTTCTACCTGATAACTCCAAGAAAAATCAAGAAAGCAGGGGATCGAATTTACATAAATCAGAGGCAATTACTAGTTCAAATAAAGAAAAGTCGGTACGTAATTCTCAAAATATAGCCAGTACTCATCGATTTGTCGAAACTTCTAGCGATGGAACGCCAAACTCAGCGGTAATTAATTTACTTTTATTACAGTTTGCAAACGATTGAATTATCGTTACATTAGTGATGACAATTCAATCGAATTATTGCGCCGTTTTAAAACTGAAGAAAACCCAGTTTCGATTTTTTCAGTTGCCAAAAGAAACCAGCACGCCATTTGCTCCACCCATATTGTCAAAAAAATTAACAAAACGAGTTTCGACGATGCTGCGATCTACAAAATTTGCTCAAAACAGCACTTACGACGATTTGCTCCATACGCCCAATCCAGCCCAGTCAACGCTCAATCCGCATGGTAAACCGGTGGATCGTATTACGCTATTTTCGTTTAGAACATCAGCCGACCCGGAAGTAGGTACGCCACCTGCTACAACTGTTGAAGCTACAAAGACTCAGCCTAACACAGTGACTGAAAATGACGACGATGTAGATGTGGTTAATACCGATGATATAGATGTGGTTGACGAGAACGAAGATATAGATGTAGTTAACGAGAGCGAAGTTAGTGATAGTCCATTAATCAAGAATTTAACAGATCACATGTCTGACAAAGGGAATTTTTCATTACACAAGGTGGTGCCAGTTGTTAGCAAGTAAGTCTTTTTTATTTTGAGTACGTTATGTACTTGTTATTTTAATAAAAAATTAATTCTTCAAAACAGGTCTCTGAAAAAACATGAAAGCTTTAAGAAAACTTATATCAACAACAAAAACATGCTTCCTATTGACTGGGAAAAAGCGAAACAGCACACTGACGCTATAAAGCTGATGGTTGAAGCTCAAATGCGTCTTACTGAAGAAGCCCGTAAAAAACGTGAACTTGAGAAGCAACGAATCAATGCGAAAATTAAGCGCTGGCAAGCTCAAAAGGAAGCCGAGCTTAAACGTAAGAACAAAAAACCCATACATAAAGCATTTCTCGTCGATGGCAAAGTATACAAACAACCACAGTTACCGCGACCGAAACCTTGGGCCACTGATAAACTATACAGGTATTTGAAGAAGAAGATGGAGCCGAAGTTTGGCATGCGCACGAGACTCAAATCCGAGGAATTTGTGTTACTGTTGTCGGAATTTGCGACAAGAATTGCCAAGCGTAAGAAATTTGAGAATTATAGAAAAGAGCTCGATGAAATTATGATGGTTATGGCGAAACTTGGTATCATCAAAACAAGGTTTGATTTTTATCGATTTACTGCGGATTTCTTGCCGCACAGCTTTAGAGAAAAGGTCAATCCTATGATGATGCCGGGTAACGAGAGGAATATTCCGTACGAACCAGAGTTACTTTATAAGCCGTTATTGAATGATTCGAGGAACTCACAGGATACGTCGGATACTGACGAGTAGTAAATATTTTGCTCTGCGTAAATTATTTTTGTTAGATGTTTCCGCTTTAAGTACTGGAACGCACAGGAGACGTCGGATACTGGGGACTAGTAAATATTTTGCTCTGCGTAAATTATTTTTGTTGAATGTTTCTGTTTTGAGTGCTCAGTAATTAAAGAAAGGAACCGTGAATACCAATTTATCAGTATCTGCCGTATAATTTATGCTTAAAAAGTGTGTTTGATTAGTTTAACTTACAAATAAATCTGAATGTAAATATTTATTCGAGATATTCAAGAGAATAATTTTGTAAAGAACTTTATTTATTCGTACAATAATTTCTTAAATAGAATTTATAATTATTTGAAGAGTCATCAACTGAAACCTTGCTCGACTGTGATCGCAAAGTTACATCTAATTTTATATTTATATAAATTTACAATATCAGTATTTTCTTTTGCATTTTTGAAAATATAAGAACAATAAATATACAAGAAATATACATGACGAACGTGTCACTACTTTTTACACTGTTTTTTGTAATTTTTGTTAAAAATAATAAAAAGTTTTGTCTAGTTTACTAAATCAAAATTAAGAAATAGTTTTTAAATCTGTCTCAACAAATAGTAAATCATTGAATACTATTCAATTATAAATGACTATATGGTATGTCATAGTTTCACCATAATAATAATAATTTAGAGTTGAACCAAAAAACCGAATAAGATATAAGATGTAAAGGCATCGAACAGTAGAAATAGTGTTCTACATTTTAACAGCACTCCAGATTTCTGAAAAGTTACGACGGTCCCAACCCGACAGTGTTTGTCGCGCACTAAAATATACGCAGTAAGTGGAGGAATTTGTTACACTGAGTAAGCACGATATCGCGAATAAAGTACGAGTCGATTGATTAATTTTTAATGTAAGTTTTAAAAATTTGTTCTGTAGCACAACGTTGAGCTTTTCCATTCCACAATATCGTGCTTATTCGCTAAAGCGGAGTCGGAGGGACAAATTTCTCCGTTCACTATGTATATGTTAGTGATTTAAAAAATAGGCGTTGAAAGGTTCTAGAGCTATTCGCGTAGACAGTTAGATTCTTCAATTAGTTATTAGACCAGTAACGCAATAGTTCTGTCAGAGATTCGAAATAACTGGTAGTAATGATGAAGATGAGCGTTCCCAAATAGCTGTAAACTTCACAGTGCGTCAGGAAAAGTCGGTCTATTGTTGGTAATCTCGATAACGTCTTCCATGATGAGTCGCTGATCGCAAATGTTGCGTGTGAATATTAGTGTTACCTAATAACACGCTGTTATGAAAGAATAACTGCAAATCGTTTGATTATTATTCATTTGCTTGCATACTTCTTCTGTAAATCAATTAACTTATAATCAACATGAATGGATATGATTAAAAGGTAACAGTAGTGTTTACATTCAATTCAGAAAATTGACCATCCGAGACAATTGTTGCTGCAGTGGTATCGTTTATATTAATATAAATAAAATATGCGACTAGTTTTAATAAATAAATAGCACTCATATATTTAAAAATGATTTGAGATATAAACTTGATAGTAATATAAACGTTTGCGCATATAATAATTTATTTACTTTCTAATCTCCTTCTTGGTGTACTTTCAGTTGAACTTTCGCCGGAACTTGAGAAATTCATTCGTACGTGTTTCTGATAAATGAGAAATGAGGCTATAAATTAAAGGATATTGACGAACATTCGCCGAGTGTAAATAGCCAACGATCTGTTTGATGTCATTTTAACAATGTAGCATAAAAAATGTAATGAAAGAGTGGCAAAGGGTGTTAACGAATTTAGGCCAGCAGGCAGACACGCACGTGTTGTTGAAAACTCCTTCGCGATTTTTCCATCGAGCGAAAAATCGGACTGTAATGGCGATCGATAATAGGGAAAGAACTTTCATCGAGTAAGAGGTCGACTTTCGACTTTGATTTCCATCGCCTTCGGGTCTTTTATGTCAGAATCGTAATTTTTCATAGAGAAAAGGACGCAAAAGTTCCTTTTAATCGACGACAGAAACGAAGCCAATCAGTGAATCTGGCTGAACAGTTAACTACTGTGACCTTAACTCTTGTATTTTCTAATGACTTATCGACTCATGCCTATATTTTGAAGACGCCGCGCGGAATAGAACGTTCCAGCACTAGTTAGCTAATGTAATATTCCATGCCAACACGGTATACTGTGCAATGCACCATTTGATATCCCGATTGTATAGAATGCGAGTGATTTGCCATCGAGTTCTACATTTGCTTTACATTATACTGTCATTGCCCACCCCGCTATCATCGCTATCCGTGACTTCATCCGGCAGGTCAAATTCTTTGAAGTATTTCAAATACATTAGCTCGGTGAATAAGTCGTCGTTACAGCCTCTAATTCGCCTTCGATAGCGCATAAAGGCGTGAGCATCCAAGGTGGCTTGCAAGTATGGAAATGCCAGGAAGAACATGAATCCGATTTTCAGGTACATGGCCCGCGTCGCCAACGAGAACTGCGGATCGTCCAGATCGTACATCCAGAGCATGAGAAGCAGCGCATTGTTGGTCGCCAGTATGAATAGCAAAGAAAACGCCGTGACGCCGCTGTAACGCTGAAAAATGCAGATGATTGCTGAATCGCGCTCGCCAGTCTCTTTGAAAGACAAACGTTGATAATGTTCGACTCACGTAATGATTCTCGACTTCTATGACCTCGGTGGACCAGAGGCGCAACAACTCCCTCAGAGTTTTCGCGTAATTGGTTCCGTAAACGCCGGTCAGGGTAGTCGAGAAGCCGTGCACGTCGCGATGCGTCATTAGGAATCTGCCGAGCAGCGAAGTCGTCAACAGTGCCTTCAACTTGGGGTCGTTCATGGCCAACGTCGCGTGCATCCTGGGCAATATCAGCGTGGCGTGGTAGCACGCCGTCCCCAAATGGTACCTGTGAAGCAGGCGTCGTTCAGTCGGCCTCTCGCGTCGGCAAGCGACGAGCGAACGACGAGGCGTCTACCGAGCGACGATGAACAGCGCGCGCGAAAGTGTCACGAATCTCGATGCCCTAGCGTCGATTGACACGCGAGTCGCGCAGGACACGACCATCGCTCCGAAGTAATAAACAGTGAGAGCCAGGTAGCAGCTTCCTCCGCCGATCATGTAGAACGACGCACTGCCCCAGGCTGCATTTTCTAATGTTCTCATCGTGTAAAATGCGAGCAAGTGGAGCATCGCGAATACTGGAATGCCCACTGCTATGCTAAATCTGAATCCAACGAAGTTGCACATCCTGGAATCACAGACGTTATTCAAATTAATGTTTCGCTTGGAATATTCGATTTCTTTGTTAGGAATTTCAGGAACGACTGCAAGCTACACGTCAAATCGTCTTTTTCTGGCTGAAACTCCTGAATACTTGGCGGCGAGACATATTATGAGGAACATCGTTTCCGGTAACATCCAGGAGGCGGTCTTGTCGTCACTGGACAGCAATGTAAAGGCGATGGAGCTGCGCGCATAGAGCACAGTCGAGAGGTGCTCGAGCAACGCTACGAATGAGAAGACGGCGCCGATGACCAGTGGCTGCTTGCGAAACATTCTCTTATCGTGGATGACGCCGAAAGAGGCTGTAAGGATCATCGCGCTGAACCCCATGTGCACGAACGGCAGGAAGATGCACCTGAAATCAAAGCCGTGAATCTCGATGCGAATACGTTTAGGCGCGCACGTAAGATGAGACTGTCGAAGAGTACGCTACTGTTTGGCGTTCAAGCGGGACACATCGAACGTGAGTAGATCTACGGCGGCGTCGCCCAGTGTGCAAGACTTCGGGTCCTCCTTCGCGTTGCGCGCATCCGCGGCTTCCCTTTTTACGTGCGCGTCCTGGCGCAGAAAGTCAGACGCGTTCGTCGCCTCGCTGCTGTTGGTACAAACAATACTGTAACGTCTCATTTCGTGACCAGTACCTAATGTGCAGAACACGATTTTACCGGGTTATCGGCTACGAGATGGAAAATCAATGATTTATTACCATAATTGCACGATACTATCCAGCCTGTGAAAATGACAACGAGGAAGCCGCACCAGTATCTATCGGTGACGCGACGCGTGTCGTATTTTTCCAAATGGTTCAGAGCCCTTTTTACGCATGGCCTCACTGTAACAAGATTTTGCGAATCAGTGCGAACGTTTCATTTTTTTTATTTATGTATACCAAAATACGCAGTACAGCATGAAGCTCGTGTACACAGAGTTGGCATACATATTGAACACGTAAAACAATCTCAATGGCTAATGTCTTCATTACTAGAAGTCTATTACTGAAGAATGTACAATATAAATTACGTAACAATTCACTTTTTACTATCATTTTTATAATTTCTTTCTAAAGATTTAATATCTGTTTGTATCTTCTATATCTTACGTAATTGTTCTTTATTGTTACAAAAAACAATAAGTTCTCTTTTTAGTATACTTTTTTTCTAACTTTATGCAATTCTTGGTTTCGTCTATAATTAATTCCGTATAATTATATTTGGATCATTTAAAAATATTTCGTTCGAACGTGCACCAGAAAGAAAATATGTAAAAAGTAAATTGAATCAGTACAATTGAAGGCAGTAGTTTTAATCTAACAAAACTCTTACCCGGCATTGAGATGGAAACATTGGAACTCGTAACTGAACTCGCATTTGAACTCCCTTCTGAACTCGCACCGGAATCCATAACGTACAATTTTGATGAACTCAAAATGTGCCGAATAAGGTTGAAGTTACGAATAACGTTAGTTTACTTCGATCGTATGCCACCCCTTTTCACGAGACTGAAGAATACTAACTAAGTATTCGCTGAAGGTTCAGTATTCAACCGCCGAGTTGTGGCTACGAGCGAACGTGAAATTGTACTTTCGCATCTATCGTCGAGCGGCAACGCGCACGCATGAGTTTTCGGTGACTCCCCTCGCCCTCGCACCAAAAACCGGGGCTACGTGCGCTGCTAGATCCACGTACAATCAATAATGGGGGAGAGTTTCCACCGAGAGACGCAGCTTTTCCTGTTATTACGCCCGAGCAGCTGGCGTCATTTCTCCCGATGGCTTCTCGTGAAATTCGCCGTCGAGCAGTCGCACAGTTCTATCTGTGGAGATTGCTGTATCTTTTCTTTGAATATATATCGACCGTTGAGAAACTGCGTAAAACGGGTGTCTTGCGCGTACTTATTATTCTTTTATTCTCTTACGCGTTCCCTCAAGTCGATATTCCGTCGATACTTTTAGAAAGCATAAGCCCAGCTTCGAACGAATTTCGATTGGTTCGAAAACAATTCTCCAGCCAACCATACAGAAAAGCTCCAAAAGCAATTGCATCAACGTACAAAATCTACGCCTTTGTGGCAAAATGTTGCTGAAGCATTGTCGAGACAATATCTCAAATGCTGTTTCTCTAGGGCAGCCTTTGCGCAACGTTTTTATAACATTTCTGCAAGATTTTACGCAACGTTGATCCAATTTTTACATATCTATGAGAATTCTTTATTATTTTTATATAGAGCAGAAAATAATTTGCCGTATCACTGTTTCGACATTTGGTTAGCGTTTCATAGAGTATTGCGAAAATGTTGCGGAAACGTTGCACGAAGATTGACTTTATAATAGAAACATCTGTTCAGCAGCATTAGCGAAACGTATAGCAGTAGCACGTCAGCACGTGTTGATAGCCCAATTGCAAAATTACGTTTATCATTCGGATAAACGGATCTGTACTACATCAGCGTAAGTAATCAACGAGCACTTTCAGAAATACATTCAAAGCATCGCTACCAAATATTGGTCGTGCGGGCAATTCTGCACTATTTTATTATACACACAAATTTTACTATTGTACGCCGTGACAGCATGAGAACTGATATACGCCATATTACTATGCACAGTGGTTTGCATGTGTAATAAAATCGTGCCCAATTGTCCGCACGACAAATATTGCAGCTGCTATTTATAACTAATGGATCTGAGGCTGCTGGGACAGAAGGAACCTCTTCTATTCACGATTCAAACATTCGACTCATCGGGCGGCTCTGTCGAAGATTGTAAGTGTTTCCGATGGGCACTCGAAGTAAGCAATGTACTAGTCGAACAACATCGTATATCAAGCCCAAGAGCACATGGTCACTGAAATTTTTGACTATTCCAAATACACCGAAAACTTAAACTTACGATGAAATTCGTACGACTTCAGCAGCGCACAAATACGCCAAAAATATCGAAGCAAGCTTAAGCTATTCTCAAAATGACTTAGCCAATCAATCAAAGCAATATTCTTGCTACAGCTGTGGATATATAACATTTCTCGATTGGGTAGGTCGGAGGAAACTTCATCAAAAGCTGATCATGAGCCTCCAGTGCAAGATGTTAACGTGATATATTATTTCAATAAAGTTGAAAACATTTCCAGCAAATGAATGGACCAGATCTATAAATGGAATTGGATACTGGAGCTCCATGCAGCCTGATAAACAGTAACGTGCTGAAAACACTGTAATTTTGTTTGCAGAAAACTACCGGACAATTGGCTAACTACTGCCGTCATACCCTCACATGTAATAGTAGAATTTGTAATGTTACAAATTCTACTACTAATGCAGCAACAATAGCAAAACAGTTCAACTCACAAGAATTTAAATATTTTCTCAAAGTCAGTAGCATTAAATCTCACAAATTTATTACTCCTTATCATCTTGCAACTAATGACCAAATAGAAAGATATATAGGAACTGCTAAAGATACACATTACAAAGTCAAAACTTCGCCCAGTACATTACGTCAAGATTTTCGTAAACTTTTAAAATAATATAGAAAAGCACAACACTTATCAGTAAGTACCATTCGGAACTGTGTTATTATGCGACTATCATTGCAATAATTTATGTTATTACTACACGTGTAATTTGGTATCTTAATGATGATACGTAATAACCGATTTATCAACGGATTTATTTGCTTCATTCTCGACCATTTATTTAATGCGCACTAAAATCTCCGTAATAACTTATTCATTGAAAAATGATGAAAAACGTTTATACTACTAGTAACTTCAGTTGTGGAGAACGATTGTGTACATTATTTTTGCAACGTGAGAAAATATAATACTTTTTTTACCTTACAGTTCATTACTTCAATTATAACCGTAATATTTAGCACAATTATTATATTTTATAATAAAATACACCAAACTAAGCAAATATTCTCAGACAACAAGGTATACTTAGAGTGATATTTAAAGAAGGAAGAAAAATTGATGATCATTTTAATTTTATTTTATACATTATAAAAATTACTATAAACATTTTTTTAAATAAATCAATTTAACTAGACATTTTATTGACAAAGTACTTTATTTATACATATTCCTTGCACAGACATCTAAATTCATAGAAGTAATTCAGCACAAAACATACTTTTTGGCATTTGCAGAATGGAATGCTTATAGAATTAATCATAACAAGATTGCATTTTCTAATTGATTATATACAATTCATAATCTATACAGATATTAGCAGAAAAATAATATTTTGAAACAGTTAAAATGATATTGACAAAAAATAACAAAAAACTAGAGGTAAGCCTTGACAATTTATGGATATACAGTTAAAATTATTATCAAACACATAATCAGTACAACCAGCTTAGGATCCAATGCTTCTTAATTGTCCTTCTATAAATCAACTAAACATACAACAATGAAGATTCAAATTTCCTGATAAAGAAATTTAAACCTACATTATGTTGATATTTTGTTCTCATTTTTCTTTACCTTAAAATGTTTGTATAAATGCTGGTTTTTCATAGTATTGACAAAAAAAATACATAGAAATCAGAGCAGACATTATCGTAGCTTAAGTTTAAGGCCACGAATGTTTATTTTTCCATTTCTTCCCTTGTTATTTATGGTCAAGATTGTGTAACGGTCCCCACAGTTTTGTAGAAAATCAGTCGATGTTATAGAAAAGAATGGACGAACCTCTGAGATTGATGTTATAAATGATGCTATAGTTGGGGGTGAGCTGTGGTAAAGAGATAGTCACAGTTTATGCCATTCGTATACTCTGGATAATTTGGAAAACGGCTGAAAATATTAAAATTAGTAAATGTATTTGATAATTTTCTTTGAGATTGTTTACTATATAGTTTACTATATTATATTTAAAAAAATAGTAATACAGTGTTTTAAATATCTTAAATATTCCTTTGCATTGAAATTTTAAATTCAATCAACTTTAGTAATATTACAAATGATATCTACATCATACATATTACATATATGCAAAATTATTTCTCAAACTTATTTAAAAATAGTCACTATTTACTTAATAAAATAATGCCGTTTTTATATTACGAAACAAAACATTGCTTACCAGAACCACATACAACAAAGATAAACAGTGCAAGGAGCCAGGGACCAACTGGTGAGGACTCCTCTTGGGCTTTCTGTAAAATGAACAATAAAAACCAGTTATTTGTTTATACAAGTGTTATGTCTTGAGTACTTTTCCCCAACCGTCGTGAATCCCATTGTATTTATCAAATATCAAATCAAAACAACTTTCCAGATGGGCCTCTAAGTTATAACCTCTTCCGAAATTATTTATCTATAAAAACTATTCATTAATTTACTGCACAACAAAGCTTAAAAAGCTCTAACAACTTCTTTTAAAAATGAAGTCTTTTCTAATGGTATTGTCTGTTAAACTTTTTATACAATGTAGAAATTATAAATGACACTCATTGTCGGGGAAACCACTGAAAATTGCCAGCTGGTACAACTCACCGAGGACTTGGGTACATTTCCACGCTGGGTGATGAACTTTGTGGCCTTCTCGTTGGCGATACGCATCCTTTGCTTTGGAGCCATGGTATTTGTAAATGTAAAGCCTTCAACAGTAACGACGACGTTAAACGTACGTTAAAATCTACGATGAAGTGGCTATAGGACTGCGACGGTGTCTCAAACAGCAGCTTAAATTAACGCGCAGCGCGAGGGGACTGAATGAGTGAGAGAGAGAAAGAGAGAATGTGTAGACGTGTCGTTCGACACACTTATATATTTTTATAAATGTGTGTATATATGCGTACAAGACGCGTGGATTTTGTTGTTTTTTTAGATTATGTGTCATAAATTATTTTTGATATTGTTATCAATGTAAGGATAGCTGCATGCTATTCTAATATTTTAGCAATCGTAACATATTTATTGATTTATTTACTTAGTCTTAAAAATAAGAATCAGAAAAACTTATGAATTCACAGATTGACATATTTTTTAAAATAGTTCTAGAAATTTCGAATTTACGAGTTCAAAAATATATTACTGTGATGGAACCAAAAGCTTTTAATTGCGCTTGTTTTTGATTTAAATTACAAATTGAACTTAAGCAAGAATGGTGTTATCTCAGAAAAGACCTTTATTTTCTTTCCAAATAAATTAATTATTCCATATGTTTAAAAAAAACAACTGACGGTGCACTATTTAAAGTAGAAATATTTAACACTGTCTGTTACTTCTAACAAGAGGTTCACTTATGACTAAATAATCAATAATTATTCTCATGTATATATACTGTAGTTTCCATAAATCATTTACACAGATGCGTGTTGTGAATTTGAAATAAAACAATCATTTTTGACATAAATCATTTCGATTACTTTTATATTATTTGTTAATAAATTTCAGTACAATAATAAAAAATCAGTAAATTATTTAGAATAGATTTCTTCTTTAAGTCACTATACAAGGAAGTTCTATAGAAGACCAATAAACTCATGCTTGCTCATTGAGTCTTAATATTTGAAATCTTTCTATTATGAAGCTTGAATATTCATGTTATTAGAATAACAATTATACAAAAATTAATGACAAATATTCTTCTAAATTCTGGGTATTATTTATATTATACATCTAGGTGCATTCTCTCTTCTATTAAAATAAAATTCTTTACAAATCTATCAAAGGAAACATGTCAAAATCTTTACATTTAAAAAAATTATTCACTTACATGTTAACTCTACAACCATATACAATTTTTTCGTTAACAAAAGTATTCCAATGAATCATGTACATTAAATGTGAAAAATGGCTTTTATTTAAAATGTAATATCTACTTGTTTTCGTAGAAAAATTTCATTACCAATTGATTCTTTTATGAAAAGAATAGCTCATATTAGCAATGTTACTCTTAAAAACAATTTTAACTGAAAAAAACTTTATACGTTGATATAGCACAAGTGATAATTTGATTTAAATCAATAAAACATTTGTGTATCTGTAGCAAGCAATTACAATACATACCCTTCACCATTCTCTATTTGGTTTTGTTTTTATATATTACTTATATTTCAGTTGATTGCATCTAAAAATCATCGATTACGAAAAAATTTTATACTTTACAACAGTTGAGTAATTTACAACTCTACGCAATAGTTTTCCAAACATAAAGATCCATTGTAAGTCCAAAAAGAATGCATTGTTGATAAAAAGAAAGATGAAAACTTAATGTATGTGCACCAGTCGTAGCAACAAATGGACGTTCGTAACAACTTATTTATTACATCACTCACATCACGTTGCATAGTCATTCATAAATCACAACCAGGCATACATTATTTTCTTAAGCCATCGAGAGATTCATCCATCGACTGTGTGTAAATTTGCGAGAAAATCTCTACACATCAGCCGTCTCGCTGTAGGACTCGATTTTCATTATTTTTCTTTTCTTTTATTAGTTATACACATACTTGGAATCTACATGACTCCAAGACTATACCTTTTGCGTTTGACTAGGGAGTTTTTTCTTTCTCGTAATAGGGGAAGAAACAGAACAAACGCGAGCGTTGGTGAGTCCTACTTTGAGTAGCGATGTCATCTCTCTGTAGACGATGTTTACAATCACGACTTAATCTATCTTCACTGTCGAGTAAATCTTGCGAACGAACGCATTTGTACCCACATAGCCGACTGTACCACACATTATGCCCAGAGCCAAGCTGAACAGTGCCATATAGCCGAAATAGAACGCGGTTTGGAAGAGGCCGTACATCCTAAAACAATGAAATACATTAGCAAATTATATACGTGGAAATGCAGTATATCAACATGTCGATAAATATATACATACTTAGTCTTGAAGAAGAAGTAATAAAACGAATAAAGGTAAACATAGCTGGCTGTTGATGCAGCTGCTAGAAAACTAGTCCATTGCCTGTAAAAATTAGTAATTTATTAATATCATGTATGAGATAGTTTTAATATTAATGACAAGTTTAAAGCTGTAGCCTCATGCTACATTATATAACGCGAAAGATAAATAATTAAACTATTTTTCCAGAATTTAAAGTTTTCAACAAACTTTAAAAACCGCATAAACCAGTATCTAGTTAAGTAACAAGCATTTTAAGTATATTTGAGAAATAAAGATTCTCACCATCTGTAATCTTCGGCATTGAGAAGGAAGTATGTGCAAACGATTGTCACGCATACAGTTACGATTATAAGGATAACAAACACCAGTAACATAAAACCATATACGTAGTAAATCTTGTACGCCCAGAACGACGTGAAGATGAAATACATTTCAATAAAGATAGAGCCGAACGGAAGGATGCCACCGAGCATAATAATAACAAATGGCTCCATAAACCATTTTTTCTCAGGTATAGGTCGTGGCACTGCATTAACTCTGCATGGAGCATTTGGTGTGCCTGCGAGATTACGGCCCAAAATGGTTCCTACTACGGTCAATGGTAGAATCACAAATATGCAGATACACGTTACAGCCACCTAAAATAAATAATTAAAATTAAAAACATTTGTTCAAATAAGTATGTTCTTCAAAATGAAAATTTGATTTCAATTGACCATTGATCCGAAAGGGATAGCTCTACTGGCGTGGTAATACATGGCAATAAAGTTGATGAAGAAAGCGGTACCGCAAACCAAAGCTGGAATCAAGAAAGCACTGAGAAGCATCTGCTTAATCCACAATCGGCCGCCCATTCGCGCGTAAAGTCCACCTCCTGCGTAACCATTGATTGGAGATGTGAGTGCATAAACCAAAATAGCTACAGAAAGCATCGATCCTCGCTCTGTATAGAGTTCTCCAATGATCGCGATTAAGATGACATTTAATACTACGAATGTGATCTATAAAACATATTTTTTTATATTAAATAACTATTTCAGATTTTACGTTATCTTTAGTTAGAAATATGTATAATTACTTGAAAACCAGCTCCAATCAGTGCAGAAAACAGCATGGGTGAATTAGCTGGTCTGAACACATCTCCATGAACTTGTTTCCAACCATATTCATCTCCCAAATCTCTCTCCATGTCATCCATCTCCTCATCTTTGCTATATCTGGCATAGTCTTTTCTTAGAGTGCGCATTAAAATCATTGATACAAGTCCAACCAGGAACATGACCATCATGAAGCTATTGAAAATGCTAAACCAGTGAATCTATAATAAAAAAGCATAGATTATAATTGAAGAAGAATAAGAAAGAAAAGATTGCTTTTAAAAATAATTTTTTACCCTGTGTTGGAAAAAATTAGGATCTAAGTATTTGTCAAATCTATCCTCAAATTTGATATTACTCTTTTTCCAGTTGACTTCATAGCTAAACGGAATTTTCTTGCCAGGCTTCAGTTCAATTTTGGATTCGCTAGTCAAGTTGACATCAACAATTTGCTTGCCATTGTAACCAATGTCTAGTTTTTTGTGCGTCCAAATGTAGTAAGAGATTTCACCATTTGTATCATCAGGTTCACCAACAACACCTAAAATGAATTATCTATTATGTTCAACTGTTATTGTAAAGGAATTTCATGAAAATAAAATGATATACAAACCCCAAATTGGCAAGTTATCGATGTACATCTGATACCAATACTGATTTCTTACAGCATAGACAAAAGCTTTATAACTTTCCTCATTCAAATCAATCTTACAATACTCTTTTCTTTTAACAGGTTCTAAAAATATAAATAAATTTATTGAATATTATATTCAATAAACTAAAAGTACATCATATTGTTTACTGATTCTTACGTCGAAACTCTATGTTTAGTCCACTTATTTTCAGCTCCATACCTTGTAGAGCTTCAGATAAAGTTTCATGGTAATGATTAATAACTTCTTTAGGCCCTTTACAGAATGGTAAAGAGTAATAGGAGTAAGTTTCTTGTCGGTTATGATAAGGGCCAACGGTACTCATCCACAACACTACCTCATTACCGAGTTCATACTATAAGAAATCATTTATTTAATTATGTTTTTGTAAAGTGCTCAGTTTCATTCTAATAGAATGTTATTCAATTAGAATATCTGTAGATGTTATTTTTTTCCCTTAAAAACTTTTATGTATAAATATTCAAGTCTGTAATCAAACTCTCGTTATCAATAGTGATTTTGTTATCATCTAATGTGAATTCCCATACAAACTTTGAACGTGAAATTACTTGTAAAAATAACTTATGTTATTTTACTATTGATAAACTTACAATTTAACTTGTGTTAAATTGTAAATATTGTTAGATAAACCAAGGGTAAAAGTAAAATCCTTTAATTGAAGCAGAAGTTACATGTCTAAATCAAGCAATCAATCACGTGTTTGTCTAGATAGAAACATTCAATGTATCATAAATCAGTTAAAATTAACTGAAATCTTCAGCCACATAAGCAAAATGAAAAATGACACGCTGTAGCAACAGCAGCAGTCAACTATTCTAACCTACACTCACATCACAGTATCATAACATACCTTTCTTTTCAATGAATTTGTCATGAAAATCTAGACAGCAGCTGTTGTCAACAATGATTTATAAAATCATAGCTGCCACGTTATGCCAACGAATCTAAACATGGACTTACCACATGATTATGCTCGTCGGCGGCGACGTCGATCAACAGCAGCAGGCAAGTAGCCGCCAGGAAGCTGACGATCCTCCTGCACTCCATATTTTCCACACTCTATATTTCACGCACTCACTACACACGAGCTCGGTGGTGGGTTTCGTTTTTTTTACTTTTCTTTGATCAGGGTGCTATTGTTGCCGTTCGTTCCCGGCGATGACGATCTGCCGCCGCTCGCCCCATCCGCACGCGCCTCCCGTAACACTGATTGACTGACTCTCTCTTTACACGAGAGACCTTTTCACACTTATGTATGATAGATCACTCGTTCAAATAACGTTAACATTAAGGTTATGATGGGTATTTTTGCAAAATTATCATCGATGCGCCATTGGAATACATTCATATCTAATCAAATAATAATAATAATATTTTTTTCCACTCTTTTGCGGAAGGAGTACTATAATAACTGAGACATGTTTTTGGGATTTTCAAGTGTAAACGAGCCCGAAATACAGTCTCTGCGATCGACAGTAATGAGTAAGCAAGCCACGAATATATAAATATATATATATATATATATATATATATTCGTGGCTTGCTTACTCATTACTATTAGATACTCATTACTATTAGATTACTCATTACTATTAGTTAGATATATATATATGTATATCTAACACTGACACGAACACGTCTATAACTTTTTCTGTCTCCTTCTAGCTTGCAGCTAATGGTCTATTCGTTAAGCGCGTTAGAGTGGCCGGAATTTCTAAATGATGATGCGCCTTTGAGGTGAAAGGCTCTTTTACCATTTTATCAACACGATTCATAGCTGTTATGAGAATAAAACGAGTTTGGTAATTATTAGCTCAGCTGTTGCCGCGTCTTCATTGTGGCGATAGAAAGTACGATTAAATGACTTGAAGTGAGTAACGCACAATGATTAATTATTTTACTGCAATTGTTGATAATGTAAATAAGGTGATATAGAAAGTTGTTTGTTGTGTAGGCTGTTCATAAATAATAAATGTCTTTCTAATAAGGTATTATTTTATGAGATATGCTAGCATTAAGGGAAAACAGAGAACATTCGACAATAATCAGGTTAGTGAACAATAAACATTTAAATTTACCATTTAAAATTTTTACTTGGGAAAACATAGATTAATTTAAGCGAGGACAAGTAATAATTAAAGCCCACTTTTAAAATACAAAAATAAGACGATTTAATAAATACACATAGCATTATATCATTCAGTACATAATTAATAAATATCAACACTTTCACACTAATAAATAGTCAATCATAAAAAAGTCCTCGTAGAAAAGTTCAAATGACACGATCAATAAATGTAGCATTTCAAATGCACGCGATTCCGACATATTAATAGTAACGGTTAAATAATCAATTCGTTCGGTAATAATCATTGTTTGCGTAGAAGAGTTTCTCTGGGAAAGGGGAAACTATTGTTGAGTGATGACGATCTTGGGCACAACTAGTGACTTTTGCGAAACCTTGTCTGAAAAATAAAGGAAGAAAAAAATATCGATTAAAAAATGGAGGCTACAGAGGATGGAGGTGAGAGTGCATTGCGACGTCTGACCGGTGGAGCGCTTCGAAGGAGTGAAGAGCTTGCAAAGCTCCTTGACGGGCTTGACGGGCGTCATGTTCCTCTTGAGCTGAGCGCCGACGCTTCTTCTGCTGCTGATAGCCGAGACTTTCCTAGACGGCGTCAGCCTGGGCGACGGGCCCCTCAACGGCGTCAGCTTCCCCGTCGCATACTTCCTCGTGGTGATCTTGCTGGAGTGTATTGCTTTGATCGAGGACGAAGAGACGGACCCAGACGGCAGGTCCCCGGTGGAGTGGCTCTTGCAGGCCTCGTCGACGGGCCGCATCTCCGCGTCGTTGGCGTCCGAGCACGACTGGACCCTTGTGGTGCGCGCGCAAAGCTTGCGCTGGTTGCGAGTGAGAAAGGACTCGCTGCCGCTGGAGCAAAAGGTCGTGGCCGTCGCCGGATGAGCCCTGGAGTGGCCGGGCGTGCCCGGCCGCGACGACAGCAGCTTGTACGACGTTCTCGTCTGATAAGTGGGACTTCGCGAGGCTCGGCTCTTCGCCTGCGGCGACCTCTTCACGTGCGACAGCAGTTGCGACGACTTGCGCACCGGCAGCGGTATTCGACTCTTGGGCAGGGACCTGGACGCGGCCGACTCGCTGGCGAAACTCTGGAAGTAGCCCGCCAGCAGCTTCACCTTGCCCATTCGCGTCCGCAGCGGCGACGGCCTCTCCGAAGCTCTGCGCACAGCCACGGCTCTGGCGCCGGCTCTGCTGCTTTTCCCCATCATCTGCTTGCGGGGAACCACGATCGTGTCGGCGTTGTGGAAGTCCAGGGTCTTTCTGATGCGCTCGATGGAGCTGGCCTCGTGCGACCAGGCCACCTCCTCGCTGAACGAGCCGGACGACGGGTTGCCGCTGTCCGACGAGAGCTTCGGCGTCGACTGCGCGTGGTCCTTGAGGTCGTCGAAGTCGCGTGCCATCTGCACGAGCAGCGCGCCCGTTCTCATGTCCGCGTGCGACGGCGACGACGAGGCGCTCGCCAGGGACGTCGTGGCGGACATTGCCGGGGAGACCCTGCGAAGAGCGGGCCAAGCGAGTTATTCCTTCGACCTGCCTGTCAAACTGACGCGCCAGTCTACGCTCGGCAGCCAAAGAAATAGCCGCGAGTGAGCGCGCGTACGCGTACGTATTCACGCATACTCACCTTCTAGCGGATTCGGGTCGCTGCTTGCGCGGCGACGCCTCGCAGTTCACCCTGCTGGAGAGATTGTGGTTTCTGTCGGGCGGCGAGGAGAACTGCACCGTGAAGAACTGGGGCTTCACGCGCCGGTCTGGCGACGCGATCCTGCGTCATCGCATCAATCCAACGAGGTGTCAGTGACGAGGAGTTGGGGGAAGAGGAGGAAAAGCCGTTACGCAACGATGGAAAGCGCGCGACGGCGCGTCGGTCTTTCTCGCACTCACCTCACGGGGTTGGCGCTCCGTACCAAATTGGCGGGACTCGTCTCGAACGCGGGGCAGTCAAAGAACAGGTCGTCGGGATCGGCGTCGGGTATCGCGTCGAGGTTCATGTTCAGCGTGTTCTCCTCGGGCGAGTCGTCCTCGAGGGTGGTGCTCAATTCGCTCGCGTCCGGATCGACGCTCATCACTTGGCCGGAGATCAGGGTCGACTGAAACGACTCCCAGTATTCGTCCTCCTTGAAGGTTCTCTGATTCAGGTGCGAGCCCGTGCAGATGGTGTCGCTCATCCTCGCCGACGCACTCTACTGCGGAATGTCAGCGCTCGCCTCGAGAGAAACAACGACTTGCCGAATAAGAACGCTGCCAGCGACTGCGAGTGTCGGCGCTGCCGAGGAGTTTCTGGCTACTGGGCTGGGCCAACTTGCGTGCACGATAAGCAGCCGAGGCATTCCACGAGTAGCGCCACAGAATGGGATATCGGTTTGGATGGCCAATGTTGGAAACTTTTCATCGTAATGTTTTCATCGTTTCTAGGTGAATGCGCGAGTATTGTTGCGTTATTTAGGTCGACACTGTGTACTCTATTCAACCGAAAGGATCTATCTATCAAGGTGGATACAATTAGAATATCGTCGAGGAATCCTTTCATATTTCTTTCTTATATATTTACCATTAAATCATATACAAACAATTACAATAACAAAGATAAATATTCACCTGACAGTTAAGATTCCATTTTTTTTAATTGCGTACGTTAACACGTGTCATCAAAATACGCAAATGTCGAAGCAGAACGAGTATATCAAACACAAATGTAGCTATTGAATTAATAAATAACATTGCAGACTTTTTATTGTTGAAAACTGATACAGTAAATTCATGCATTGATTGATCTATTAAAGTAAATTTTTGAAAGTTTCACCAATGAAAGAGCACATTTGCAAAGACTTGATGCGTAATTTCGGAACATTGCATTGCCATCTGTAGACGACTCACTGTACCATAGACGAAGCATCTTGATCGGTAATTGATTTAGAGTGATGGCGTCCTGCTGGATTTAGATTGATTTTCACATAGTTGTCAGGATTCTTAAAAATTTCAATCGAATTACAATTTTCATTTCGAAGAATTTCCATTTAGTAGAATTCGAAAAGATCATTGACAAAATGAAAACTGTCCATTTGCAGAAATGTATTTGACAGCTTTAACAGATCCTTACCTTGACTTAACGGGACTACCATTATTCTGTATAAAACCGTTTACTTTTCCTAGTAAACACACAGACAATACAAAGCAGGCTGATTAAACTAAGAATGAGCAGCGCAGTCAAAAAATAAAGCAGCAGCGTTTGCGAAGCGCTGATTCGACGATTCGGACCCGAGGAAGCTGCAACTTTGAAAGTGACGTCGTTTTGCCAATCGATGGTCCGATTGCTAGCTCGCAGCTGCCTTTTGCCGCGAGCGGTTTCCTGGGCTTTTCTCACGTGGGCCGCTGGGCAGTTGAAAACGCAGTCTTCGCCTCGCAAGCAGCCAGTTATCTTCACGGTTAACGCAATCTCGTCCGTCTCCTGCGCGCTGTCAAACATAAACGCACGGAAAAGCAGGTAACTCTCCAACGGGCCAACTCGATACTGCTCGCCCAAGCCTATTCCCGGCAGCTGAGAATTGAGACAACCCTCGTCGTCCAGAACCCACAGGCTGCTCGTCGCTTTGTCGCGCTGCCTGCTGCCCACGTGGTGGTGCATCGTCACTTCGCTCATTTTCGCGTATTTCCAGCCTGCCGAGCACACGCGCGACGTCAATTGCAGCGCAGAGCCTGTATTTTCACGACCGTGGCCCCGGGCACTTACCGTCCCCGTCGCGCACGGCGGCTCTCAGCAAAATTTCCTCTCCGAGGACGACCGTTCCGCCCGCCTCGATTTTCGAGTCGAATTGCTCGGACCCCGGCGTCCTCCTGTGCAGTGTCAGCTCAGTCTCGAACGCACTCTTGTGCCCGCCCGCCGCCACTCTCGGAGCCGTTCTCGCTGAACTAGAAAACCCAAGGAAACGTCTTTCGTATCGCGAAGAAGAAGCGGAGCAAGCGTTCATATGTCATTACGTGTCAATGGCGTTCAAAATCACACGCCGCGTGTGGGAGGCCACGCTCCTCTGCGCTCTGCACTGTAGCGTCACGGTCAGATCGTCCTTCAATCTTAAACCGGCGATCGTCGGGAATCTTACTCTCAGGCAAAAGCTTCTGTCCGAACCTGTCGAGCAATCCACTACCCCGCAATTCCAAAACTCGTCTTTGCCGAAACTGATGCGGTACTCGTTTTGAAATTGCAATACTTTGCAAGAACTGCTGCCCGCATTTTCTATAATGGGATGCGCGAGATTTTTCAGGAAGGATAACGTTGCTCTGAAACATAGATTCGTACCCGTTAATATTTCACAATGTTAAAAGATAAAATATATATATATATATATGCTCGTCAATCGTGTACCGAAAATACAGCTCGTCGACATCATTCTGACAAGACATTTCGCTGACGGTCACCTGATTCGGCAAGCTATCTTGAAAGCCATGATTTTCCGCGGCGGCTTTGGCTCTCTGGTCGTGCATGGGTCGTGCGAACTGGTACGCCGGATACAAGTCAGCACTGGAAATCGGTACCGACGATCTCGCACGATTGTCGAGGACCTCGGGTAGCATGAAGTCGGGCGATCCCGGCGGCAGGTAAGCGTTCGGCGTGGAAACGCTCGACGCGTTCTGGCGCCAAGGGTAGAAGTAGTCGTAGTGGACGGGCTTCGCTCGGGCGCGAACGGGGCCCGAAATCTGCAGCAGGCCAAGCAACAGGCGGATAGCGCGCGAGCTCGATCCTCGCTCGCGCGACATATCGTCGTTCGGACGAGCTAGGCCGACATTGGCGAGGTCCGATTCGCGCGCGTGTATCGACCAACTGAAGTCGATCGCGCGCTGGCGCGCGCTTTTAACGATCTCGCAAACGGGACGTAACGTCGGCGCCAGTCGTGGCGAAAAAGAGGAGGCTCATCGATCATCGAGCCGAAAGAATAGTCTGCGTGCCGCGGCTGACGATAAGCCACTTACCATAATACAACTCTGCGCCTGAATGAAGCGTGCCATTAGCGATGCGGGGATACCTTTTGTTTTGGTTTTTTCTTTCGTCTTTCTTTTCGGTGGATCTGCGATCGATCCGGGTCATCGTCGGAGTCTTTTGTCGAAAGAAGCTCGTACAACATTATCGACCCTATTTTTTACGCCCGAGACGTCTATCATTTCAATTGGGTGATGCGTGCAGGAAGTGATGTTTTTGCGATTGCTAATTTTTTGTATTTTCAAGTTACAAAATCACATGGTCACGTGTCATTCATTTGCGTTGGTGGTTCAAATTAAAAAATGTGTCGAGTACTATCGGAATTGTAATTTAAAAGAGAACGTCTGCTCGAAATGGTTACGTCACGTGACTTTGTGCTAATTTCGTCTAAATAAAGCTCATCAATTTGTTTGTTATAGCATTGAAAGTGAGAAGAATAGAGAAGAATACGGATTATAGCGTGAAAAAAATGACGATACCGATTCGTGTAACACATGATACCAGCGTATGTGTGACGAAATAAATTGGAAGCAATGGTCCAACTTCCTGAACGCAGAATGTCAATTTATTAACTTTGGTTGCCAAAGACATATATATGTACCCGCTTACTTAAAAAATTATGTAACATATTTACAAAATCCCAAAGTTTACACACATAATTGTTTGTTTTTCCATTGATATATCTTTATATCGAGTCGATTTGCTCGTCGGACTGAGTTTTCGGCGGCAGGGTAATGCTGACTTGATGTATGTGCTCGAGCGGACTGTGCGGACGGCTGAGCTCGTCGGCCGTGTCCTTGGTCAGGTCGTAATCCTTAACCATCTGACAGAAGCAAAGAGAAAATATGACGGTGTCCATGACCATCAAGACCCCCAGGAGAATAATGGTTATCCGTATGTAGGATGCCCAGGCTATCAGCGAGAAGAGCGAGTCGTGTGCGTTGTACGCCCACAGCAGTATTATCATGAGACTGTTGGTGGTCATTAGAATGAGTGCCGTGTAGACCCATATCTTAAAAAATAGCTGAAAAAGAAGGAGAGAGAGAGAGAGAGAGAGAAAGAGAGAGAGAGAGAGAGTTGTCGATAAGCGGTCAGCGGAAGATACAGAGAGGTGGTGGCGCACGAGAGAACTCACTGTCAAGTCTTTGACCGGCCACTGCACGCTATTGCTACAATAATCAGGTATCTTTTTGATGGCTTTTTCGTAATTCAAGCCTAGCACGGCTGTCGCGATGAAGGAATACTTCTGGATGTAACTGGTGAATCGAGGACGACTATCCGGGAGCAGCGGATTGATCTTCGATCGCGATCTTCGCACTGCCGACGACGTCACGTAGAGCGGCCACAGCGGAACCGCGTAAAAGCTCACGGTCCCGAGGTGATACCTGATACAGAAGCCAGCTTTCAATCGAGAACTCGCACACAACGAGCAACGAGGCACACGACGCACACTCACCTGCACACCACGAATACGGCTCGAAGTATCACGACGACCCGTCATCTCTCTTCGTTCTGATCCAATTTGAAGCTTGCAATCACCGTGGAGATGGCCATCTTCACGAAAAAGTCTATCCAGGATATCATGTATATGCTTCCGCCAAGGATTATGTAAAATAAAAAATTGTGCAGGTCGACTTGGCCCAGTATATCACAGGTAAAGGACAGAAGACATCCAAGTATTCCCAAGTCGAGCAATCCGATTAATATCAGGTAGCGAAAGGTAAAGTATACTCTGAAACGCGTCAACGTTATCATCGATCTTTCTTTTCCATTACTCTCGATTAATTTACTTCACCTTGATAACTTCTTCAAGATGTTGCAAGTGGAAGCTTGTATTCTCAGCATAATCACAAAATTCGACAGGCATATCAGTGCGTAAATGATTTCTGGTCCGACCCAGAAGCGAAATTTCTCGTAGTAAGTCTGAAAGTCCGTGCCCTGATGTAAAAAGTACATTGCGGTGCGATAGACTAGGGAAGTCAAGAGACAGCATGCGCAGCTTATTATCAGATGAGGGTACAGTTTCGGATCGAAACTGATGCCCGTGATCGTCCATATCAAACACAAATTATAGAGGAAGACACTCGTCCAGATCACGATCGTACCGCTGCAAAATCGAAATTCGCTAGTCTTTATCTGTTCGTTTCACGAGCAGCGCCTACTCAAGCTTACTAACCTGTCCTTGTAATATTTATCGATGTTGTTCATGTTGAGTAAGAGCATATTGACAATCCAGCTTGTCGTATTGGAAGGCTCCTCGAAGACAGTTTCCGCAGCCGTTGCATTCGGGAATTCCGATTCAATCCTAGTGTACATAACTGCAAAGCGGAAATTAATTCACGAATGCTCGTGGAATCATCGTCTTTCAAATTTCACTCCTTTTTGCCTTACCATATCCGCAAGATCCTATCCAAATAGCGAGTATAACAATGAATATAACGCTCCAGCGCTTGTCTGTAGTATCGCGTTCTCTGTCCAAGAACTTTACCTGGGTCGACTTGGGCGTATCTATTTCGTCTGAAATAACGCAGAGTGTTATTCATTTTTTTGTTTTTCAAGAGGATCATTCGGCCAAAAATAATCGAACGAACGCAGTTTCGTTAAGCTTTCGTCAATCGTCTACAACACCTCGAGTGTTCAACGATCGCATCGCATCTTTTCGATATGTGCTTTTCCGCGACTTCGCCAAACACTATCGATCATTTGCTGCAGCATCGAAAATAAGAGGAATGTAAAATAAGATGCCGCTCCGTGGGTCTATCAAAGATCGACGAGAGAGAGAGAGAGAGAGAGAGAGAGAGAAGGCACTGGGCTTGGCAAGGTGAAACAGTGACAGAAAAGTGCATCGCTCACCGAATGGCTTGGTCGTCGACATGATAGCGGATGTCGGTGAAGATGAAAGGAAACTTATGGCACTCCCAGCCAAGTATTCTCATCCGACTGTTGAATGCAGATCATCGCTCACGCACATCTTGCGAGCTTCAGCAGCTAACCCCCTTGGGCTCGTTCATTCTGCTCGACGAGCGAGGCGCTTGCGCGTACACATGCGCCGCCGGGATCGATGAACGCTTTTTCTATTCGGAGCTTTTTCGATACAGCTCTTACCAACTTGGCAATGTAATATTCCACTTACTATTTATACAAACGATAACATAAAAATATTATTTACAAGAACACAAATAATTCCAAATACGAAGACTTTTTACTGATATAATTCGTGAACCATTTTTAATAACTCTTCTTATTTAAAAATAATGATTTTTTACATATATGACAATAACGTCCCTCAAAATGACCTTTTGGACGTTTAAAAATAGTAATTAAAAACAAGTTATTTACTTATACGTATTTTTACTTAGAATGAAGCACAATTATTTTAATATAGACTTTCATTAGCATTAATTAACACTAAACCGAGGTAACAATTTTAATTTAATGTTTTAAGATAAATGATTTAAAATGCTATATTTAAATTGTTATACTTGTATAAGCCAGTAAAGTTTATCTGACCTGTCAATGGTATTTTTCTAAAATTATATAAACGAGTAATTGGATTAGTTCGTTATCTCACGAATTTTATTATCAATAACAATCATCAATGAGCTGTTTGAATTATATCCTATTTTTTATATCAAAACAGTACTAAAGTCTGTTCTCTCCTCTAGTTCGTAAGTACTACGTCACAAACACCAAAACGCATCGAATGAACAAGAGTATAGGTTACCGGACTTTCCACGCGGCTCGCGCTCAAGCGAACGTTTCTCAGAAATCAGTGCATTGTTCTTACCTATATTTTACCGGAAACGAGCACCAGCCGAGGCGCCGGATAACTTTGCAAGTAACAACCGTACAAGTAAGTAACAACGTTAATGTCAGCTCCTTAGGAATGCCATTGAATTAACGTATAACTTCATTGTCATAGTTGTTGATTTTATTGTGATGAACTGTGATAGATTTTAAGCACAGAGCGTGTTAGTAATTTTTTAAAAGGTTAAGGTCGGCTTTGCGTAACGGTTTTATTTGAACAAGATATTTCAAGTTTTATTGTTACATCTATAAAAAATTGAATTTTAAGTAATTGGCGTATTTCACATTTTCTATTACATAAATTATTGTAAATTGCGAGCTTTTCTAATATCTGGAAAAACTATTCGCAGGCGAATTAAACATCCAATCATGAGTAAGATGCCAATATCCAAAGAAGTGATTTCTGATAGCGACTCTAGCGGTGCTTCAGAGGTATTTTTTATAAATTACAAGTTTTCATACAATGTGACTGTTGATTGTAATTTTTATTTGTCAATAGGAGGAAGTGAAACAAAAGAGTAAGCCAAGACAGCAAGTGAAAAAGAAGCAGGAAAGCTCTGGTAGTGAATCTGAGGTAATTTTAATTTTTACATATTTTTATTATCACAATATAAAAATGACTAAGAATATATTTAAATAATTTTGAACACTGCAGGAAGAAATGAAACAGAAGACTAAATCAAAAGAAAAGGGACAGAAAAGTTCTGACAGTGAGGTACACAAATAAATTTTATATACAAACTTCTTTCAGATATTATGAAAAGCAGGGTTATAGAAAATATTTTGTTAAAACTGTTTTTTTGATACTTCAATAATTAGATTACTTTAAAGATAAGCTTATTTTTAAGATAAAGATAATATTACTGTATTATTTTTTAAGTCAAACTTTTTTTCAGTCGGATGATAACTCAATGTCAAAAAAGCGTTCAAAGAAAAGCAAGGATGATAATGGATCCAACAAAAAGGCAAAAACACAAGGTTCAATGCAAGAAAACGATCAAGGTGAGGTCTTCTGGGATTTAGGTGCTAGCAAGCGTATTACTGTTCGCTCATTTAAAGGCAAATTGCTGATTGATATTAGAGAATACTATGATGATAAGGGAACAATGAAACCTGGCAAAAAGGGTAACATAAATAATAATTTTTCAATCTGTCTGTGTCTGTCTGTATCTGTGTCTGTGCGCGTGCGTGCGTGTGTATGCGTGTGTATGTATGTGTGTGTGTGTGTGTGTGTGTGTGTGTGAGATTGTGTGTGTGTAAAATGATAATGGGAAATCATTTTTTGAAATATATTTCATATTGCAGGAATTGCTTTGCAGACCACAAACTGGAATGCCTTAAAGTCCGTTTTTGATGAAGTAGATAATTATGTCAAATCGCAGTAATGTGTTTCTTATTTATTAAGTATACTTAAATTTTTTTAAGTGTTGATTGGATAAATTATCAAAAACTTTGTACTTTATTTTCATAATTAAAAATGGAAATTTGAAACTCAATTTGAAAAAGTTATTCAGTTTTTTTAGCAAGCAGTTTTTATCTATTTTATTTTGTATTTCAAACATTTATTTTTAACAATGTTATACAAAATAAAATATTGCAAAAAAAAAACTAACAAAAATAAAAGAAACCTTTGTTTTTAAATGAACTTATATAAAATTTGGTTGTATTTTATTCTAGAAGCTAACTAAAGATGAAAACTTGAAAACCTAATTGAAAACTATACAGACTCTGTTTATTTTCCTAGCAAGTATTTATTTTTGTATTACACTTTTTCTTTCATAATTCAAGAAAAATTCAAAGCCTTTTTAGGAATTAAACTGGATTTGTTTAGTTACTGTATTTTATTACAAAGTGTTCTTTCATTGAAATGTTGCCAATTCGGTTTAATTCTTGTACTTTGAGTAACAAAAGATACTTTGATAATTTCTAATCGATTTGGTATAAAAATATAACTTATAATTTATAAACGCATTTTTTTGATAATAAATAACAACTTTGTTACGAGTTATAGTACGTCACGACTATTTACAAATGTCAACGATATAAAACTAGAATGTCATTTGATTAAAAAAATCCTACTTAGATACATGCACTGTCTTCAAGAACTTGTCTACGTCGATTTTTTTAAACAATGCTTGCGGGTCGAGACAAGTTTTCTCTTCCGCTTTCATTTTTTTTTCAACCTAAAACAAAAAGAGAAGCTTAGTAAACTCTCAATAAACAATACGATTTTAAAGTATTTATAACATACCGGCTTCTCTTCCTTGATAAAAGAAACTTTTCTTTTACACGATTTCCTTTTCTGCAATTTATCTTTCTTCATTGGCGACGATACAGGTAGAGGACACTTGACAACCTTTCTTTTGGATTTGATTGGTGATTTTTTAGGACTCTTTTTCACCATCTTCGGTGCCATTTTGAAAATTTCTTCATAAGGTTGCACTTTCATAATAAGTACTTCGTCCTCATCCGGAAAAGTAAACGCGTATTCGCTCTCCAATTCAGAGCTACTGTAATTTCTTTTACGCTTTTTTATGGGCACCGAATCGTCGTATACAAAAGATACTTCCAGAGTATTTGTCTGACTGTTACTCAAACCGTTTACAGCTTGATCAAGCGGTTCTTCGGCACTTTTATTTGCTGGAATAAGTTGTAGACATTCAAGCACACCCGGCAGTCGAGGATTTTCGTCGATGTTTTTTTTAGCAGTCTGCGATCTTGTCGTTCTCTGTTCAGTTTCATCACTGGGCGCAAACAAATCTCGCTTGACTTGATCTACTTTAGTTTTAGTATTTTCTTTTTCACTTTCCAATGCGTTTTTCGGTTTTGCTTGTTGATTGATGACTGCGGGAACTTTGTTTTTTGGACTAGGTTTTATTTTTTTAACAACCGGCTGTTTAACAATCTTTGCTGCCTGCTTTACCTGAACTTTTTTTACTGCAATCACTCTTTTCACAGTAACGGGTCTTTTCGCGTTAGAATTTTGTTTGAATTTGGCCATCACTCGCTGCCTTTTCTCCTCTAGTTCCTCTCTCGAAATTCCTATTGGTGCTGATATCGTCTGAATATTAATAATTTTTGGTTTAGCAGACAACTTGGAAATGGGCTTCTCGTTCGTGATAATTGCTGAAATTGTAGAAGTAAGTTGTTGCACCTGTGGAGACTTTTCTTTGATCCCTTTTGGCGATGATGATGGTGGGGGTGGATTTTCTTTTTCCGATGGATTTTTATCATGACATATAGTTTCCTCGCGATTTATTCGTGAAAAACCGCTAGAAACTTTCTGTGAACTGTCCACTTCAGATTCAGTCGTTGAGTTATCGTGCTGAGAGATGTTGATTGATTTCGTTGGTGAAGACACGTTGCTTGAGCAACTTGACGAATCGGAAGACGAACTGTTGGACGATGAAGATGATGTTGTACTGTTGGAATCAGAATCCGAATCACTGTCCGAGTCCGTATTTGTTGTATCTGCACTGGCATTTGTTTCTCCTAGACTTTCTTCCTCGATAATATCTTTCGAGTTATCCTCGGACGTGGATTCTGCTTTTTTAATTTCTTTTTGTGCCATGTTCTCTTCAATAACTCCGAACTTTGTCATTTCTATAGTTTTACTTTCTTGCAGTTCCATGACGTTTTTATTTTGTATCATGACCGTCGTTATTTGCTGAACCTGCGTAAAAAATAATTATTACTTACTAGACAGTTACAAAATTTTTAACATGCAATTAAAATGTCATAATAGAATAGAATTTACCACAATTTTCTCGTTACTGACATTCTTTTTGAGTGTCGTACCCTCACTTGGCTCGTAATACGGCGATGACTTTTTTTCGTGCGCTTCTTCCTCGACAATCTTTGGTGTAAGTAGAATACAAGGAGTTTTTGGGAAGTCAGGAGTGTTGACGCAATCCTTAATACTTATTTCCTTTCCGGAACCAATCTTGACGAGACAAGCGCCGCCTGGAGTAGCGAACATAACGCGTGGAGTAGCTGGTATATCAGCTGTCTCAACTTTACAAGGCGTTTGAAGATCTCGAAATCTCGCTAAAAGTTCTGGAGAGGTTTTTATTGGAACACCGATCCTTGGATTAATAATTGCAGAAGGCGGTGTAATTTTTAGTTCCTGAACACTATCAGACATTGGTGTCTTATAAGCGTTTTTTTTTGTACTCTTCGGTTCCTCGATCGTCTTGCTTTTAATCGAGTTTCTTTTGCGACATTTCTTGGCACTTTTCGGTCGTTGATCATCCTCCTCATTCACAGCACCGACTATCTTTCTCAGATCGCTATCCCAACACTTCTGAGGCTCTTTTTCCTCTACAATTGTTGATAAATTTAACACCGATTTAGACTTCTCCGGTGAGCTTTCACTGTCACCAAGAATCATTCCGATACCAGCAACTTTATTCCAATTACCCTGAAGCTGCGGCAAAGGACTTCTTGTTGCTATCGGTGGTACTGCCACGTGCATCTTCACTGGCCTTGGCTCTGCAATCGGTTCTGCACTTGATTCTGCTAAAGTTACTGGAGAAATTTCACCAGAAAACGGTGGTGACTGAAATAAACCTTGAACAACACTGGATTTCGGTTTTATGCAAGATAGAGGTATTTTTTGTTTGTTGACACTGTGTTCAGGAGTTCTCTCATCGAAGTCTAATGCTCGTACATGGTTTTTGCGACGACGTGGAGTTGATAAGCTGAGACGATTATTCTTTGATCTATCTTTTAAGAGGGACTTTGGAGTACGTTTGGTGATTATCGTATCAGCTCTTCGCAAGATGTATTTGATGTTGCTCTCATTATTTACTTTTTCGTCTTTTTTGCTATCTTTTTGTACAAGTACTGGAATCTCTTCTGGTGTGATGTCTTTTTTAACTGACACTAGTTTCTTTTCGGTTTCACTATCTTTGTTTTCAGGTATCGATTTCTTTTCTGATTTAGTATCTTTTTTCACAGCAATAGACTTTTTTATCACTTTGCTACTTTCCTTTTCCTCATTTTTATTCTCTTTTTCTATGACAATTAATTTTTCATTGATTATGCACTGGTTCGCTCCACAAACAATCTCACCATTCACTTTATTTTCATTTACTTCAGAAATTAATTTGCTGTTTTTATCCGCACTCAATTTAACATTCTCGAAATTTGGTTCTATCATATTAGTTTCTTTTTCACTTGAAACAGTTTTACCTGTATCTGATGTAGTGATAACAATTATAGGATTTGTCGTCTCGTTTATCTTCACTTTTATATTCTTTTCAATCGTAGACTGCTCTACATATTTTTTATCATTATTTTGCTTCTGTTCCTCGGGCTCATCTTCATCATCATTCACCTTCGTTGTTTTTTGGTTCTCCACCAGTTTCTTCGTTTGAGCAGTCATAGGCTGATCTTTGCTTATTTGTGTCGTCAATTCAGCAATAAGATTGCCCTTAAAGAACGGCGATAAACCGGGGCTAACAGCCAAATTACAAGCCGACTCATCGAGGCTGATTACAGGCATGCAGGCGGCTGGCGCCGCTACTCTCACCTCCGAGTTACTGTCATCGCCATAGAGGGTGATGGATTCTATTCCTCGTTGTTGGCTGCTATCTCTCTGCTGCTGTTGTTTCTCATCTGTAATAACGATAGGAACGACAATTGGTGATCCACTGCAACTTGTAGTTACGTTGCTTTTTTGAGGACTAGCCTTTAACTGCATTATCAACTGATTCGCGGCAGCCGATGTCTCGAATTGTGCGGGTTTTACCAAGTGACGCGGCACGTTTACCGTACGTAGAAAAATCTTCGGTGCTTTTGCGTCGACTGATGGATGATCCGGAAGAACTGGTAATGTTGAGTTGACTGTTAACGGTGGCTTTGGAGCGATAGGTAAGTAACCGTCATGTTTTGTTGGGAGAAGAGCTAAAATTTGGTAGAATTTCATTGTGTTGAAAGAAATATTTAATATGCAATGTTATCCTACTTAGATACAATTTAGATTTCAATTCAATGTGTATGAGTTATGTAGTAAGATTAAATCGCTTACGTGGACTTGGTTTAACTTCATTTTCGGAGCATAAAATCAAAGTTGGCATGGTCATTACATTTTGTTCTTGCATTTTTATCTCCTCAGCTTTTGCTTCGACTGCGGCTGCTTTTTGCTTAGGAGTTCTTGGCTTGCGTGAATTTCTTCTTGGCTTTGCTGGCTTTGAATTATTGGCGTTCTTATTCGGTTCAATATTTTCATTGTCTATAGAAGGTATCTCATCTGGAACTACGAATTCTGGCTGCTGAACATTGCTAAAAGTCGTATTCTCTGTCGTTACTAGTGGTGAACTCTCTGCTATTGAACTTTGTTTATTAGCTAATGCATTTGCAACAATACTTCTTATTGCTTCTTCGTTTTGATTGTCTAGGAGAGAATTGCTATCTTCTCTGAAACAAATATAAGTAAAACTTATTAATAATTATTTAATAATCATCATTATTATTAGTATTATTATTATAGACTATTAATAATCATTTACAAAGTCATAACATACATACATAAATGTGTGTGTGTGTGTGTGTGTGTGCGTGCGTGTGCGTGTGCGTGCGTGTGTGTGTGTGTGCGCGCGCGCGCGCGCGCGCGCGCGTGTGTGTGTGTGTGTGTGTGTGTGTGTGTTAGTAGACAAACTGTACTTACTCATCCTCATCAAGATTAGTTTGAGATCTGGAGGAACTACGTAACCTTTGTTTCAATGGTACTTCAGGCCTTTTAGATTGTTGAACAGATTTTGAACTTATAAAATCAGTATTATTCTTAACATCCATTGCCTTGCCACTTCTGCAAATGTTATAGATACATAAGAAATAGAAGTAAATTGGAACATGATAATTTATATTTTCGAAATAATAAAAAACAATTACTCAATATAAACTCCATCGTTTATTTTTTTATCGGACTTTCCATTAGAATCTTCGTTTTGATTGGTGTTAGCAACTGTGAACATTTCGTTAAATAATCCTTCTAAAACTTTGTCAGTAGTTTCTACGGCAGATTTGACAGCACTATCAAAGCCTTGTAAGAATGATAGGTTGGCATCTGAATTTTCGTGATCACTTTCTTGTATAGGAATTATAGATTTATTGATATTCTCAGCTATCTGCTCAGCTAATTCCCGACGATGTATTAACGCTTCTGTTAATATCTAAAAGTAAAAAAATAAACGTTCTATAACATTTCTGAATGAGTGCATACATCATAAATAAATTGTTTTACTTACACTCAAATTTGTAAACGGTTCGTAATTAATATAATGTTCTGTATCAAGTAAATCCAACGGGGCAGTTTGTACTTCTGTACTACAATAACTCATTGGTTGTTCAATACTAGTTCCTGCTGAATATTTACTTGGTATCTGTACTAAATTATTTGTTAAAATACTTTCATTCGACTGATTTTCATGAGTATTTTGCATCATGTTTAAATCTAAAACAAATCAATTACTTATTTTTACTTAATATCTTTAAAAAATGAAGAGAAAAGTAGTAAATAAAAAATATACCTGATTGGGTACCAACAGAAGTAAACACATGGGATCTACTTTCTTTAGTAACATTTTGTATGGAATCTAATTTATTAGGAGACTTATTGATAGTGTTATTCGTATAATTTTCGACCCTAAATTGCTTTGCTAAAGATTTATTACCTGGTAAACTTTCAAGAAGTGTTGCCTCAACTGTATCACAATCTGTAATGAAAATATCAATAAAAATTTATATTCATAGAAATGAATGAATTCTATATATATAGTACAGAGATGTTTAAATTGAATATTTAAACATGCTCACTTATTTCAGCTGAAGCTCGAGAGTCTTTTTCCAAAACATTGTTTAATGACTTTACTATACGTTTACTCCGATCACTATTACTATGTTGCCTCTTTCTTGAACTGCTAGTAAGTGTTGTTGTCCCGAATGATCCACTTGGTGAATTCTAAAAATCAAATAAAAATAAGAAAACTATTCAACAACAGTATCTTAGCGAGAGAACTATAAAATACCTGTGTGGGTACATTGATATTTACAACAAATCTATGACCTCTTGATCCCTCCAAAAGATATCGTAGCTGCTCTGCAATATCATTGCAATTTTTTATTTGTTCACTGTCCGATACTTTATTTAGTTTATCTTGAACTAAAAATAAAAAAGATGAAATATTGAAATTAATATTTAATAAAAAAGGTCTGCATTATAAGATTCAAAGCTTATAGTTACTTATTGAATTTGCAGTACAATACTTGTCTAGCATTTCAGTTAAATTTAGTCCGCAAACTTTTGTACCATATCTACCACCTCTCTGTGCAACTAATCTACATTCTTGTAAATGGGGTGAAGTTTCAAGGAACAACTTGGCTACTTCTTCACACTTTTGTTCCTGGAGATATCCTATAACATAAAATGTTTGAAAGTTGTAGAATCCACAATAAAAAATTTGACCAAACTTTGTACAACAAAAATCAATTTTATGAATGAAACGTTTAAGAGGTTCACTGGCAGTTATGTAAAATTAATTTATATATCATGGCAGTTATTTATATGAACTATATAGTTATAATTAACACCACTAAGCAAACAAACGACAAGATTACACTTTTCTCCAACACGAAAAACATTTATAAAAACATGTTTATAAAAACGAATTCATTTTTTCAAAGAAAAATCACCACTCTTTTTCCTCCAAATCCTTATAACAAAGTAGAAAATTACAAGCGCGTAGAAAATAGATGCATCAATGTTGACACTTTTGCAGCGAAGAGGTTATCTTCTAAAGGAGCATCACTTTGCTATATTGACTTAATAGACTTACCGAGAACTAATCTCGCAACTTCTGACGGCAATAACGCGTCCATTTTTTACTAATTATTATCTCCGATTGCCGGTTTGTTTTGTTATGACGCGTGATTACTGCACTAGCCCATTTTGGCGCTTCGACGATTGCGTGTTTTCCCCCCCCTCTTCTTGAACGACGCAAAACAACGGCTTTGGCGAACTATGTATACTGTATGCACAACTAAGCGGACGCTTTGCTTTGAAACTTATGCAAAAGCGCGTGGTATGGTTGCCAAAGGACAACTGTACTACGAGGCAAATTTGGATCAATTTTGAGGTGCAGTAGATTGTCAGATGACAAAAGGGGAAAATATTACTGCGCCGTAGTAAATGAAGTCGAAACTTGAGACGATTTCCAGGAATGGGCTCTTTAAAATGATACTGTGGATAAGCTGTTGGTGCACAGCTGATTCTTTTTTGGAATTTTAAATGATGTTTCGAGAGGGATTAAGTTGTTTTTGAGCCTACAGATAATGGCGAATGATTCAAATTCCTACATATAATAAAAAAACATACTTTGAAACAAAATAATTTATGCACGTTCAATTGCAACATAAAACTACTTTTGTTTCATTCGTAATTTTCAAATAGAAAGTATACTCAATAAAGCAAACAATTATTACATATTTTGCATTTGGCTTTCCACATTCATTCGAAATCACTCAGCCATAATTTCGCGGGCACTTGAAATATTCGCAGCATCATATTTTCTTGAAAGTATGAATTATTGAAACACTTCAAACGCAAAAATTTGAATGGTCTACTGCTGTGCACTATTTTTTGCGTGCGTTATCGCGCATATTCAAATACAATTCTACTTATCAATTCATACGTACGCATAGTGATGCAGTTTCTCGACTATTTTTTGTCTCGTTCATTTATTAGAACTCTCGAGTGACGTACACGCAGCACAAATTTATCAAACAAAAGGATTAAAATTGTTGTTCGTGAAATTATCTTTCAAATAATTTGAAACGAATAAATCAATCACCATTTAGTCGTCTTATCCAAACGAACTATATATCGATCGATCAGTCATTCTTAGCTTTATGTCGATACGAAACAATGGAAAATCGAAGTTTTTGACAGCAACAAGGATATTTGCAAAATCCGCGCGATGACTGTGCGTGTGCGTACACTCTGGAGAACGGCGACGGCGGCGGGCGGCGCTCACCGCAAATGCGTGCGCAGCCAAGGTACGCCATGTAGGCAAGCTTAGTCCAAATGCGGCATTAGTACCAGTCGCACGTCGTCTCTTTTATCTTGTGTCTCTCTCTCACTCTTCCTCTCTCGCTCTTTTTTTCATTCAGCAGCGCAGTGCAGCCAGCCAAGAAGGCTCCGCAACGAGTTGACAATATACGCAAGGCGACTTGTGCCTTTATTCTCAAGATGAGCTTCCTCTTGTGAGTGTTTTTGCAATGTTGTTTCATGTGTCTGCAACACGAGTGCAAGCTATGATATTTAGTGTCTTTGTCTTATTTGCGCGCGAGAGAGAGAGAGAGAGAGAGAGAGAAAGAAAGAGAAAGAGAAAGAGAAAGAGAAAGAGAGGTCAAACACCTCTCTCTCTCTCTCTCTCTCTCTCTCTCGCTCTCTCTCTCGCTCTCTCTCTCGCTCTCTCTCGCTCTCTCGCTCTCTCTCTCCGAATTACCTGCGACGACAAAAAAGCTACAGCTAAAGATAGATAGTCGTGTGTTTCTCTCTTTCTCTCTCTTGTGTGTATGTGCACACCGTGATTGTTTTTTATTGTTTGTTAGCTGCCTTGCTCGGATGGGTTTCCTGTTGTTCTATTTAGCGCAAGAATATTGTGTCAATTTCGCGCTGCGATGAGTCAGTGTTTGTCGACTTTCACTCGCGCGATGTTTTTTGTTGCTCGCAAGACACAGAGAGAGACAGACAGACAGATAACGAGAGAGAGGGATGTTATACACTGATTTTACTTCCTACTGATTTAATTGGACAATGTTTATCTAATCTCAATCATTTTGATAATCATAGGCTAGTCACTTCATTAAATTTCGCATTTTTTGCAATGAAAATCTTACATCTACGTGTCAATAATGATTTGATATATATATTTTTTCTTTCTATCCTATCCTTGACATTTTATATCAAATCATTGTTTGACATATCATTTCCTAGCCACTTCGATAATGTTCAACATAAAATGATATTCTGATTCAGAGATTTCTAAACATAGCTTGACTGTAGTTGGAATAATAGGACTACTGCACAATGCATATAGACTAATTAAAACTTGTAGAATTGATAAATACTGTATAATTTGCTATGACACTTGCTAAATAACCAATAATATGCTACATTTTTCAATTACTCTTGTTTTATGGTACAGCTATTTAATTGGATTGATGAAGTGATTGCAAATAATTCACTCTAGAATAATAAAAGATAGCAACTTATTTATTCTAAATAAAAATTACACATCACTTATCAGTAAGCTCATGCCTTGCTTGTTTATTTCACTAGAAAGAAATAGATCTCTCTTTTTTGTTACTTTTGATAAAGCAGAATATGCACTAACACGATGTTTTCCAATCAGAGGTTGTTCCTCTCTGTGGTGAACTGATAACCTTCTTTAGTGCTGAAACTTATGCCAGTGGGGCTGATGAAATCAGAGCTGTTGTGCTAGAGTAGACTCAAGTTTGTCTTGTTGGCTGCAAGACATGTTCTCTAAAATCTGTGGTTTTATTTTGAATTGTTTGCATTACAGATACCACATACGTAACTTATTTTACAAAAGAAACAAAGGAAAATATTTATTAGATGTGTAATGTATCTAATAACATTGAAACGTTTTATTTTGCGCAGTGGAAGTCGTTCTTCAAAAACATTCAAGCCAAAGAAAAATATTCCAGAAGGAACTCATCAGTATGACTTAATGAAACATGCGGCTGCTACACTGGGATCAGGAAATCTACGGCTGGCCGTTATGCTACCTGAGGGAGAAGATCTAAATGAATGGGTTGCAGTCAATAGTAAGTAGTTTTATCTGTTTGTGCAATGTGTTTCATATTTCATAACATGAATATGTGTCTAAACTAACAGCTAAGTTTAAAAACACAAAATAAACTCACATTTTTCATTGCAGCTGTTGATTTCTTCAATCAGATAAATATGTTATATGGAACTATCACAGAGTTTTGCACAGAAGATAGTTGTCCAATTATGTCAGCTGGACCAAAATACGAGTATCATTGGGCAGATGGACACACTGTAAAAAAACCAATAAAGTGTTCTGCACCTAAGTACATTGACTATTTGATGACATGGGTGCAAGATCAACTTGATGACGAAACACTTTTTCCATCCAAAATTGGTAAGACTAGACTTTTGTTTGTCATAGATTTATAATTTTTTCAAGTACATTTTTTTTCAAATATTTCGTTTTGTTAAGGTGTACCTTTTCCTAAGAATTTTTTGTCGATTGCAAAAACAATATTAAAGCGGCTCTTCCGAGTCTATGCACATATCTATCATCAGCATTTTAGTGAAGTGGTTCAGCTTGGAGAAGAAGCACATTTAAATACTTCCTTCAAACACTTTATTTTCTTTGTTCAGGTAGTTAAAAAAGATTACCGTATATATAGCATTAGTGACTATTTCAAATATAACATATTTTATAGGAATTCAATCTAATTGAACGACGAGAATTGGCTCCTTTGCAAGAGTTAATAGAGAAGTTAACAGCGAAGGAGGCGCGATGAAGAGCTATGTATGTAATGAATGAAAGAATCGAAAGAGACAACGTGAGTATAAAACATCATAAGAAGAATTGAGAAAACAAAACACTGCGGTAGAAAACCTCTTCCAAAGAATTCCTCAATCTCCCGTGATCTACCTGTCTAAAATGCGTAATCACACGAATCATTTTAAAACGACCACAGCTTATTCACATCCACACACCAGTAGTACGTTGCTACACTTTTCTCTCCTTCTATCACCATTACCATGTAATTTGGATTTTTTCGTGATGCTTGTGCGGGTATACACAGAATTGCAGTATGAGTTATCAAGTGCTTTTATGAAGATTATCGACTAAGGAAGACGTCAGTGCAAAGAATAGAAAACAACGTTAAAGTCATCAACGAGACGAAAGTGATTGTTTTGTTTTGTAAGACTTGCGTTTTACGTGAAAGACAAGATTGAGAATAACGAGCGTCAAGTGAAACATTGAAGATTAGCTTTGCTCCAGATTGCGGGGATGAAAATGCATTTAATCCTTTCTCTTTCTTCTGTTTTTTACTTGTGTCTTTTATCCACCGATTACGTTTAATAGTTTTTTTTTAAACAAAGTCACTAAGCTTCTTTACCGCTGAAGGACACAATAATTTGAAGACTATTTGCACATGACACATAGGAGAATTTAACTGAATGATTGGTTCTATAGTCGTAAATCTACTTTACTAATCTTTTTTGGTTATTATTTAGATAAATTGACATTGTGAATTTCAATCATTTCATTATCTGTGATAGAAACTTTATACTCTCCTGGAAAAGAAGTCATTTCTAGTGTTTTATTTATTTTTTCTTCGTGAAAATGGAAAATATGACATAAATGATTCCAGTTCCAGATGAAAGATCGTATGAGGTGATTGAAATTTCGTTGAATAAATTATTTATTCACTACAGAATCGATTGTAAAATAGGAGCTGGATATTATAGTTCATAATCCTTATAGTTTGAATGTTGTTCTATGCGTTTGTAAGTGTTTAAAAGAAAATCAAGAACATTTCTTTGAGCGTTTGAAAACTGTAGAGACAGGCTGAACTTCATCAATTGTTCGACTTTGTCGCTGTTCTTTTATTTTTCCTAGAAACTTATTATAACAGCGTTTGGTCTCATAAGGGTATTAGGATAATATGATATCGTATCACAGTAATATTTCAATTCATTTTAAAAATTATTGTTCAGTGCTTCGATTACTTTAAGTTTGCTTTATTATCAATCAAAATTTTTTTTCGCGCTTACGTGGACAAAATGCGTTTTACTTACTTTTTATTGTGCTAAAAATTTGACTCAATAATTGTTGCCAATTTTTTGAAGTGAAATAGTTGATGTTTTGAATGTAATAGCATAAGTGAAATGAGCTTTTAAGAAAAATCGTAAGTATGTACAACGTATGAGTGTAAAACATTAAAAGCATGACATTAATTGTAAGGAACTACTAAAAGAAGTACACGAAGTACTGAACATCGTTGTCATTCATTCGGTCAATAAGCGAAAACGATAACAAAAAAATTATGCGTATCGTCAAATCAAGAAATATCTACTCGAACTAACAAAAAAGAAGACATTTTTCGAAAAATTTTTACCAAGCAACTCTTATAAACTTAGAGATTGTAGTGAGTCGCTTTCTTAGAAAGGCGATGCTGCCTTTAACAAACAGAAAAAATCTTTCATCGATCGCATAGAGCTCGCTTGAGATTTAATATCAGCGATAACGTTTAAAAAACAAAATGGCTACTACTATTTTTTTAATTTATCCTTGAGAAAAAAATTGTTATCGATAGTGGGAGAATGGAAAACAACTCTTCATCAGGCTCGAGCAATGTGTATATGTATATTGAGGGGACTGTCTTCGATGTAGCAGTCCGTTCGAGGTGATGTTGCCTTAAAAAAGGACCACTCGAAGACTCGTTTCTCATTCTCCGGTATAAAATTAAGATTCAGAAATCGAGATATTTTGATGAATGAAATTTACAACAGCGAAAAATCCACGATCGATAAAGAAATCAATTCGCTCATTAGTTTTTTGTTGGAACTATTTTAATTTTACACTTTAGAGATTAATTCCTTTTAATTATTATAAATCATTGATGTCGATGAAGCTCTAGAGTAATTTTTTAAAAATACTGTTTTTTTTAAACGTAATGACGCATTTATTTGTTTTACACTACAAATAATCACGAGTTATTTTTAGAACAGTCATATTAGAAGTTTCAACAAAATCGGAAAACAAAAAATTAGTGTACTTAAAGAATAAGTAAGCCAAAAAAAGCTAATGAGAGACAGGAATTCGAGTGGCACCCAAACGTAGGTCGTATTGTTTATCATAAAGTGATACTTAGTCTCAACATGCATTTCTGCCACAATTACAAATTAATATCGGTATTCTAAACGGTTTGATTGATCAATTTCAATCACAAATAGAAAGTCTAATAACAAAGTCGCATTGTCGTGTGCAGTTGAAGTATATAGTTTTGATAAAATAAAAATACACTATTATCTCTGGATTTCCTCTGTGAGGAAGTGAAACGCGTAGTAAAATTGAAAGTCGTCGCAAATGAATTGCATGTTGAGTTCGAGTAAATCTCTTCCTTTATATTTGCCCTATTCGAAATATTGAGCGCTTTTATTTTCACACCAAACTCACATAGAGACAAAAATCCTCTATAGGAATGCAGAAAATAAATGAAAGAAAGAAAGCAAAAGGTCTGCCACGTTGTAATTTTTATAACATCCGTCGAACGTCATATATTTTTCAATGAAAGCGTAATAATTGTTATAAACCAAGTGTCGCGTCCATGATTAAGACGCGACAAAAATGACGTGTCGCAGGTCGTCATTGAGCTGTACTTGAGATTTTTTTTCTCTGGTAGAACTCATGACGCTAATTCAACACTCGTGCCAGAGTCTCTGGTGATAAATTTGTGCAATGTAAATAGTATTTTTTCCAAATAAACGAAAGCTCGATGTAATCATTAACTTCTTGACTTATTACTTACCGGAACACCTTTGCATTTTGCCAACAATAAATAAATATAATATTTATCTTAAAGATAATAAGCGCATGTAATGTAAGGTTTCAAATTAAATACAATTTTATAAAAATTAAGTTTATTCGTCAATTTTATGGATTACACCTGTTACGTAGAAAGTTTGTAATTTTTTTCAGTTTCACATTTTTATTTTAATATATTTTACCAACAAACGTCTCGACAATTCATCAACAATTTTTCATTGATTACATCAAAATTGTGAGCTGCTTACTCACAATGTACGTTAAGGAAAAACAGCACGTGTATTAACAAACAGACTTTGATAAATTTGAGTCAGACTATAATTTACACAATTCATTAAAAACATATATTCTTAGAAAATCCAGAAAAATAAAAATAATTACATCAACACTTGACTAATGGTCGAGACGTTCCAACAATATTTACCATTTTTTTTAATGTTAACTCACTATTCCACTGTATAAGTATTTACTCGAGATAATGCACTCGAGTTATATTTTTTTATCAACTTTTTTCACGGTGCTTAGTAGTTTTTATATTTCTTGCTATGATATTTGACAACATTATTTTAAATACTTTTTCTCCAATGTACTTAGATTTTTAAGTACAGACGCCAATGTTTCTGTTACGATGAAATTATTCAAATAAATAAACTTTAAATTATAATTATTACCTTCGCGGAAAAGGAGTACAAATGATACGGATCCGTATAAGAAGACTTTTCATTGCTTTTTGCGCGATAGTATTGGCATATTACCCTTTATTATAAACGTTGCCTCCTTTTTTTCAATCCGATCTCATCACCAAACTTCTAGTTTAATACAATTACGATTCATAACAAAGATTACATCTGAAAAAAGTGCCTATAAAATTCTCTTTCTTGCGTCATGTTGACATACCTAATACTTTTCTTACAATTCTCTGATATTTCTATAATTTATAATTTCAAGGCATATCTATTAGAATGAATTTGTAAAACATTAACACATCAATTCCATTTCTTACGTGTAAGTTTAGATTTTTTTCGCGTACAGTTTTTCAAAGAACAAAGGATCTTAAAAGAATAAAGAAATCATGACAGTCAATATAGTGGTGTTTTCAGTAAAAATGAATGCAAAACGTTCTTTGGCAGCTTATTCTCAATGAGCTCGCGATTGATTCAAGAAATGAGGTTTTGTTATCAACCGCGTATATTAAATTTTCTTAACGGGCTTAAGAAATAAATCTTTGTTTTCTAGACAGTTTGTAAATAATCTAAAATTTCCTTAATTTTATTAGTTATCTGTATTTAAAAACCCTAAGATTATTGTTTCAGCTGCAAAGATTAAATTGAAAAGAAAAAAACAGTCAGTACAAAAGAAATATTTTTCACAACGAGAAAACAGTATACTCAATAATTATTATACCAATGCTGGAACGCGCAAAAAAGAAAATATATTGGTTTTTTCTTTTTGTAGTACATAAATCGAACCTTTATTTAACATTAAATTATGACTATTTATCTTGCAATTCGCCCATGTGTACGCGTCTTACAATAACTTATTCTTTCAGTTTAAATAAAATATATAGTATACCTTATTAATGGCAATATGTTGTTTAAATGTTACTTACTCATTTACTTGATTTTTATTTCACTATCCCTGCGCTTATACTTATGCATTAAATATAGAGTAGTAATTTTTCCCCTCTAATTCCTTTAGGTAAATTCTTGTCGCAGATGCGCGTCTATGCAATATTGCAGATTTTTTTTCCCCACATACTCGCACGCACACTTCTGTTATTTTTTGCAAGTCTACAAAAAGAATGTGAAGATTGAACAGTTATTCGGCATTGCAATCATACAATCAACACATTTAGATTTTTCACGTACTTAATATGAGCAAATTTTATTTTGTTTCAACATATCCTCGGGATTTTCGATTACTTTAAAAGAACACTAATCTTTTTGTGGCGCATACATGGCCGCGTAAAACAATTATCGTGTTTTTTAGTCACTAGTCGTTGTAAATTATAAAAAATTCAGTCAGTATGATCGTCATTATAGAGAAATTAAAGAACACTCATATGTATATACAATTAATTAAAATGAATTTTAAAACATTTTTACAACGCTCGATTATTCAAAGCGTCTTTTCATTAAACTATTGCATTAATATTCTTATTTTGCTTCATATACTTACACTTATAATACAAAGTCTGATTTCAATTACCTTACGTGTCGTCATTATTTGAATGATTAGAAAATTATTAGATACTTTTTGGGTAGATTGTATCATGGAAACAATGAGTATTATTAACAACTATAAACTATATCAATGATACCTTAATTTATAAATCATTTGGTATTGCTGTAACTATGATATAGAAATTGTCCAATATCGACCGATTACGTAAAATTTCAATGATCAAACCGCATTTAGGCGCACTATTACTCGACTTTATAAAAAAATTTGGCAAAATGAAGAAAGTTGTCAAGTTCTACTTGAAAGAACACAGTTTTCCGAGAGTCTACAATCAGATTGTAAAAATGTAACAACAATCTTAAAATGTCTTACTTCCATAATAAAGCGCTGCTAATTATCGCTTTCTTATATGATGGCACTTGACAAATCAGACGATATAGCAACGTATAAAGACTTATAATGTACAATGAACAATTTATTTTAATACTGATTATTTTCTAAACTTATTGTACAACGACTCTTTTTGTTTAACAGCACATTTCAACATGATTTTTCAATCAGATTCAGTTATAAAGTAAACAGAGTTGTTCATCAACTGTAACAAGATTTCTTTTAATTTGTTTATGTTGACAACGCTATCGCATACTGTAAAAGGAAAATGAAAATACACAAAAAAGAGGGAATATATGCTACTGAACGAGGAAGACCGCAAAAAGTACTAAAACACGCAATGTTTTTACGGTTGATCGCATTTTGACATTGCAGTGGTGAGACAATATAATACTCAACTATTAAATGGACTATATCTCAAAGCTTTCACACAATCATACCCAACCGCGCATTTATTTTTATTAAATATTTTTTTATCTTAAATATCCACATAATTATTTTGTGGTAATATATGTGCACCACTTTGGACGATTAAATTGTACACAAATAAAAAGATTGTAGTACAAAGCTAAAATCAAAATATTCGAACTAAAAAGCTATCTATCGAACAAAATCAATCAATAGTTAACGCTTCTAATGCATTACAATCTCTTTTTCTGTGTAAACTTTAGTAGTCGTTTTTATTTCACCTCTATACGTAAAAATCACAATAATAGAACATGATGTTTAGTTTACTTGTTCTATACATATATTATCATATATGTATATTTTTTATTTCTGCTGTTCTTTACGTTTAAGTACATTTTTTCTTTTGTTACAAATATATACGAGTAATAAAAAGTCGAGCGGTCGACAACTAAAAGAACAAAACAAAGAATCGTTTACTATTTTTTTTCGCTTTTCTTTCTCTTTTTCGCTTATACATTTGTTTTGTTTTTTTTTTCTCTAGTGGACCCCTCGACATGTCTCGTGTGCATATACACAATAAAACTTTATACACGTCGATGCAAATTTATTTAGAATTGTTCATTGCACGTTTATGGAATACAATATTAAGTGTGCCCTTCGCTTTCTCGCATGTCTTCTTTTTTCTCCTGCTTTCTATAATCATCGTCTCGTGTTATCAGGTATTAGGTATTTTTTTTGTTTTTGTGAAATTCCTTACAGTGAAAATATGTGGCCCCTTAGACACAGGCTCGATGATGCTTGTTTTTTGTTGGTTTGTTTCGTAATTGTTCTTTTTCTAATAATTCATTCTACCTCTCTCATACAATATTTTTTACAAACAAATGCGACTGGAACCTCAACAACGTTGTTTTTCCAATTTCGAAATTCCTCGTTTCTCCAAAGGTACAACTAACAAACTTTACATTTTAAAGTTAAAAAATGAAAGAAGCAATTCGGTTTCTCGTTGAACAAAAAAGAAAAGCTTTGCCTCACAAAGTAAATCCAAAGTGACTCTCCCTTCTTTTTTCCACCTTAATGAACCGTCTTTTTTTGTTTCTTTACTTCGCGAGTACAATGCTCCCCCCCCTTCCTGCCAATTGTTGGGGGGAACCATGTTCGCGAGTGTATTTGTCGAACGACGGATGCATTTTATACGCGAATAGTTTGTTTTTCCGTAAGCGGCAATAAAATTTCTTGTCTCCCTTTGTTCGCCGCCTCTTCTTCGCGTTGCTTTGCGCTTGAGTGGAATTGGGTTAAGGAGAGATGAACTGATCTACATACACTCTCTCTATTACACACACACACACACACACACTGCTGTCGTATAATATGTGCTTTCGAGGTCTGCGCGCAAAAATCATGTGTGTAACGGCAGTTGTACGGAACGACATTTATACGCAATGTGGCATGTCGATGAACCCGAGTAGTTTGTGTATCTTTTTCCTGGTTGAATTCCATTTCTCGAATGAAAAGAAAGATCTATATTTTTCCCTTTGCCTTCGGGTCGGCGACAAAAGTTCTTTTCATTGTCGGAGCGCCTTTCCAAGTTTTAAGGGCCGCAAAGGAAAAAAAAGGAGAGAAAAAAAAATGGTGAGAGCCGGATGCTACAATGTTCGCCCGACGCGCAAAGAGCAGTTAAAGGCGCGAGCGAACGACCGGCGAGCCAATCGGGGTCCCCCTCGACGGCATTAGTTCGCTCTGTCGAAGCCAAGCGTTGCAAGGATCATTCGACTCGCGAGAGAAACGAAAGCGTCGAGTCTGGAAAAGATTAACGCCGAAGAAAGAAAGAAGAAAGTAAGAAAGATAGGATAGCTTAGAGGAAGAGGCCCACGACGGCAAGTAATGTGGAGGTGGCGTTGTTGCCCTCTCAGAGGGTCGTGACGATGTGTGGCTTGGCAGTGGTCGAGGCGATCTCCGAGAGCCGCACGTCGATCGGCAGCCTATCGTCGTATAGGGTCGGCGCCTGCAGTATTATACCCGCCGTGCCGACCACCACGGCCAGCGTGAAGATCCACAGAAACAGACGATCCAGCACCATCGCCACGAACTTCCAGTCCTCTTTTACCTGAAACACGTTTATCGGCGCTTTCAGACGTCACCGCTTCAATACTCGCCAACTCTTACATACGTGTTGCGCGACTGCGAAAATACACCGGAGTCACGTCGTAGGTGACGAGTTTGAGCGCGACTTTATGCGCGAGCTTGCAAGCCGAATGCGACGTGGTTTTCGTCGAGCGAGGACGCGAAATTTTTCTAGCGTCACGCGACAATAACCTCGGAAAATTGTTATTGCAGGAAGAGCCCGAGGAGAAATGATTGATGCGAGCCATTAATCAAACGTTCGCCTTTCACCCGCGAAGCAAAGAAGAAGAGAACACCTACCCTAGTAGAATCCTCCTCGCGTTTGGTATGATCAGCGATATAACGAATACCCTCGATGGCCTTGTAGAGTTCGGGGCAGTGATGCCAGTGGTTGAGACTACGACACAAGGCCTCGACGCTGTCCTCGCTCGGTAACTGCGGCGGTGGCCTTGGCGTCTGCGACGAGACTCCTGCTGGACCCGCACCGCCACCCGGCGAACCGTGGATCCGGCACTGGCTACCTAGATTCACCGCTTCTAATTCCCTGTTGCCAACAGACCAAGCAGATGCCCCCGCAGAGCGATGCGCATGTTAGTTTGGGTCTCTTTCGATTATTTTTTCTTTTTATTTTTTTTTTCTTTGGTGCTTATCAACTTGAATGTAGCTCTCGAGAAATACGGAGGATTTCTCGACGATTGTGAACATTGTAGAGATACAATCCGACATAGCGCGTTGTTTGCACAAGCTTTTCACGGCCGTTGGATCGTTTGTGAGAATAGCTTCATGACCGTTTTTCTTATCGAGCGAATTCCGATGAATACGTAACCTAGCACCGTCTTTCGAACTCTTGCGAAAATCTGCCTAGTGCTTTTAAAATTACATTGGGCAAAGTTCAACCACTGCTCGCGGCATAGAAATTTCGAACAGGCAGTATCGCAGTTACGTGGAGATCCGAAGGTATACATTCGACAATTCCGCACGGTCGAACCCCCGAATTTTTATCGGACGCGCGTTCAAGTGACTGCGGCATTTCGCGCCAAATTGGAAATGCAGTCATGAAATTATTCTTCAACGCCAGGTGCGCGCACTCGGAGATAATTTTCCGCAATTTCCTACAGAGAAAATGAATTGCCTCCGAGTGGCGACGACGTCGACAACGACAACGACGAGATGCTTGCAAATCAAACGAAAGTTTTTTTTTTTTTTTAATTTCGAGTAACGACTCGCTATTTATACCTAATGGATGCACTTGAACGAATCCTTAATCACATTGCACAACCAAAACACAAAAAAGAAAAACAACTGCACGCCATTGAATTTGCATTTTCGCAGTGTTTCTTTTTTTTTAAACGAACGCATGATACTGCTTCAAATTCAGTCGCACAAAAAACAAAAAAAAGTTAACTTTTAATTATACAGTTTAGCCTCTTATATTTAGATTTTCATTGTTTTATTATTAGACATGCGGCAAGAAAATCACTCGAGCTATACTCATACAATAAAATGATTTTCTTGAGACATATTTAAAAGTGGTTTTATACAAAATCGTTAATTTTTTGAGTTTTTAGTGGCTTCATGCACTTATTAAAAGTTTTTGTGAACGCAAAAAAGGTGCCGCGCGACTATAGTTCATCTATAAAAGAATAAGCACGTTATACATAAAGAATTATTATTTGAAATGAAACGTGGCTATCCCTTATAAAAATTCTAAACTCTCAAACATCACGATGCAATATAATTCTGTCCACTGAAAAAAAAGCTTTGCTTTAACAGCACTCCTGTGGCGCTAGAAGAGTACAAAGCTGCGCACTACCTTTAGAGGATAATTAATTTACTTTCATTTGTCCGCTGTTCTATGGTATGGCCAAGTGCAAAGCAGAGAAGAAAAATCGAGCGCTGTTAAAACGGAGTTCCAACGGTAGCAGAGCAACATAACGACAAATAAAATTCAACACTGCGCGTCCTTGCCCACATCGTCAGCACAAGTTTTCACGCGCTAGATAAAAAAAAATAAACAAAACGACCGCGATCTCGCTACTCCGTAATGTTCGGTTTTCGGCTGTCGCGATGCTCGATGTCATTACGGAATCGAGAAATCGGGGCAGACGCTGGCAAACTTTAGCTTGCCCGCGTCCGCAGTCACACCAACGCGCTTTCGCGTACAACATCGAGACACCACACTCGCGCTCACAATACGGACAGGAAAATAAGAGGTAAGAGCGAGAAAACCGTGTGAGACACGAGCGACGAACCAACGAAAATAGAGTAAGGCATTGCTGCTTGTTTGGTCGGTAATTACATGAACCTGGGATTGAGATCGTCTCGCGAGTCGAGACTTGGGAATAGCACGGAGGACTCGAGTAGATCGGAGGCCGAGGCCTCGGCGTAGATCGACTGGTCTCGCAGTTCGAGACCGTTGCAGGTGCGCACCATCACGTGGCCGCTCTGCGAGCCACGATGGCGCCCGGGACTCGCGTGGTGCGAGTGCGGGTGCGCGGACTGTTGGTGCAGGTGATGCTGATGCTGATGCTGGTGATGGTGGTCGCCGATGCCGCGCCTGTCGATCTGGTACTGCGGCCTGGGAATGAAACTAGACCGGTTCATATCGTCGAATATTTATTAGTTTTCTCACTTTCCAAACTGGCCTGCTTCTTTTGTTTTTTTTTCTTTTCTTTTTTTTCTTTTTTTTGCTTTTGTCATTTTCTATTTTCATTATGTACATGGTTAAAAAAATTGTGTTTTATTCTGTTAACTCGTTTTTAAAAAAGAGGGACATCAACAATCTTGCTTGCATGTTGCATTATGCGGAGATAGACGTACAGAGAAAGAGAAATTTTTTTTTTTAACGAAAGGGGGGCGGGAGTCGCTAATGTACAGGCACACACGCAGCCGCAACACTCTGAATTCTTTCTGCTTTTTACACGATAACGTCTGTTTGAAATTAGCAATAGGCAAAAAAGTTTTTTGCCGAATGCTTTTCGTTGCAAAACAAAAAAATAAAATTGCGTTGAGGTATTATTACGTTAAAAATCCATTTTCGAAAATTCAGAGCGTATTGCTTAGTGAAATTGTGCTAGCAATAAGGAATGTTTGTAAATCTATGTTTAAACAGGTAAATTCAAGTTGTATGTATACTTTTGGAGCAGTTCAGTGATTTGTAAGTTTGGTAGGTTGAGAAAATAATAAATATCGTATGATTATATTATTGATTAATCAGCTTGAAATTGTATTCGTGTTTCTATCGTCATATTTGTGAAGGTCATTGACGTACAAGGGGAAATATTCACAATACAATTTTAAGCTACTCGTAATGTTATGGGTATACACATATTCAAGTCAAGAGAAATATGATGATATTCTACTTATGAAGAATAGCTTATTATTCTTTGAAGCAATTCAAATAAAAGGAGATTTCGAAATTATCACATTTCTCAGTATATGGAACATGTATAGACAATAATATTCACAGTAAATGTACACTCATTGTAATATTGAATTATTATTCTTCGACAATATGTAGAAAATGAATAATTGAGCCGCCATCAATCAACTCAGCATTGGCATATGAGAGCACAGGCATCAATGGAAACGGGTCGTTAAACCAGTCCAATTGTTCATTTTCCTTGTTCAATTCTATGACTGAGACGTGCTATGATGAAAACAGACAGAAGAAAAGGAAAGCTGTCGATAGGAAAACTCAAATGAAAGTAAAAAATGTTATGCAACACAGAGGTTTATGTTGTTTTCAATTGTGAATCGATAAAAGGTAACGTGCTCTAGATTGGATCGAAGCGTGGGTAATCTATGCAACAAACATCGGGACATCGCTACGAAGCGAGAACAAAAACAGAACAACGACATTGAGAGTCGGATGAAAGCTCTAGTTGTGAGAGAGTCGAGGGATACTGACCGGCGCATAACCAGCAATCTGGGCAACACGTGGATAAAGACGCGGCGGACCCAGGGCTTCATCACGTGCGTTTGCGGCGAGCGGAAGTGCACGTTCAGTACCGCCACTGTCACGCATATGCTGCAACGAGAGAGAACACGCTCGGAGTTCGACGCGCCGCTCTCGCACGCGCGGCTGCTATTCGACTTACCTGAGGGTATCGAGGATCATGGTGAAGAGCACAAACTTGCCGAGAAGCGGCACCACCAACGACGTCGGCGGAATGATCTCGGCGAGCAGCAGGAAGAACACAGTGAGCGACAGCAGAATCGAAATTGACAGGCTCACCTGTAATCATAGCGCGCGTTTCTCAATTCGTTCTCCGCGCGTGCCATTTCCCGTGTCGGCGCTTCCTCGCGGGATCATTCACTCTCGCTCTCTCGACGTTTGCCATCGACAAGCTCGGAGGACCGTTTCTCGTTTTTCTTTCTATCTCGCGAAAAACAGTCTTCTCCGACAGTCAGTTAACGTGAAGATTAAAAAGGAAAGGGGAAGCGGGTTTTATTTGAAATTCAAATCGGCGAACAAAAGCCCGTAGCCGCGTGTAAACGTGGATTCTGTGTATTTAACATACGCGCGCGGTTCTCGACTTTGATGGAACATTGATGTTTTTTACACGCCAACGAGTCGCTGAGGAATCACAGTTGGAGTGCATGTGCGCGCGTCCCGTTGCAGACTTCCGGCAGTGGATGTATATATATATTGTCATCGGCATGATATATTCGAGAATCGATCAGCTTTGCTATCAATGCGAGGAATCGCCGATTGGAAATATTACAATCGCACGCCCAAGAGAGACTCTATTGCCAAGGGAGATTGAAGAGCTATTATGGATTTTTATGCCTTTTCCAAGAGAAGTACGTGCGTACGTGTGCGATGCTTCCGCATCCGTTTCGCTTACTTTTCCAATCCGTGAATCTAGTTGGCTAAAAATATAGACGATCTATAATTTTGCATGGAACGAACGTCCTCGCTCGTATCTAACGTGCAAATTATATAGATGTGATCCGAGCGTAGTCAGATAAGACAACGTCGGTTTCAATTACCTCATAAACGACTTGTAAATTATAAGTAGATGAGGTTCGAATGCAGTCAGACGCGTTGATGCCATCGCGAAAATTCGCACGATGAAAATAATTAGAATAATCAAGCCCGATCGATTTATCATGCAAACTTGAAAAATAAAAGGAAGAATTGCTCTCGCAAAGTCGATAATTTTAACAATTTATCGAGCGGATATCTGCGCGAAGGACCATTCCCCTTTTCCCGCCAACAGAGTTATAAATAGCTGCAATAACGATATGTAGTTCAGAAGGCATCTCCATTCCGCTTGGCACTTGCGGGTACATTTTTAGCGAGGCTCTCGCTAGTTATCGACACCTCTGACCTTTTATCCCGTTTTACGTGCCTTGACTCATCTCTTCTGCGGCTGTGCACGTGTCTTTCATTCTTTATTTTTTTTCTCATGCAACGACGTTATCGTTTCCTCTTTGGGCTTTAAACCTTCCTCTTTTTACGAGATGTTTAAATACGCAAAATTTTATAAACTTTGTTGGATCATCAAGTTGAAGGACAACTAAACTTTGGTTTTTATGGGAATAGACGTTCCTTTTTTTCTAGAAATTCGAATTACAGATATATTCGGCTATAAAGATATCGCAACGACCGTATTTTCTATGTTATCGGGAACGACCGATTTATTGGAGCGTAACTCGATTTCGCGCAAAAATTTAGAATTATGCCCACTGTGATTATCCGACGTATAGTAAGACTCGTTTCCGATAAAAACAAAAATAAATGGCGCACTGCACAATTTATCGATTGTCTTTCTCCATCTCGAAGATGCTCGCTAAGAAACGCGTGCATTGCACTCAAGAACACTTCCCATCAATCCTTTAGCCGAAACGCTTCCGCACAAACAATATAAAAGCAACGTAGAAGAAAGCCACGAGCCGACGCTCGAGGTAAAAGGAAACGTCTTCAGAACTGTAGCGCAAAGAAATGTTCTTCTTTCGCGAGCACCATCACCGCGAATTGTCAGGGGGAAAATTCGCGTCCCGTTTATCATCCTTGCGCGTTACCGCGCAAGATGGCCGCGACGGCAGTGCACGCGCGCGGGTGTCGTTATCTATCCGTACTATTTATCCTCTTATCGTGCTTTGCTTTTTGTTCGCGGGGTCAAAAGGTCCTGTGCGCCGCCGAAATTGACGTCGCACGCCGGGGATAAAAGCGAGCTACTCGACTTCAGCTTCGCCGTTTTTCCGCTCGCTGACGAGCTTTTCATGGCTGCCGGGGAGCCTTCCTACTGGCGATAAGCCCGTTTGGCGGCTGACTTTTGTGCAGCGCGCTCGCCGACTTCGCCACTGCTATACGCGCTCGATTCACCTTTAGATATAGCCTCGCATTATTTGTTAGCTCCTTCACCCGTCTGCTTTTCGCGCGCGCGCGCGCGCGCGTTTTTTTGATACGTCGCTAGACGTCTGCGACATCGACGCAGGCGACAATTTCAACCTGCCGAGGCGAATTAAGCAGGCCAAGCATCCGAATGGTGTGCACGATCGTCGCGTGTATAGTCAAGATAAATCAGTTGCTTGCGAAAAGGCGGAAGCGCAACGATAACGATTCAACAAAAAAAAAACAAAACAAAAGAAAAAAAGACGCGAGCGTCGTTCCGCATCGACGCGACTGGACCACGCATATCCAGAAGTAGCTTCCGATAGGAACACGCATTATACACAGCCAAGCAAGTCGTAAATTCGCGTCGAGCGAGTTGTGCGCAGCGTCGAGAAATTTATGCGCTCGCGCGAGCGTGAAATTCTCGCCACGCGGGCGGACGTGCATTCCGAACGAGAGGCTCGTCGATACGCGTTTCGAAAGGTGCGTGGGTGTGCGCGTCGGGCCGCTTTTCTTCGTCCTCTCTTTCCATTGCGCTCGCGACGCCCAGCCCGTGCACACCGTTGATTCCCAACTCCAGAGATGCATTATCGATTGGCAGGTAGGACCACTCCGTGCCCTCCCCCCCTCCCCTTCTCGCTCGTTGTTCACTGCCGCGCGGAATTGGAAAAGTTGGATGAGCGAGATATAACGGACGGACTTTTTGTTTCGTTTGTTGCCCCTTGCATAATTGCACGCGAGCTTCGGTTAGAAAAATACGAAATCGAAAGAAGACGCGAGATAAGTTTGGCTAAATCGGTGAAACTTACCTTCTCGCCGCTGTCGCTGGGCAAATAGAAGACGAGTATCGTGAGGAAGGATATGCCCATGCACGGGATAATGAGATTGACCGTGTAGAACAGCGTTTTCCGTCGCATGGTGATGTTGAAAGTGATGTCGAGGTATGGCTCGTCGCAACACGTATAAAACTTCTCGTTCCTGCGAAAGCAAAGAGTGCGCTGAAGAGAGAACGAAGCCCGCGGCCTTTTACGGCGCTCGCTGATGGCTCCGGACAAGAGGACGAGGCTGCTCGTTAGGTGTCAAACTGTACTTGCTCTCGCGAGCTCTCAAGGCGCGCGAGAAAGAAGGATCGCGTTGCGCGCGCGGAAATAGGAATTTTTCCATCGCGACGGCGAGAGATGGATAAGGAGACATGCATTTCTCTCACCTGACAGCCGGCACCTCGAGGATATCCCACTCCACGGAAGTGTAAAACTCGGAGAGATCCACGCCTATGTCGACGACGTTGCTGCCTTGCACCTCGTCGATATGCCTCAAGTCCACCTGGCAACACAACAAAATGTCACATCTCACGCTCGTTGTCTTGCATGCTTCGCAGACTCTTCTCCCTCGGCTCGCACGGCTGCGAAATACATATCGCACAGGGATACGCTATCTCCGTACGATAAAGATGGCTGGGCGTTGAATAAAAGAAAAACGAAAAATGTCGAATGAAGTACGTCCTCGTCGTAGAGAGCAGGAGAACGCGGAACAACCAAATGCAATCGTTTTCTAGTTTCATTTCCGAAGCCCTCGCAGAAAATCCCTTCGTTACCGAGCGTCTAATTCGAACCGTGGAGTGCACAAACTTCGCGAAACCAATAAAACTTGCGCAAACGCGGAGCGTATACCGACACTGGTATACTCAATTCCTTCCTGGCGCCCAATGCGCACAGAACAATCGGTTATTTGCATATGAATATGCGTGTACAGGCGCCTGGTAGTCTCGGACTTTGACGGAAAATTCGCCAAGTTGATTAGCTTTCGCGGTCATTTTGATAAGCGAGTCAAGTGATGGGCCATCGGGCAAAGCGTCGTTTGTGGCTTGGTCTGAGAGAAGAAGAGAGAGAGAGAAAGAGAGAGAGAGAGAAAGATGAAATTGATGCAATTATAGAGGATTCGTGGGAATGATCTTTGGAGATTATGCTGCCGCTGTTGTTGCCGTTGACGTAACGCTCGACTGCATTTTCGGAATGCGCAGAAGTTCGCGGTAATTAATATTTGGTCGTTCTCTACCTTACAGTTAAGTACACGCCGTTGCACAAAGGTTCCTCACGGCTTCGTGCTCGATAATTCCAAATAGGTCGTTATTTCACGTGCAGTCGACCACCGCAACAACTTCGCCAAGAGAAGAAAACCATTTTCCAAATGCTTCAGACGTCCGTGTGAGGGATCGCTAGCTCGATGTTAAACGTGCAAAGGTGAGGAGTTCGACGTCTTTATGCGCTGCCGTGTACGAACTCACAAGCGCTTTGCCGAGTTGTTGCTTTATCGGGTACGAGGCATCTCCCCCTTCGATTGGCATTGCAAATCGATGAAGTGCGTTAACCAAGTAACAACCTAACGCGTGTTCTCGTTAACGCGCTTCCGTTCACGGCGAAGTTCGAATTTCGTAATGAGCCGTTTGTTTTCAAAAGCAACCGCGACGCTTTGAACGTACGTTATCGTACTTGCGATAAAAATATATAAATAAGACGATGTAAATTTATAAAGGGATATTTATTTTTGAAAATTCAAGTTAAAGCGTTACTCGAATCGTAACACAAGTTTCGAAGAAACAAAACAATTATTGGAAGTGCCCTAACAATAAAACAAAATAACTTTTCCAGCTCGTATTAATTCGTCGCTGTTGGCTATAGTTAGAGCTGACGAGAACGCGCCTGGACGATATTTTCGAACATGCAATATCGGTTAATGTTACGATCACCACATTGCGATGTTATCAATTGAAAAAGCATTTACAAACTTGTAAAACACTTTACGTAAGCGCGTCTTACAGGAGTATAAGTGTCCTTCCGCGCGGAAAAATGTTCGAAACGTCGATATATCGACCTTGGTCTGCCGGCTGTATGCGCGATCAGGCGATGACCAAGGAATTCCGACGATTGGAATATTTCCACTTGTGAAGGGAGGGGGGGGGGGCAGCTGAAATTGTCGAACAAGGCGTCGATTGCAGACGTGACGACTCGCGCGCGTACTCTATGCCGTGACGTAGAGAGTAGGGCTTCGCATTGCTCGCGGGTTGATTTCATTCAAGGGAACCATCCGACTTTTTTGCCTCGCGGACATCGCATTAAATCGCTACACCCACGGGCTTACTTATGTCGAACGACGAAGGTTATCGAGACGAACGTACGAGTGTTAGCGGCGAACGTTCAATACCGAGTAATGCGGCACGAAGGAGAGAGAGAGAGAGAGAGAGAGAGAAAGAGAGAGCGGGGTTAAGAAAAAGGACAACTTACCTGAAAGCCATCGTAGGTCCAAGAGCCGAATTTCATGACGCAAGTCTGCTCGTCGAAAGGGAAGTACTCGACGTCGATCTCACAGGAAGACTTGTAAATCGCTGGCGGCTTCCACTCGACTCGGCCTGTGTAGTTGAGCGTCGCCTTCGTCGCTAGGGTCACCTCGAAATTGCCATCGGCGCTGCGGACATTTCATTTTTTTTTAACGATTTTTTAACGAGCCACTAATCAATTATTATGCCGACTCGTTTCCCTCTTTAATGACCATCATTCTATTTGCAGGATATTTTGAGACGAGCACGCGAGTATTCGAAAAAATGCGATATGTCATATATTCCGTTTAAATGAGCCTCTCGTCAATTGTACTCGTATACGACAAAAGTATGAGAAAAATGCGTAAAAGAGTGCTCACTTATTGTACAAAACAATGTCCGGTCGCCATATGTGGTCGGAAGGAACGTGCAGCATCTCGACACCACCGTACTCCTTTGGATCCCATTTCAGCTTGTAATCGTACCATGACTGTAGAAAAGAGAGAAAGCATTGTATTGCTATTTGATATAATAATTTGTCATGTTCCAACTACAATAGGATTATCAAAAAATTTAAAAATAAGATAATAGCTAGCTCCAGAAACCATCAACATTTATAAACTAACTTGGTCGGTTAGCCGTCCCTGAACTCGCGTGAAAAGAGATAATGGAAAAAGAGAGCGTAGGTCGAGGAACGCACAATGAAACTAAACCACGGGTGTGGGGGAAGGGAAGTGCCCGCGGTGCTCGCGCGCGTGAATGGCGGATTAGGATCATTGTTCCGAGTTAGCCTAAGGAATAGCGTTGTGGCTTTTGGGGTAAAAGCCCGCCTTCGCACGTCGCGCGGCGTTACTCGCGAAAGTCGCGTCGCTTCAACCGCGAACCGCGGCGCATAATGAGGCCAAACTGTTCATTTGCATTAGGCGCTCGCGGATTCTCGTCTTTTCGCGCGACGTCGAGCTACGGGCGAGCCGTCGCACGGGAACTCACGCCGATCGGGCCTCCCTTCGCACGCTTCTCGCGCCCCGCGACAAAAAACTTTTTATAGCCTCGCGTAAACAAAAATCCCGCCTTTACACGCTGAGCTTTACTCGCGCGCGAACACACGCAAGTCCAAATCCTTGCTTCACGGGATTAGCCTTTTCTCTTGCCTGCGTGCGCGAGGCTCACTTTATTTCATCTAACTTGACCCTCGGCTACTTTCTTCTGTCCTTTTTTCCTTTCTCTGATCTTGTAATTTATGCATGGGATTTCGTCGTAGTGTGTACGCTCCAGAAAAAAGGCTTGGGCCATTATCATGCATATTTTAAGTGACTCTTGGTACATTTGGCACATTCGCGCGATTTGCAAGTTTTTATCTTGGGAGTTTGCGTTGTCATGAGTATATGAATGTCAAATTTCCCGCTTTATTCGAATAATATCAGTGAAAGCGTGCTAACTGTTTTTAAGTTGTCGAGAACGGAGCTTTTGCGAACAAAGTTTTTGTTTATTTTCCACGGGGTGACATTTTTAATCCGAGTTGTTATTTTCATACACGGAATAATTCACGTAAAATTATGTGTCTCCATAGTGAAACATTACAAACGAATTCTTAAAAATTATAAATAAAAAAGCTATTAAAAAGGAATAGCTATGTATAGAAGTTAGGATCAAATTTTTCAACTAGAATAACTTTGTTATCAATACGTATATAATTTACTCTGACAGTGAAACTAGAGCCAAAAGTTTACAAATAAGCAAATATCAAGAACGTAATAGCTGTTGTAAAATAGTTGTTAAATAGTTGCAACGCAACGTTTGAATTTACTAATATAGACTTGAAAAACGTTACAAATAACTCATTAATAAATCTAAATTATCAGATATAGGTTTATAGTCGATGAAACTATTACTTTGTTTGTATTATACATCTTAATTTTTCAGTTCTTTCAGATTGTTATGAACCTAACCCTACGTGCGACGTACTGGAGTTGAACGCTGTTTCAAGCAGTTTCCTTGTGCGTTGCCTGCGCCCGGGCCCGTCGTATCAACAGACGAACGAGAGAAAAAAGAAGCAAGCAGTCGAGGTAATTCGGCAAACTGCAGAGTCGACGGGAGCGAGAGCGAGGAAGAGCTCGAAAACAGCCGTCTCCGCTACGCGTCCGGAGGTATTGTCAACGAGCAGAACAGCGGGCAGGACGTTTGTCAGGCGTCTCGCAAAAGTGGGTTGCACGCTCGGTCGGAGCCATTTCGCCGGCGCGGCGCGCGTGCGTGCGCGACGTGGAAAAGCCGAGTAATGAGGCGGGATTTGCGGCGCGGAGCGAGCTAATGCGAGAGGACGAGCTTTGCAGCCCGTTCGCACGCGCTTCGCGAGCTCAGCGAGGAAGAAACGCCCGGCTGTTGTCGTCGGCCGAGCTGTTGGGCCGCGCGCGCGAGATTTCCACTTGGAATTATGCCACGTTTACTATCCTCCCGCCGAGCCCTTAGTTAGTTGATTTAGACGGCGCGGGAATTGTCTGTCACCGCGACTTCCCGACCGGCTGTTTCGCGCGGTGAAGCTCTCGCGCTTGCAGGCTGCTTTGTGCTCTTGATAGAACGCTCGCGAGCCCCGCGAAAAGCCCCTCGCGGCTTGAAACGCGTCGGCCGAGCGCGCGTAAAACGCGCTTATGCAAAAAGGAGCCGGCGCCTTGTTTTACGCGCGTCCAGCGTTCCCTCTTCACGCCTATGCTAATTCCGCCCTGGCGAATTTCCATATTTACACACGACAAAATGCTTTAAAACGCTCTGCATTTTCATTGTTCGTTGCGCCATTACGTGCGCTCGCTGCATGTGCCGTCCTTCGACGCGGGGACGCGCGCGCGGCCAGATTTCCTCGGCTGCTGTTGTCCTTCCAAGACAAGGGCGCTTATCGCGCATTGCGACGCGACGCTGCGTCACAGTAAAGAGAGATACTTGCGCGAGCTATTACAAACGTTATTCGACAAATACTGGATATTATCATTCTTCCGGTTAGTTTCGTGTGCTTGCTTTTGTTCTTTAATGCGACAACGAATGCGCAGTGAAGAAGCGTTCCAGGATATTAAAAGTACTAATGAAACGCCATCAATGGACTTTTCTTTCTTGTCGGGCTCATTCTCTCAAACTTTTTCCCAATAAAAATGCAAAAAATTACCATTATCTTGCACCAGACTAAAAATACTATGTACATGTCTGACCATACACTAACGTGTTCTACTTAATCCGGTATACTCGAACGCGTATAACGCGTTTCTTTCCGAAGTGGAATTCCAATATTCACGATGCTCGAACGAAATCGTTGAGATTCCAAGCGTAACGAACCGAAAAAAATATCTCCCACGGCAGTGTAACGTGTCTTATATTCCTCGCGCCCAAGGAAAGGCAAAGTCGACGTTGAAGCGCGAGATCAGGAGAGAGAGGGAGAAACAAGCAGCGCAGGCAGGGTAATATGAAGGGTAACGTGCCGCGGAAAAATCGACTGTGCCAGTCAATGTTCCTTATACCCGTGCGCGCACAACTCGCGTAGAAGACGAGCTTCTCTTATCCGGGACGCTGCCAATGCAAAATGCCTTCTGGTATAGCATCGACGTAGTCCCCCCCCCCCCCCCCCCCCCCCCCCCCACCACCCGTATAATTTTTACGGCGTGCTTACAAAGTCTTTTACTTATATTTAGCAGTCAGATTCGTTGTTTCGGATCGCGGAATCGAATTCTCATTTACCTGTTCAACCCATAGATTCGTTGTCATAATCTGGTTCTTCAGGTTCTGAAAATAAAAGAAACAGTCTTTATACAACTGAAGATTTCCGGCTGCAACTGGCAAACAATATTTTTTGCAACAGATTGCTGCATTAATTTTTAAAATTGTACGCTTGAAAAGACTCCATTTTTATTCTTCATGCGGTTTGAATAATTTTCAGTATTCATCGAACACGTGTCAAAAGAAAAAAAAAAACTCGCAGTGAAAAACGTTTGTTCGCAAAGCGTAAAATCGGAATATCCGAGGAAAATTTTTTTACCCGCGATTCGTGAATTATTCAACTCTAGATCCGGAATTTGCACACATCGACAAAAAAAAACAATTGACATCGTTTCTAAGAAGAATCAGACGACTGCATCACGTCAAAACTCGCGAAGGAAGGAAACATGGCATGCGTTGCACACCTACTTACCACATCGATCAGCTGCGACAGCTTGAGTTTGATTTTAACGGTGAGGGCGTCGGTCACATTGACAACCGGCCGCACGAGTTTGTTGTAGTTGGAGAGCAGGTCGTCATACAAGCGTTTCGCGTCTGGATTCCCCGAGCATCCTGAAATAAAAATATTTGCTTTCAACAAACAAATAATACTTGCGATTCGCAAGTTTCTCGTATGATTTAGAAATGACAGGTTCTTTTCTTGACATGTATTATTCAATACTGTACGATATTTTCATGCTATTGTCATCAAGATGCGTTTGAATATTGAAACGCAAACACATTCTAAAACGCGCACTTTAACTACAAGATGCCATTTCAATTTTGACACGAAATATTTTTTATATAAATTTTCCTCTATATCGTTGATGTTAATTATTATTCTACTAATCCGAAGAGACAAGGAGAGTCAAAGATGAATTATATATTTATACAAAATCTATTTTACTATAATGAATCAAAGGCAACGAATATCTTGCTCTCACGGCTAGTACGAAATCCAAGGGCCCTTTGATTTTAATGTCACTTAATACATCATTTCAGTAGTGTCCGTCAAAGTACCTTTTGCGGTTACAGGAAAGTAACTCTTGGTCTCGTTAAACGTTATGAATCGTTAAATCGAAGTTAGTAAAGTGGTTGCAGTCGCTTTCGACCGAAGCAATCGAATCAAGAACCGACATTTGAAAAATGAAAAGCTCTATCTTGTAAGCGATGCAAGTGTGTTTAGTACATTCTTCATTGTTTCTCTCTCGTTCTCTGTCTCCCTTCGCAAAAAGCCCTCTGCATTATTCAAGCGAGTAATGAGCGAGCGGCCTTTCCTTGCTGCCCATATTTCTGCTTCTTTTTCTCGGCCTAAACAGCCGAGCGCTTCTTTTTGAATTTATTACGACGCAAAGTCCGGTCCGTTAAATTATTGAGGGCCGAGCTTCCTTTGGCGGAGGTAGAAAAAGATGCCTTCGTGCTACACCGAGAGAGAAATTCGGGCTAAACGAGCATAACAAGTTGGCTTGTTAGCTTGCCCGTCGTCTCCGCCGTCGCCGGAAATCTTTCCATGCTAATGAATCTTGATGCAGCGGCCGCGCCCCTTCGCACTCCCATTTCCCAGCTCTGTTTATCGTTCCAGCTCTTGACGCCGTTCATCTTGCCAACCTTGAGTGCCCCCCGCGCGCTTGGCGTCGCGCGAGCATCGATTTTTAACGAGCGCGTTGTGTTTGTCGAGCCAACGCTGCCCAACTCGCCGCTGCGCCCTTATCAAGTCGCGATTAGAAATGAAGGCAAACGTCGTCGCGATCTCGCGTTGCGTTCGTAAATAAACTGCGAGGTTTACGCGTCAACGCAGTAAGTCGCGCGATCGTCATTCCTCGACGAAAGTTGGCAGACCCGCGCTGCACCGAGAGATCTGCTAATGATGTTTGCAGTCGCGATTTTAACGAGCTGATCTTCTAAAATACCCTTTTGTTCGGGCTGTGATAGAGGCTGGAGTTGGTGCCAGCAATGGTGCTGTTGCTGTTGATAAGTTTGCCTTGAGATTGGTTTTGACAGGGCGTATCCTAGGTTGCGATGCACTTTGATGGATTAGCTTGCTGATTACGAGAAAAAAAATGTTTTTGCTCGACAAATTAATCTCTGAATTTGTGAAACATAATTTAAATTCTTTGATAAAATTTTGGTTTTTAAATTTGTCCAGGGACATTTAATCAGAATTTTTCCGTAATATAAGACTCCTATTGAAGATCGTTAGCGTGCTTAAATGACATCAAGCGCAATCTTTCTAAGTAAAACTTGTTTTGAAAGAAAAATATATAATGTGGATTAACATGGATTTTGAGGACAACCGACCGCAACTGTTTTTTCGAAATTGATGACAAAGACTTTATCGTAAATCCTTCATAATGTTTATTGCAATCGCATGAATAACACTATAAATTGTATTGGTCAAGCGAGTCTCTCGCTACTGCAACAAAGTTTCATTTCCTAGGACGTATTTTTATTCGCAGCGGAAAAGAGGCATGTCGCGTACAAAAACGTCGTAAAAGTCAATTTTCACTTCGCGAGCGTTAAATTCAGCCTTTACTCTTAAAAAAAACAACAACAACAACAAAAACCCAGCACAGGATCGCTGTGGTAGATTTTTGTTATTATCACGGAGGTAATGAACGAAAACGAAAAAACAACGAAAACGGGTATACGTGACTTGTGTATCGTCATCGTAAATGAGTGCCTGCGGTGTGCGCGTTGCGGTGTACGGGACGTGTCGCGATTATGTGCCCCGTGAGCGAAAAATTTTGGTTATGAGCTTTGAATTTATGTTCATTAAAATGGCATAATAAAGTTTTTCGTTAGTGCACGGATCTCCTGCGAAAGAACTTCACTGTGCGCGTATTTAATTTGAATTGCATATACACTCTTCTCCGCCTCGAATTGCATTTTTATTAATTCTTACCTGTTGGCTTAGTTTAAGAGTACACTTCTTACGCTACAAAGCGAGTAACAAGATTAACACTCGTTTTTGATTTAATATGCCTGCCTACGGAATTTCTCGCGCAAATTTTCATGTCGCACCGGCTACTCTCGAGTCGTTAAAAGAGCGATTACATTGTAAATTAATTCCGATGGACTAATTAATTTTCATTCTTTTCTTTTTCATTATTATTTTTTCAGTGTCGTAAGAAAGCACGTTCGTGCGTCACGCATTTTTTTTACTCCTCGCGTTGTGGACACAGTGATGGGGATGAGTTGTGTAATGACGCCTGGCGGACATTCGGCACGAATTGGCACGAACGCGAGCGGGGCGTTCCCTTGTCGGAAAAATGGAAGAGCGCTTCTATACGCGTCGTCCCTATAATTGCTTACCTTTTTTCGCCGGAAAGTCCCATGACCGTTGACCAACTTGTGTGGAAAATGCGGGCGCTATCGTCGTAAAGCACATCGATGCTTCAAGTGCCGGGAAATCCCAAACCATCTGCCACTGACGCAGCCTGTCGCAACGTAAAGAGGGGGGGGGGGGGGGGCAGACAGAGAGAGAAAGAGTGAATCCGCAAAATGGGACCTCTCACGCGGATCATAACGGGCATTCCGATCTTTAGACGTTTAAAAGAAAGCCACGAACATTGACGTCTCGCTGTGACGATCGCGTGGATTAGGTACAAAATTTAAGCAAGCGAACTTTTCTATGTAAATCAACTAGTTTAAATAGCAAAGTCTGAACAACTTTACGAACGAAGCGGGGGGGGGGGGGGGGATAGGAGAAGGCACATGCCGCCATCGGGCCGTAGGACCCTATCCTCTGGTATCGTGAAAGGAAGACGGAGACGGAATGACGGAGATTATGCGAGCTGAAGAAACTGAAAGATCAAAGACACTGATCTTAGCTGCAGAATAAGCAAATTTGCGTTTGACACCATCAATACTTCTCCACATTTGGATTTGTAGTTATATTTATATTCGTTTGTGTTTGTTTTTATTTTCGTTGTAACAAATAGAATTGCATGAAAAAGTCTTTGTTCATTTCTGCTACCTAGCCTCAACAGCCCGCATCATCAAAATTTCACATCCACGCAATCATCTCGCTGGCATTCGCCACTGAACCACTGCATGGCATGCAAACGTGAAGTGGTTTTGGCGAATAAATAAACAAACGAGAAGTGCTTTCATTCAGCGATATTGCTTCAGAAATATTCCAGGAGTGTGACGCGTTCGACAACGCTCGAGCGCTTCAAAGAACAAACCGTCAGTCGCAAAGAGAAAGGAAAGTCGACGATGCTGCTCGCAAAATGTTTGTAATAGAGAAAGCGCGAGGCCTATAATCTGTGCAACAATTCATAGGACCCACCTGATAAGAGCACCAAGACAATCCACATGATCCCCACCAAGCTCTTCATCATGTCATTGCGACGTCACGTCCGCCTCATTTCTCCTGCGCGTGGCCGAATCCTCGTCGTCCTCCTCCGCCGCCACCTCCAGATCTCCCCGTCTGCAACATGACAAATACGCCGAGGGCTTTAAACTTACGTCTATCGGTGCGACTTGTCTGCACACTACGCTGCGTATGATTGTCATTATCGGAAACTATGCACTAAACGCAGCACGAGTTTCGAATTTCAGATGAAGCTCGTAACTTTTCCGTGGTCGCGCTCGTAAGCGACAGATTTGTTGTTCGCTTGCTTGCTTGCTTTCCTAGCATGCAAATGCATGGCAACGAACGGTTCATTATCGCGAAGGACTATTCTTTTCAGTTGTGATGTCAAAGTACCTATTTCAGGAACGAAAGAGCGAAAAGAAGACGTTTGCCTAATCAGATGCTAATTAAATACCTCGACCTTATAGACAAAGACAGAGAGAGAAAGAGTACTGCGATGCTTCGAAATGACCGTAGCATTTTGAAATAAAGTACGGCGCGGTCGCTAAATGGCTCTTTTATCGCGAGTACCTAGCGCGCCGCTACTTCCATTTGCGGCATTAGCATTCTTGCCCCTTGCGACGTTAGACCTTTACGTGCTGTATACACACGCGCTTAAACTCGAGATTTCATTTCTTTTCATTATTTTACTGTTGTTATCGACGGAGTAGATCATGGAATTTTACGTGTGAAATAATCCTGCGTCGTCGAGGTGAGCAATAAAAATAAATGCGATTTAAGCTTGGCGTTCCGAGCAATTATCGGAGCTTTTCGCTTCGCCTCGTTGTTTTTCGCGCGATTCGCTCGATTGTACAGAGATACGCGTCGATCGGTTATTTTCTCGTTGTATTCCGCTTCCCTTGATAGTACGACCAAACGGATGTTATCATGCCGTGGAAGAAAATACAGCTGGCGAGCCTCGAGGCGACTGGAAAATCTTTAAGGAGATCGCTATTCGTGAGAGTGACGATTACTGGGTCACTCTGAGCGCAAATAACAACCGTCGCTTGGCTGACGAAAAACTTTTTATACTACTAATTTTCGCGACATTGTCTTTTGACTCGCTTATTTTACTGTTCTCGTCGAGCAAGGCATAGCTCGAATAATCTACAACGCAATCAGTTTGTTCGCATAAAAATTTGCGGAATCTAAAAATTTCATCTTGCGGGCACGCGAGCAGCCCTTTTTCTCATACGCGTCGCAAAGTCACGCGCTAAGCCAGTTTGCAGCTGCTGCTCTACCGCGGTATTCCATCAGTCGTGCGCACACGCACGGGAAAAGCGAGCGGTAAAAACTGAATGCGACGGGTCTCCTCGGCTGAAGTGAAAAACGAAGTTTAATCCGGGGTTGGCCCAAAAAATAAACGGGATTTTCGTCTTGTCTGTTAAGGGAGCGTTAATGAACGAACGCAGCGTTGAGCCGCGACGACGACGACGAATAATAGGACGTTCCTTGCGAGGAAAGCGAGGTCAATGTCGCCGACGGCGTCCAACAAAAATTTAATCTCGTCGCGAGTCGACCTATCGATCTGTCTTCCCCTTTGTAAAGTCAAATAAAGCCAATTCGAACGCATTGCCGTTGGGAGGATCTACATAAGACGGGAGTTTCATTCGCGATCGCCCGAGAAAACTGCATTGATTTATCCTGCTCTCTTGTTTCCGGCGGAGGAGTCGCATTTATCCCGGCGGAATCGATGATAGCGCCGAGTGCCGTTGCGACTTGGCGCGTCTATATTATTCGTATGGCGGTTTGTAATTCAATGGCGTGTCCGCGTGGGGCGCCCGCGGCGGTCGGTCGAACGACGCACTTCAATGCCGAATCCGCGCCGAACAGTCGAACGTCATTGAAATCGAAACAATAGCGTGAAATCTTGTTCGCGCGATATCGACGCGCCGGGTTTTCATCGTGTTAGCGTCTAAGCCCAGCGGCATCAGCGAAACAAGAATGAAGGGGCGCGATGCTGGAGCAGTTCTCTCGAGGCGCGTCTAGGCGTCGCTTGGAAAGCATCGAAATCGATGTACGCAGAGCGACGTAGCTGTGCGACGAATGATCAATCGACTTGGGCGTCGCGCCTCTCCGACTGAAAGAGAGAGAGAGAGAGGAAGGAGAGCACTCGGGGTGGCAAGCACTCATTATCGTCGGCTATTCAAGCCCCTGAGCGCCAATACTCTAAGCGGCCAGAGGCCTTGAGCACTCATAACCCGAGCGCCAATTCCGAACGGTTTGCTTTCTCTTTGCCCTCGTCGTCCCTAGCTAATTGAGAGTATGAGTTTATGTTTGCATAGCACTGCATGATTTGTATTTGAGCTCATTTTTTAACATTCAAAGCGTTATCGAAATCTGATACGTGACGCGTTCATTTTTATTAGATATTAAATTGAGCTCGCGCTATTATCATGTATATACCAATATGTAACGTGCGTTTGAATGCATATACCCTGTGAAAATAGATCTGCCACAATTATTGTTACGAACGCTATGATGGATGTTTTGTTTATGAATCATCCTGAAGATAACAATTGGCATCGTGCTTATCTAAAGAGACAAGCATGAAAGAAATTCCCGCTTTAATTAGTCAAGCACGACAAATATTTGCTCTCTCGCACATCTTTAAGCAGTCAACACTTCGACAAAATGCCTGTAGGGAAACTAATGTCATCGTGTCAGCGTGCGAAATCGCTACTGTTGTTACGATTGTATCAAAAACAACGATCAAACAATTGTTTTGCAATGATATTATAGTCATTAAATCGCCTTTTTTGTGAATTCACGAGGAAATCAAATGAAAATTCGAACGAACGTCTTCGCGTGACTGATATTTATAAGCCGCGAACACTCGTAAAAATTACAGTTGTTGAATTTTTATAGGAAAGCAGTAGAGTTATTGCAAGTAATAGTCAAGCGGGAGAACATTCCGAGACGTGTCTTTTTCAACACTATAACATGAAAAGCGAGCTGGCATCACGATTCAGACTAAATCAATTAACCGTTAATTTATTGTATTTGCCATCGATTAGAGTCCCACACACGATCACACGACCAACAAATGCATTACGGTCGACAAAACGTAAGATGTTACGTTCGGCATGTGTCGCTACAAAACTGAAAATCGTTGGCCGCACCCGACACGTCAGCTCGCGACAGTGTCGTGCAATTCAATTCGCGAGTATCCAAACGCAATAAAATACAACGGCGAGCAACCTCGTTTCCGCGCGGACGCCCAGCGCTACGCGTACGAGGCAACAGCCATCGAACCGCACGTATCCCCAGCCTCGGGAGAGAGAAAGAAAAGCAGAAGAAGACCTGCGAGGCCGCAGCGTCGGGACATTGGCTAGGGCGATTTGAGCGTTTTACAGTCGCTCGTAAACAGTCCTTCGTTGTACCGTAATAAAGCTTCGACACGCGCGGTCCGCGGAAGGGGCGGAATTAAGTCGCGGCTCTAGGCCGTCACGAAGAGGACGCGGCGCTCGCGGCCCTTTGATCGCCGAGCCTCCGCCTGCGGACAGGTCGCGTTCGTAACGACTCGCTCGCGGAACTGACTCGACGGCCAGCGCGGCTCTCAATTATAGCGGAGAGCACCTTGGAAAAGAAGAGGCGGGCGCGCGCGCAGTGCGACGCTCGCCGCGGTGACCGCATCCTTAGTTGGAATTATGCAGCGCGGCTTAGCCCGATGAAACTTGCAGGTGGCTTGGCGCGAGCGCGTTTTTATATCAGCGTAAGCTGGCAGCTCGCAGCGCGCGCGTGTCCTAACGGCGTTCGCATTGATTATTAATGTCGCGCGCTCGCCTCGCTCGTACGTGCCCCGCGCGTTAGTGGCTGCTGCCGCTGCTGCTGCTGCTGTTGCGGCTGTTCGCAGGGTGTGCTTCGTTGATGCGACTCGCTCGTGGTTGCGAGAGCCTTTTTAAATTGCAATGCAGCCAGAGAGATTGCACGGCGCAGTAATTGTCTTCGAACAGCACTTCCGCCGACTTACTTTTCTCTTTTTATTCGTGTTTCTTTCTCGTTTTGTTTTATCACGTGAGCCGCGTCTCTTCCCGGAATCGGAATAGCGAATGAGCGTTGGATCGACGGGCGGATTGCAACGAAGGCAAAAGTACTCGCACAGCCGGCGATCCTCCGTACATACGCCAGTCGGCATGCGGAATGCAGTCGACGGAAAGGCGCGGCAGCGGGCAATCTCATTTTCGGCGCTGCGGCGTCTCGCGCGTGCGGCATTCGGAAATTTAATAACCAAGCGGATTTCGCATTCGCGCGCGGACCGCGAAAAAGGAACAAGCGAAACAAGCAAATGGAGCGCAGCCGCGCGTCGCGCGCGAGATCACCGTGGACCCTTTGCGCACACATACTCTTTCGCGTTTTAATTACAAAAGTCCGCAGAGGCGAAACATTATTAAATTCGTTGGCCGGCGCCGCGAGGAGCAAAACGCAAACGCTCGCGGCTTCGCAATCGGGAGGATGGGCAAAACCGGAGATCGGCTCGTGGATTTTCGCGACAACTCGTTAGCGCCGTGGGCGCGAGGGTGCGACGCCAAGGCTCCATTACTATTTCTAAAAGTAGACGGCGGCGCGCGGGATGAAATTTTAAACGAATCGGGCGCGCGCGGAGCGGAGCTTTCTGGCCTGTAAGCCTTATAAGCGCGAATAACGATTTCACGAGAACATCGCGACGGAAAAAGAACAGTTGCCCATTGGGTCATCGATTCGTTGGAATTTCGCGTGCAATTCGAGCGGCGGTCAGATGTACGAATGTCTGATAAGCCGTGGCCTGTCTTCTGGCGCGCGCGGAACAGCTTTTCGAAGCCCTGACCTACATTTCACTTTCCATCTCGATCCGCTCTCGTGTCCGACGATTGAATTTCCATCGTTAAAGATCAATCGCTCGGCAAAAGCGAAAGGAGGAAAAAGCTTCGGATGCTACTGGAACACATGCATTTGCACTCACGCTGGGGGGAAAAAACCGGTAAGATCCACATCGAACAATTTTTTTTTTTTTTTTTCACTTTTTTCGTCGAATACTAAAAGTACGTTCGAGACGGGAAATTCGAGCTGGAATCCTCCTGCGATGAAATCTGTAC